AATTTGGTGAGTGGGGTAGAAGTGGGGCTGGTTACCTGTCCCAGTCACCCTCAATGACGCCAAGCTATACGGCCTGGACTCCCTCATCAAGAGGTAGAGTGCGGTTCAATCTGGTAGGTGGTTTTCTTTTCAGCCCTGTCTCCCTAAATGACTCCAAGTTATACGGCCTGGATTCCCGCTTTGTCTTCCCCACGCCTGCTGCGAGTGTGGTGGACGTCTTTGTGCTGCCCGTGGGTGAGTGCGGTTCCAAGCGGTTGAGTGCGGTTCAAGCAGTTGAGTGCGGTTCAATCAGTGAGGGGACTTTGGAGGAGGGCAGTGGGAGGGTAAGCGAGTGTGGTGGACGTCTTTGTGCTGCCCGTGGGTGAGTGTGGTTCCAAGCGGTTGAGTGCGGTTCAAGCAGTTGAGTGCGGTTCAATCAGTGAGTGGAGTTTGGAGGAGGGCAGCGGGGAGGGTATGCGAGTGTGGTGGACGTCTTTGTGCTGCCCCTGGGTGAGTGGGGATGCAAGCGGTTGAGTGGGGGTTCAAGTGAGTATGCGCGCACACTTGTGCTGCTTGTGCTGGCCGTGGTTGAGTTTTGAGTCGACTTGAGATGTGCTGGGAAATGAAGCACCTTCGGCCGGGAAATGAACAGGAGGGGGGGAATTGGGAGAGGAGGGAGGGCACATTCGGCCATCTCAAGGCACCTTATGTCTACATTCCCATTAAGGCACACCAAATTTCCCTCGATGTTTTAGGCGCCTGAAAAACCGTTTCAATATGCTGTGCCTACCAAATTTCCTGATCAGTCACATTGAAATTCATCCTGTGCCCATCTCTCACTTGCTCAGCACTGTGTGTCACTTTAAAGAATTCTCAAAAAGCTCACCACTGTGCTTCTCCTGCCGGTTCTGCTCCTCTGAAGCACCCTGCCCTTTTCCAGGCAAGTCGCAAGCATGAAATCAGTGACTTTGAATGAAATTGACAAAATTCAAGAGAAATTGTCCAATAGTGCACTCCTTGCTCTACCTCCCATGTATCGGTGGGTTATTTCAGGAAATGCTGACAAGGCAAGCATTGAAGAAATAGGTGACTTGGAGGATGTGATCGGAATCTTTGGCCCGCCAGATCAGCCATCTCGCGTGGTCGATGCATCCATTCAGGAACGGCCAGCTGGCACGACGTACTATCACTATGAGCTGACGTCACCACCAGCTCTTTTGTCTGCTTATGTATCTGACAGCCAGATTTACATTTTTCAGGTGAGAGCATTAGCCAGGATATGCACTTGTCTAACTTCCATCCTCTTTCATATCAACTTAAACTCACTCCCCATGCTTCACCCCACTGTAGGTGAGCGCTCCTGGGCTGTCCAAGAGGCAATGGCGCGAGTCATTCTATCTATTTGAGGCCATGAGGGACTCATTCACAAATGAAGCACGCTTTTGAATGAAAAGTTACCGTGATGATGTACGGTAAAACGTAGGGTTGTAGCATTTTGTTGCACTGATGTTGCCATCTAAGGAACATTATTTCAAGTTTCTAGCTAGCCACCAGCTAAGGTACGGTAACACCAGATGGGTTCTTGTAAAAACTGCACAAGAGGGGCTAAGAATGTGTCAGAAATGTTTCCTTCACAGGGTTAGTATATCTACCTACAAGCGTGTAGAAAGTCTGCTACCGGGTAATCTAATTGTGGAAATATTCTGCTCATGGTGCAGCAAGCTGTCTGCTGTTCACGTGAATTATCATTGTGCAGCTTTTGTTACTGCCAGCACGCGCAACATCCAGCTCAGACCTTCCGAAAAGCTTGGAAGAGGGAGTCGCGGTACGTTTGCCAGGGCAGTAAGGCGAACGCTTTTGTGGCATCGAACCCCTCAGCGGCTTGGGGATCTCCAGACGCGCGGGGACCAAGAGGATTCCGCCCTTGCTCCCCGCAGTGGGGATGGGAAATGGGGAAATGAGACCACAAACCAGCTGTCACCAGGTCAGCAGGGATGCTCGACTTTTCTCCACTTTCCTGCATTGACCAGCGTCATTTGGGATCCAGTTGCTGACCTAACTCCATGGACCCCGCAAAAAGAGCTATATTATTGGATACCAGAATTTCCTTTTCCTTCCAATCGGCCGTCGCAAACTGCCACGCTGTCACCATTCCCCGTATCGAGTCTCCTTCCAGGCTCTAGGGATCTCCGCCTCCGACACCTCAGTGGGAATTTCGTGATTCGTGCATTCTGCCTTGCTGTTGACTCGTCCTCCAGCGCGGCATGGGAACTCTAGCCCCTCTGCCCACGTGTGGTGCTGGTGGCCCCAAACAAAGGAGTGATGTTGGCATTCGGGCTGCCCAGACCCGACCAGCTTGAACGGTTTCAACTGATCCTTGGTCAGGCAGCAGCAGAAAGGGCAGACAAGACGACGACAACATGTGGCAGTCTGCTCCGGGCAGAGAAATGTGGCAAAGGTTGCTTCGGCAGCAGAATGAACGGATGACGTCGATGCAGTTGCTGCTGAACTGGACGAACGGCTGGATGAGCTGGTCAATGGTGGCTCGGAGGGGGGAGGTTAGGGCCGAAACTCCTTGTGGGTTTGGTAGGGTGGAAGGGGGGAGACTCGGTAAAAAACTTCCCCCAGTCATGTGGTCTTTACACGAAAACTTTCCGGAATCTCCATGAAATGGAACTCCACCATTTGCAGGGCGCGGAAGAACCAATGTGGTGATGTGAATGAAGCAGAGTGCATTTGTCATGTCAAAGATTCATGGGAAAGTCTATCCCAGCTCCTGACTTTCAGTTTTTTCTCATATTTAGCCCTATGTTTACTCAAAAAGCACCACTTTCCATTATTTCTCTCACGCGAGGCCCAAAGTATGTTCAAAACTGGTCCTGCGGGGCGAAGTTTTCGACACGTGTCGTTTTGTTACCAGCTGACGCACTTCCACTCTGAACTAACCGTTTGTCAGGGCAATTTTCGCGCCGGAAAAGTTTTTACGGGACAAAAAAACATAAAACCCCTAAAGGACCATTACACATTTTCGGGAGGGAGCAACCCTAAACACGGGACCTGCTAGGTGTTTAGGGTTGATCCCTCCCGCGAATGTGTCCTGGTTCTCTAGGGGTTTTATTTTTTTTGCCCCCGTCCAAATTTTCCATGCGTGGAAGTTCGTCAGATGGTGTAACAAGAGGACACGTGTCGGAATAATCGCCCCGCAGGACCACTTTTGAACATACTTTGGGCCTCGCGTGAGAGAAATTCTAGAAAGTGGTGCTTTTTGAGTAAACCTAGGGCTGAATATGAGAGAAATCTGAAAGTCAGGAGCGGGGATATACTTTCCCAAGATTCATCCACACCATGTCAGAGAGCATTCAACCTAGGTATGTGTGTGGCATGGCCATGGCGGTTATTGGAAGCATTCAGCAGCAACCATAGTGACAGCTCAGCACCGTTGGAAGACGAATAGGGGTAGATTTTCTTGAAACAGTGCTTTCCCATTCGTTTAGTTCTGTAGAATGAACGGAAGGCCGCGTATGTTGCTAAAGTGCGCCGAACGGAGTCATCAAGCACCTATCGTTTTCAATACCTTTTCCTGATACCTCTTGCTCCTGGTTGGTTGCTTAATTCTCGCTCCCAAGGATTGCTTAGTTGGAGAGTTCCGGACGGCAGACGGGGTATATGCTGGCAAGCAGGCCGTTCTTTTTCTTGGGTCTGCGGCTTCTCCTTCCTACAAGGACTCATTTCTGCTCGCAGTTGTGCGAATGCTCTTACCATATTCAGTATCAAAATTTCAGATTGAATTGGAGTCAGCGAGCAAGAGCCGTGTAACCATGGCTGACGCAATTCTGGCAAGAAGCGTTTCTGCTCCCGTTTTGCCCGCGATCTCGGACGCTGACCCCAGAAATCGGCAGAAGTCGTCTAGCTGTCGAGTCTACAGGTCCTACGCCTCTTCCAAATCATCCATGGGAAGTCCTTGCTTCAGCCCTCGTTCGTCTTCAGGTTTCCACCGCCCGTCCACGTCGATGTCGCTGGACCCATTCCATCAGGAAGACGGTTTTTTCTGCCCAGCAGCTTCTCAGGGTATTTGGGCTTCGACACCTTCTCCTGTGTCATCATCGTTCTCCGTGCCTCAAGGTTCCCAAATCCGTAATCGGGAGCTATCTGCAAGAGAAATTAGACACCATGGGAACCAACAACGGCTGCGTTACCGTACTGTGTCAGAAATGGATCTCCCTGGCTCCGCGTCGTCGTCCATGGATGCAGGCGATCTGTCGTCGCCCATTTTATCAACATCTGGCTTACCCTTTTCAGGTTTCAGCAGCCTGTCATCGCCGCCGCCTGAAGTCGGAGCTACTAGCATGAAAGACCCGGACGAAGCATCAGGAGGAAGTGTGATAAATTCAGGAACTACGGAGAGTAACCTGCTGCACAGTGATGGACCATGGGGAAGGCCAGATCTGGGAGGCTGCTCCGAAGATGCAGCTTCAATGTCCGTGTATCCGGAGCCGAACTTGTCCTCCTCAACTCCTCTTGTGTTCGTCGCGCCAGCTTCCGTGTACACCTGCATGGAATCTCCAGGGTTTCTGTTTCCCAGTTTCCTTCCTGGAGACATTCATACCGAGCCATGGCTGGGGTCCATGAACTATCATGACGGCGCATCGACTCTGGGACCTGACAATGCTTCGGACTTCCATCCTGTGGAACGTAACCAACAATCATCATCCGTTTCGGAGCGTGTGGATGGAGAACTTTACACCATGATTGCTCACGGACCCGATGGCATGACTGTTGCGTGCAACGCTCATGGATGCCGTCCCATATGGACTGAAGACGCTGAGAATCGACCCAGCGAATGGATTGGTTCCGGCAGGACATTGCCTGATAGACCCTCGCCTGCATATCCCCAGCAACCTCCTGAATATCTTCCGCAGTCTGGAGAGTGCGAGGTTGGCTCGGTGTGCTTTTGCAGCAAGCCGATGTTGCCTCGGCATCACCTTGGCAGTTCGCCTGAAGAAGAGCGCAAAGTGCAAGAGATGGATGACTTGTACCGAGCATCGCTGGAGGAGGACCCAGGCAATGCCCTCTTCCTCCGTAACTACGCCCAGTTTCTTTACGAGGTAAGTCTGGATAGGTACTCTGATATTTTCCACCTGGTTATGGTAGTTGTTGTTCTTCAATTACCCGCGGAGTGGAAGCTGACTGATGTTTGTGCCCTTCCTGTCATTCAGGTGAAAGGAGACTATTTTGCAGCAGATGCTGTTTTCCAAAAGGGCACTGAAGCGGCACCAACTGACGGTGAACTTCTGGTGCTTTACGCGAAGTTTCTATGGGAAGGAATGTGTGACGCCGAGAAAGCTTCATCAATGTTTCAACAGGCAGTTGAAGTTTCTCCTGACAACTGGTAAGCGGAATGTATTAGCCAGGCATCTGTACAAAGTGTTGATGAAATCTGCCATTACTGGAAAACAAAACCAAGCCCTGTGCCAACTTCTAACAACTTCATGTTTTGCCTTTTGCTCCTTGCAGCTACGTCCTCGCAGCCCATGCAGCTTTTCTCTGGGATGCAGACAGCATGTTGGAACAAACTAGCGTGATAGCACCTCCGTTTCCTCCACCCCAAACCGTGGAGATCTAGATTAGGATGGTCAATGTACAGGGTGTTGCCAGAGTGTGGTTGCTGCCACGCTGCTCATGCTGCCAAGCAATTCTACGTGCTGTGTGCATTTGCGTCCAGGTGTGTTTGCTGTGTCCTTGTTCATGCAAAGTGAGTCTGATCTGATGGTTTTTCCTGCTGTACAAAGCAGGAATGACGGAGAGTCCTACACGAGATGTAAATTCTCCTGTCAATAACAACCCGAAACCCGTTCTCCATATGTTTTCAGATGAAAGGGGACTGTTTTGCATGGCTCCAGCTTCACTGTAATTGAAAGTAAACATATACTGCAATACTCCATGCGCTCCACTTTGTCAATTACAATCCGTTAATTCAGGTGAAAGGGGACCATGCTACATGGCTCTAGCTCCATTGCACAGGAGTGATAAAAGATTTACATGTAAGTTAAGATTACGTAACATAGAAAAGATAAGCAGGGAAGCGACAGCGCCCTTCCTAAATGGCTACGGTATTTGAATCAGTCAAGAAGCTTGGTCGCCAGCTACAGCTAGGTGGATGCTCAGAACCCGATTGGCCCGGCACGGTTTGTTGCACGAGGCACCTCTATGGCCTTTATAGCCCGGTATGAATACGGTGGCCGGTACCCAGAGCTACCAGATTCTCTGAAAAATGCACCACCCGCAAAGTAATCGCCCACGGATTGCCAGTCCCACTCACTCCACGTGCTCTTGCTTGCTGCAATGTCGTGCTTGGTCACCTGTAGTTCCGGAAGCAGAGCACGAGGGGGTGGTTGAGGAGACGAGGGAGAAAGGGAGGAGGCGAGGGAGAAAGGGAGGAAGCGAGGGAGCAAAAGCGTGTCTTGCATGTAGCAGCATCTGAAAGTCTTACCTCGGTTTTTCCTCCAGTGGCAACGAAATAGTTCCCTTCGCTGAGGAACGTCGGGTCAGCGCTGCCACCAATGGCATAGATTCCCCAGCCGTTCGGATAGTAGTTATTAACCACGTGGAACGTGCCAAACCTGCCACGTGGCATGCGCTCGTACAGGTTCGGGCCGAACTTGTTGAGCATGACGGTGACGCGCATATTCCTGTCCATGGAGTTAGCATCGTTGTGCCCCATCAGAATTACCTGATGAGCGAAAGAGGAAGAGAAAGAAATGAAAGAGAGAAGGCAATGAGAAGAGGGAAGGAAGAGAATGCGACTGACAGGAGAAACGGACCACAGCATTTCAAGCTTCGAAAGAGGTTCGAGGAAAAAGGGCGGGGACAGGGGAAAGACACACGGGAGGAAGCAAGAGAGGGAGGGAAAGTCACATGCCTAAAATTCCCCCTCCTTGAAACCCGCACCAGCCCTTTGATTGTTTCCCCTCTCGAGGTTTCTTCCCCCCCACCGCCCCTGCCAGCTAATCCTCGCACTACACCAAATCTAGCATTATTTCCGTACCTTATCCTGGTTGGTGAAGTAGCAATTTGATACAGTAACGGCGGTGCTGCCCTCGATAATGTCAATATGCGTGTCATCCGCGTTATTGAAAGAGCAGTGGTCGATCCACACGTGGTGCGACTTGTAAATGTACACTCCGTATCCGTTAAGGTAGTCGCGGCCATCCAGGGTGTTATCGGGTCCAGTTACAATCTTAATGTTGCCCCTGGAAACCGACATATTTGAGTAATGGTGAGTATAAAGTGCCCGTTAACATGAGAACATGAAAGTGTGAAACACTCGATAAACGAAGAACTGGAACAAAAGGTTGAAGCTTTTCCCGGGTAACTTACTGTCGGTTTTTGCAGTTCACGAAAGAAATTCCGTGAATTATCACATTCGACATCTCTTCAACCGCGAAGCAGGGACCGTTGCCCACCACGATTTTCTTGCCACGTGCATCGATTGTCTTATCCTTGTAGATAATCATTTCCGCACTCAGACCAGTGAACGTGAAATCGTCATCGAAAACGATCCACAACGGCTCATCCTGTTGCGAACAGCCGAATAGAAGATCATAGAAGGTTGGGATGAAACAATCCAGTACAGAAAGGTGGTTAGAGACCGCGCTCATGAAGAAATGCAAACAACACTCGACTCGAAGGCGCTTGTCTCGCCAACTTACAACGAATATAACGACAAATTTCAAAAAATTCAAAAGATCAAGGGGGCGTATAGACTCGGGCTGCGATGCCTCTTACCCTGGTGATGCCATATCGAAGGGTGCCGGGACTCGGGTTCATGCGGTTATCATCCGCTCTAGTCACATGGTAGATTTGCCCCGCCTTCCCGCCAGTCGTCCCCGACGCGTACCCCTCCACGCAATCCGCGAGATTCTTGATGTTACTGTTCCAGTTCCCGCCCATCCAGCAGTCGTCAATCGGGTTACCATAGGGTAACCACTGCATGACCCCCCCCGGCAAATCGTTGTGTCCGAGCCAGCCAGGTCCGGTGTTACGCTTGACTTGGGGGTTGCGCTTCTTGACCCGCTTGATTTGAGGATTCTTTTTCGCCATGAGAATTTGCGTTTGCCCGATCTGGTCTTTCGCGAGGCGGATATACTTCGCCGACTGGGCGGGGACGCTGTTTGCGCAACCCTGAAAGACGGGAGGGAGACAGGCGCAAGGCAACAGCATATGTTGGATATTTAAGAGCGGTTCGAATATGGGCGGGCAATTTTTGCAAAACTAGCGCGGGGGGGGGGGGGGGGGGGGGGGGGGGGGGGGGGGGGGAAGGGGAAGGGGAGGAGAGAAGAAGAGTAGGACGTACACTGGCCGTGGCTTTTGCATTATTCATTTGCGCGGTCGCCTGGGGGCCCTTCCCCGCCTTGAGGTACGACTCTGCGTTCTGAAGCGCCTTGCACGCGGCAGTCAGCTTCGAGCCGCACGCCGTTTTTTTCGCCCAGTACTGCGCGATTAGCATGTTGTGCCACGCGTCGGCGAGCATGCTTAAAACGGGGTCCTCCTTGCGAGCCCTGAGCGCGTGAGAGGACGGAGGAGGGACCGATGCGAACAGGCAGGGGGGAGGAACGGACAGGGGGGAGAGGGGCGGGAGGGGAAAAGAGATAAAACAAAACATCACAAAACAAATTGTGTTCTAAATACAAGCTCTTTCCAGTAACAAAACCGTTTAGGAAACAATTAAATTTGCTTCTGTTACAATGAGGATGCACCAGGCGCTATGCGCTACTCACTTCAATTGTCGGCGCAAAAGTAGGTCGAGCGCGGAAGCGTTCTTCCCTTCCGCCGCCGCCGCTACCGCCGCGGCAAGCGACGGCATCTCCGTGTCATGCAGCACGCGGCCGCGCAAGGCGGCGCCGGTCGTGCTCTCCCCTTGTTGCTCCGCGCCATGCGGCCGAGGCAGCTCGGTAGCAGAGACGCTTCCGCCACCATCAGCGGTGGGTGAACGGCATTCGGCGCTTAAGTGATGGTGCAAGAGAGTGAGAGCGAGGAGCAGCAGCAGCAGCGGCTGGAGCTGCAGCCTCATGGCGAGAAAGCGGAAGAAAACGGATCGGGAATCAGTAGGAAGGCGGTAGAGAAACACGATTCAGAAGGAGCCTGATAGCTAGCGCTTCCGCGGACAATGTTCGTGAGGCGCGTCAAAATCAATTGGCAGAGATAAACGTATCCGAGAAGAGTATGATGGCTAGCGTGTTCTGCGGAGAGTTCAGGTGGCTAGAAGATTGTCTTCAAGCGAAGTATGCGGTAAACTCCGTGTGGCACACGAGGGGCTAAACTCTGACCAATATCAGTCTGACTGTGGCCTATTACTCTGCCTTGTTCTATCGTGACTGTGGCCTTATCACTCTACCTTTTAACCTTCAGTTAGGTTTACGAGCAGAGGTGTTGTGGACGGTGGGCCTGAGGTCAGCCGTCGGACTTATGTGTTGGTTAATGTGCGCTTCACGAGACAGCGCGAACTGGAAAAGAAAAACTGACGGTATCCACTCTATCGAAAACGAGGCCAGAGACTAGTCATGTCGGTGAAACACCGTACAATCACACAGGCATGGGAGAGATCGAGGAAGGAGGGGAGACTGCAGGCAAGAGGTGACGACGATTAGAATCACGACACGACCAAACTGGACCAAGAAGAGAGGGGAGGAACAGGGAATTCTGCTCATGGCGACATGCTAAGCATTCCCCTCCCAACCCAACCACCGTGGGGGTCAAGCAGGGAAGAGCGACGTGGGAGCAGGCCCTGCTCATGGGGAAGGGAAAGGAAGGAAGGCAAGCAGTAGGAGCAAGCGAGAAGGCCCCTTCCTCGAGGCGCAATGTGTGCGAGAGAAATTCCCCTCGCCCGAGGCGCAATGTGTGTGCACGTCGAATTTCTTAGAGTCAACGCGGGTCCAAAATCGTGCTTGGAATTTTGCGAGTGTTTTGGGAAAGCGAAGCGCGCTTGCGCGAAACGCGGCACCCCTTTGCTGAGGTAGCCGAACACGTGCGTTCAATCTGTGGTTCTCGTAATGGGCCATTATGGTACCTCCACGTCAGCAAGACTGGGGATGCCTTTGTGAAAGGGAGAGACGTTCGTTATGGCGGTCAGCTTTGGAAGCGCCAAGCCTGCTGCCGAAGCAAAGCCACGTCCTGCGACTTATGTCGCAGGCGACGGACAATGGGGCTCACGAAAAACAACTTACGTGACCCAACCAACCAGAGACCGTCGCACGCCTCGAGTGGCTCGTCTGCGACTCGGGCGATAAGGTGGGTTAACCACCGAACATAAAAATTAACCCAAAGCTGCCGTCATTACAATAATGAACAGTAATTTCGAGTGTATATCAATCACATTAAACATAAAACTGCGGTTTGAGAATGATAATGTGCAAGTTTGTATCTACTTTAGAGTCACACATGCATTTGTTAACTTCAACATAATCGTATCGCAAAATTTGATGCCATATGACCAAACGTGCAGTGTTGAGCTCCTGAAAATCGTTATCCTGGGAGTTCTAGTTGACACGAGCTGCAGGGGCCTTGCTGAAAACGTACGACTGCTCAAAAAAACCTCTCCTGTGAATTACGAATCAGAGGGGGGAGGGGGGTGTGGGGGTGGAGGTGGGGGGGGAGAGGGGGTGAGGGTGATTGGGATGGAGGTATGAGAAACGAGGGAGCAAACGCCCCCAATTTCCCATCAAACGCCCCTAATTCCCTCTCAAGTGCCCCCACACTGCTCTCGACAAGCTCCATCAAATATTCCCTCAAGTAACCTCCATCTCCTCAAGAGCCCTCCAATTCCCCATTGGGTGCCTCTCAACCCATAGAATCAACACTCCCCAGTGCCCCATCAACCGCTTCCCACCCATGCTCACCCATTGTTGCTGGGAAGACCGGAGCGTAGTTGAAAATGAGCATCTCATCCATATCACTCATTTCTCGCTTGGTGCCCCACCACTACCGCAGCCTCACAAACACCCCTCAACCGCATCCCACCCATGCTCACCCATTCTTGCCGGAGAAAATGGGAGCGTAGTTGTAAATGAGCATCTCATCCATCTCCTCGTCTGATGTGGGTCGATGCGTGGAGCGACGGGCCTCACTGTAGTCACATGCATTGCATAATATGACATGATATGGCATAACAGAGGAGCAAAGTTGACAATAAGCATCTCATCCATCTCTTCATCCGACTCGGGCCGATGTGTGGAGCGACGGGCTTCACTGTAGTCACATGCATCGCATGACATGGCATGGCATGGGATGACATGATATGGCATGACATGGCATGGCATATTGTGGGATGAGTTGGAACTTAAACCAAATCAACAGACTGAGGCAAATGAGCACCTCATCCATCTCGTCATCGGATTCGGGTCGATGCGTGGAGCGACGGGCTTCACTGCAGTCACATGCATGGTATGATGTCACATGATATGACAGGGCATGATATTACATGGCATGGTATGGCATGGCATGATATGCTCACACACGTGCATGGCATGCGTTGAGAAACACTTGCATAAAACCACACACGTGCATGGCATGGGTGGAAACGCTGTTGCAGATAGTCACACAAAGGAAGCAACTAAGAGACTTACTTAACAAAGAAGTTAGCGGTGGCCTGGCAAGCCGCCACTGCATGTGCCGAGTGGGGAATGTGCGGTAGCCCCCATTCAAATGCTGTTTTCTGATTGGAGCAGCAAGAAAGGGGAGGGGAAAAGGGGAACAGGGAAGAGGGAAGAGGGAAAGGGGAAGCGGGAAGGGGAAAGGGGAACAGGAGAAGGGGGAAGGGGGAAGAGGGAAGGGGGAAAGGAAAAGGGGAAAGGGGGAAGAGGGAAGTGGAAAGAAGAGGGGGAAGTGGGATACAGTGGCTGAGTGGGAACATGTGCTAGGCCCCATGTGGGAACATGTGCTAGGCCCCATGTGGGGACATGTGTGTTTCGAGGCAGCAACGGATGGGAAGGGGCACAAGGGGATGTTTGCCTTACCTCTGGATGCCACTGAGTGCCGTAAATAGGGTAGTTCCGTGCCTCTATGGTTGTCACGTATTCCTGTAGCACAAGGGAAGAACAAAGGAGGAGAAGCAATGAAGGTACAATCGGGGCTCTGGCCAGAACCTCTGGTTAACACTGTAGACAACCTTACAGTTAGCACAATTGTTGAGAAATGGGTACGACTTAGGGCCGCAGGCTCAGATAATCAGAGGTTGGACTAGAAGTGTTTTGAGCCGTCTCAAAACACTTCTACAATCACGCGATTTAGGGCCGCAGGCACAGATAATCAGAGGTTGGACTAGAGCCCGGAACGGAATGTACCCTAAGGAGAGAAGGGAAAAATTACATAAGTTCACTTGAAACGGCAGGCCAGGACAGTTGGATTTAAAGGAAAAGAAGAGGAGGGGAGGAAGAGGAGGAGGAAGTGGAGGAAGGGGAGGATGAGGAGGAGGAAGAGGAGGAAGAGGAGGAGAAAGGGGTGGTTAGAATGCTGACGACAGTCATTACAAAACTGTCGAAGACCGAATACAAAAACGAGGGATTAGGGGGAAGAAGTGAAGGCGGCAAGCACTCAGAGTTTCATTTCTGTCGACCGAGGTGGTGAGAATGTGTAAGGCAGGAGTATCAGACAAAGGAGGAGGATGAGGAAGAGGAGGAAGAGGAGGAAGAGGAGGAAGAGGAGGAGGAGGAAGAGGAGGAAGAGGAGGAAGAGGAGGAAGAGGAGGAAGAGGAGGAAGAGGAGGAAGAGGAGGAGGAGGCAGCCACTCACAGTGCCATTTCTGTCGACCGAGGTGGTGAGAATGCGGAAGAACTCCCTCAGACGCTTGCTGGAGAGAAATCGGCTCACTGTAGTGCCATCCTGTGCGTTATATAGCGGAACAGAGGTGATGATTGTAAAGGAGAGGTGATTGTAAAAGAGAGGTGATTGTAAGGGAGAGGTGATCGTAAAGGAGAGGTGATTGTAAGGGAGAGGTGATTGTAAAGGAGAGGTGATTGTAAAGGAGAGGTGATTGTAAGGGAGAGGTGATTGCAAGAGAGAGGTGATTGTAAGGGAGAGGTGGTGAGAATGCGGAAGAACTCCCTCAGGCGCTTGCAGGGACTGGGATAGAGGGAAATGGGGGAAGGAGGAAGCATGAGAGGGGGAGGGGGGAAGGGGGGGAGAGAGGGTTAGGAACAAGGGACTGAGGGAAGCAGGAGGAGAAGGAGGAGGGTCAAGGAAGAAATAAGGGTTCCTTGAATGTTCCTTGTTGGAAAAGAATGTTTGCACCAATAATATACAGCACACTGCTTACTGAATTAGCCATTATGCTGTGTGAGCTTTATACACGATATAAGCTCACCTCGTGATTCTCCATGGTGATCTTCTCTCTTTGAATGCGATCCAGCAGATCCGGAGTCATCCTGTTGAGCAAGAAGCACAACAGAAATGGTGATGCGTTTACGAGCCTCAGAAAATTCATTTTTTGAGGCGCCTAAAAAAACCTTCTTTCTCTGAATACAATCCAGCAGGTCCGGAGCCATCCTGTGGAATTAGAGGCACAGCAAAAGTGGTGAGCCTCAAAAACTCAGTTCTGTTGTTTATAAGTTGGCTCAACAAACGTCCTCTGCTCTCGATGCACCAGGAAAACTTCGTCTTTTGGTTCCATAGAAGTGCAAACCTACCAGCTGAAGTAAGCTCGCCGCTTGGCCTCTTCACTGGTGAACCTGAGCGCCTCTGGGCTGTCCTCTGCTCTCAAGGCACCAGGAAAAGTTGTCTTTCGTTTCCTTTAGAAAGCGAAACCCACCAGCTGAAATAAGCTCGCTTCTTGGCGTCTTCACTCGTGAATCTGAGCGCCTCTGGGCTGTCCTCTGCGTTGAACGCCTTGGTCTCGAGAATATCAAAATCCTGATGGGTGAGGGGGCGTGAGGGAGAGGCAGGGTTCGCAAAGAAGGAGAGTAGTCTAGTTTTGAGGCGCCTCGAAACTGGGGGGCGTGAGGGAGAGGCAGGGTTTGCAAAGGAGGAGGGAGTTGTAAGGGACAGGGAGACGAGGAAAGAGAAAACGTTTTTTTTTTTTTTTTTTTTTTTTACTTATTATTTTTTACCCGGGTATCGATTCACAGCACTCAGCTGGCTGAAGAATGAACGTGAGTTGACTTCTGAGTCGACTCAAAAGTCAACATGCTCATGCATATGGCTATTCCCCACATGCTCATGCCTATGGCCATTCCCCACATGCTCATGCCTATGGCCATTCCCCACATGCTCATGCCTATGGCTATTCCCCACATGCTCATGCCTATGGCCATTCCCCACATGCTCATGCCTATGGCCATTCTCCACATGCTCATGCCTATGGCCATTCCCCACATGCTCATGCCTATGGCAATCATAACCCACAACAGGGCATCCCCCAGAACAGGGCACCCCCCACCACAGCACCAGCACCCACCTGGCTGAAGAATATTGTGAGCGTCTCCATGCCCATGCACGTGCCCTGCACGGGGAAGTAGTCGCCCGCATCATTGGCTGCCAGGGCCATCTGACCATGGAGGAGGAAGGGATCATGGCGCACAGGCAGGGAAGGCAACGAGAGGGAGGTTCTGAGACAACCCGCAACCCCCCCTCAGCCTCCATACCCATGCACGTGCCCTGCACCGGAAACTGGGGAAACGGGGAAACAGGGATTTGGGGAAACGGGGAAACGGGAAAATGGGGATTTGGGGAAACGGGGATTTGGGGTTTGGAGGAAATGGGGAAATGAGAAAACGGGGTTTTGGGGATTTGGGGAAACGAGGATTCGGGGAAACGGGGAAGCGGGGAAACGAGGAATCGGGGAAACGGGGATTCGGGGAATCTTGAATTCGGGGAAACAGGGATCTGGGGAAACGGGGATTCGGGGAAACGGGGGTTCGGGGAAACGGGGATTCGGGGAAACGGGGATTCGGGGAAACGGGGATTCGGGGAAATGGGGATTCGGGGAAACGGGGATTCGGGGAGCTTACTTTGAGTAGTTTCTCTACAGCGGAGAAGAACAGCTCTGGAACCAGGTCAGTGCCTCCCCCTTGAGAGTATATTTGAGTCACCTTGACAACAAATTCAGAAAGATAATGAATGCTGTGGATCCTTTTGTTAGAAATATATATTGTAGTATGCCAACACTTGTGACTGTACACCAATTGTGGTGTACAGTTGGGTTGGGACTACACCCAACTTTGAGTGTAGCCTTGCATTGTGGGGTGTCAATCCACCCAATTGTGCTGGAGTCCCCAAATGCAACCCACTTGGCTTAAAACCAGGGTCTCACGTAGATCATTTGTTTTGCAGTTGATGGGAAACCCCCGTTTCATATTGGTTGACGAGGTGCAAACAACGAAAAGGGGTGCAGCGAGGGATGCGAAGTGAACTAAATCGTTTGCTGTGTTCCAAACCTTCCAGGTATGGAAACAGGTTCGGAGCCGAAGCTACAGTGCCAGTGAAATGTCAAGAGTTGTCGAACGTCTCATGTACCTGAAATTTGTTTTGCAATTGGTGCTGAGGCAAAAGAGGGGGAGTGTCGTACACCAACTTCCCTAGCCAACCAGTCCACCTCGCCTACTAAAACAAGGTAACTCAAGTCTCAAATGTTTTGCAATTGATGGCAAAAAATTTACTTGAGACCCTGCTTTTAAGTTTGCCTCACTCCCACAAGCAAGGCCAACCCAACCCAAGTGGGGCTAAGGTTGCCTCACTCCCACAAAGTGTGGCCAACCCAACCCACTTGACCTAAGGTTGCCTCACTCCCCAAAGTGAGGCCAACCCAACCAATGGTCAAACTCACCTTTCCCCTCCAAGCTTCTCTTCCATCTATGTATGCTTTGTTTCTACTCTAATCTAGTAATTGGTTCCAATTCCAACTTTCACACCTTTGGTCAAGGGTGCTTACTTTGAGTATTTTCTCTACTGCAGAGAAGAACGGCCCTGGAACCAGGTCCGTGCCCCCGCCAGGGAGTATCAGCCCGTTGATGGCCCTGAATTTCTGGGAGGACGGAAAAGGGGATGGAAAAGGGAGGGAGATGCTTTGAGACGCCTCAAAACAGAACTACTGTCGAATGGCCCTGGAACCAGGTCAGTGCCGCCCCCTGGGAGTATCATCCCGTTAATGGCCCTGAATTTCTGGGAGGAGGGAAGAGAGGATGGGAAAGGGAGGGAAACGGATGAAGGAAGGATCGCAGAGGAAGGGGCAAGGGGAATTGACGAAGGGAACCGCAGCAACATAATGAGACCTGAACTTGGCACCGTGCATTTTTCCTGGAAACATGTACGAGAAAGATAACCCGTTGATGGTCCTGCGAGTGCTTATAACGAGGCAGCACACAATTTCCCGAAACAATCTGCACCAATGATTTGTTAGGATTCTCAGAAACCGATTACTTGTGAAGAGCAAGCTCGTCACAGAGGGTCAATGGGATAATTCTCAAAACAGATTCTTCGAAACCTGAGCTACTTATGAAGGGCTAACGTACCTTCTCGATCAACCAATCGGGATCATCGTACAGGATCGGCACCGGCCTCGCTCCCGCGCTCTCCACCCACTTCACGTACGACGCAGCGATGTACGACACGCTGAAATCTGGATGGGAGCGAGGGAGGGGAAACATCAGTCAGAATGGGAGCTTTTCCCCCCCTTCACATACGACGCGACGATTTACGAATTGGAGGAAGGCAGGTGAAACAGCAGTAAGAATGATCCCCGGATTTCGAGTGTTTAACTTTCGCGCCGACCCGCATTCACACCTTCCTTGGCGTTAATTCGAGGCGCTCGTCCCCCATCGCCGTCTCCCGGCTGCGACAGAATGCCGATCAATGGCTGATCGTGCACCGCCGGCGGCTTGGCGTCTACGGCCCGTCGATTGCCGAATTCGGCGTCGGATCCCGCCGACAGTGTGAGAAAGGGGTTTCGAGAAACCGCTTGAGTCGACTCGAGAAGCCATGCTGCGATGATGGCGAATACGAATGTCGAATTGAGCACATAACGGATCGACGGTTTCAGTTGCATATGGGATTTCAGTCTCCGTGAGGTCGCCATATTCGCTGGCACAGCACCTGACTGAACAGAACAACCCAGACGACAATGGTTGACGCGAACGAATGAATTCGTGTCGTATCTTTGACTTCTAGGCAGCCGGACCTAATGTAGGACCTTATTCCTAAACTATTCGGCTGGAGAATAAATCTTGTAGCAGCCAGAAACCATAACCAAGCAACCTGGAACTTAGGTGATTACGTAGGGCTACAGGCAGCTGAATTCATCCATGCTCCAGCACAAATAGATCGGTACTGTAGGGTTCAGAGAGTTCCTGTGGGGTGACTAACTTCCATCCAACCTCTGAGGCTCTGTGAGTTGACTGCCGCCCTGGTAGTTTCGAGCGGCGCGAATGCTTTTGCTATTTTATCCGAGCATGTGGATATCCTGACCAATGGGAATCGCCAGTACCTCACCACATGGGTTCAGCTCGGCGTCATATCAGCCACAGGATGCATGCCATGTCACCATTGTTGTCATGCTACTAAAGACGAGAGGGTCGAGAAAGCAAGTTGTCATTAATCAGGTCGTGAAACCTACACCATTGTTGTTATACCAAATCGTCTACGCATGAGAAAGTAAGTTTCTGCAAATGAAAGCATGGTAAACAAACAGCACAAGCCACAAATCATGATTATTGCACACCAGTTTCCCTTATGATTTCTACGCAACACCACAACCCGCAAATCATAAATCTCACATATGAACATAGAATAAAGCAGAGTAATCAACTCTTGGTGGAACACCAAAGATAGCACAATGACCACAAATTTAATTCGCGTGCTTGTGGCTGACCTTGGCGCATGTAGCTGCAAACGCCATAACGAATTTGTGCTGTACATCGGGCCTTGTGAGGTACTCCGCATGCTGAAACCCGTCGTTGTAAATCACATTCACATTGTGGCGAGCCAAGTGGCTACAGCACAACAGGTGGAGAGAGGAGCAGGGAAAGCAGAAGTAAGCAGGAGGGAGGGAGGAGGAAGGGGAGAGCGAAGAGAAACAGTACAACACACAACAGGCTACTTGCCCCATGAGCTATGATCTTGGGAATTTATTCCGCAGAGTAGCACAAGCAATGGTCACAAGAGAGCCACCTTACCCTTACCTCTGCACCTGCGGCGACGGCACCAGCTGGTCATCCCCTGCCAGCATCACCAGTGAGGCGGGCAAGGGCGCTGGTACCAACAAAGCACACGCTAGTCATCACCCGTGCTCTCACCTCTGCCCGTACACTCCAAGGAAGAGAGCTCACCTCTGCACCTGCGGCGACGGCACCAACTGGTCATCCCCCGCCAGCATCACCAGAGAGGCGGGCGGCAGCTCATCACCCCACACCAGGTACTCCTGCCTGCAGTGGGGTGGATGGGATGGATGGGGCAGAAAGGGAGGAATCAGCAACGGTATGAGAAGGACACACCACGTGTTGCAGTAGCTACTCTTAAGGCAGCTCGTCACCCCACACCAGGTGCTCCTGCCTGCGGTGGGGTGGATGGGGTAGCAGAGACAGCGGGGTAACGCGGGCGATATGAGATACTGTGAGCTGCCTGCAGCTCCCGAAAGCAAAGCAAGCAGGCAGCGCCTACCACAGCAGCGCAAACCAGCGAACCAACTACTCACCATGAGAAGCCGCGGCAGCAGATGCTCCGAGCCACCTGCAGCTCTCGCGAGCACAGCACCCAGCGCAACACGTGTGCTTCTACCCGCCCATGCCATCCCATACCAGCAGGAAGAAGAGGGAGTGGCGCAACTGACTCAACACCCAAAGCACATTCTCACCATGAGAAGCCGCGGCAGATGCTGCGAGCCACCTGCAGCTCCCGCGAGCACAGCACCAGATCAGCAGTAGCCCAGTCCCCAGCTCAAGTCCTATGTGTGCTTCTAGCCGCACTATTGTTCTAGCAGCCCTGCTCACCAGGAGAAGCCGCGGCAGATGCTGCGAGCCACCTGCAGCTCCCGCGAGCACAGCACCCAGCGCACTGCCTCGCCTATCCACGCTGCTAGGTGGTCTCCGCCTGGCAGGCTGGGAGGGTGGAAGGGAGAGTAGGAGGGAGGACGGGGAAGGCACAAGTGTTGGTTGAGTGAGTGAGCAAGCATCACTGCACCCAGCGCAGGGCATCACCTATCCACGCTGCCAGGTGGTCTCCGCCTGGGAGGCTGGGAAGGAGAGGCAGCCGGCAGGGAGAGGAGAAAGAGAACAGAGTATGATTTGGATGCTATGTCAAGAGAAGAAGAGGAGAACAGAGAAACATGATTGTGGAGTCGAGAATTGTGGCAGCATGTGCTTGTGCTCGCTCTGTGCGCTGTGCTCATTCTCTGCCCTCGTTATTTTACCGTCCATCTGGCTGTGGTCCTTCTCTGTGCACAATAGCTCGAGAACAAGCACAATAACTCGTCATCGAGCGATTCGCCTGCAGATGGACGGACGCGTGTGCAGTGAAAAGCAGCATTATTTTGCACTTGTTACAGAGCGACTCACCTGTAGACAAACGTGTGCAGCACTTTGGGCAGGCAGAGCAGCAGGCAGACTGGGTCGATGATGCTCATTGCTGCTATCATGGAGCGATGCCGACGCAGGAGCTGTTGGGAGGGAGATAGGTGCAGCAGAGACAGGGAAGAGACAGGGAAAGGGAAATAAGAATGAAAGACAGGGAAGAGACAGAAGGAAGAGCACCAGGCAGAATACGTTGGACCAGACAGGTCTTTTGAGGCGCCTCAGAAGGGCACGAGGCAGAATATGTCGGACCCGACAGGTCGGACCCGACAGGTCGGACGGACAATGCTCATTGCTGCTCAGTGGACACCAAACGCATGATCTGAACACAGCCTTCTCGTTTCAGCCACACTCGTTACAAGCACAACTCCTTACAAGCACTGTTAGTCACAGAGGCAGCAATAAAGGTGCTGTAGCAGCAGCCGCTCAGTACATGCCATACACATGAGCACTGCCCTCTTGTTTCTATGGAACTTGCTACAAGCACAACTCGCTACAAGCGCAACTCGTTACAAGCACAGCTCGCTACAAGCACAACTCACTATAAGTACCACCTCGTTACAAGCACTGGTACTCACAGTGGCAGCAATGAAAGTGCTGTACGAGTGGCCAACATACGCCACACGCTTGTACCCGTGCTTGCACAGCGTCTCAACCAGAGCAGAGGCCTGAAATGGAGGGGGGAAGAGGGGGCGAGGGGATAGTGGGGAAGCGACTTGAATGGAGGAGGAAGAGCAATGAACGTGCTGTAGGAGATGCAACACAGGAGTGGGCAGGCGAGGGGGGGAGAGGACTGGTAATGAGGGTAGGGGTAGGGTGAAGAGCATGGCACAGCACTCACCACTTCCTCAATGGTGGGCGATGCAGAGGTGAGTTGACAGGCAAGGTGGGGGCAAGGAGACGCGAGGTAAGGAGGGTAGGGGCAAGAGGGATTAACGAGGGCAGCAACGGCATTCACCACCACATTCTTGAAAGCGAATGGGGAAGTTGGATAGTGCACTCACCACTTCCTTGAGAAGCAGTTGAGAATTTGAGGGAAGCAGTTGAGGGAGGGAACGTGGAGCGTCTATACCCACCAGCGATGACAGTCAGTGATGGCCGAATTCACGTGAACGTGGAAATCTCGGAAGAGGTACACCGTGCCGGACGGCATCCGACTGTTTCTGAGGCTGCGAACTGATCTGAGAAAAAAAAGTTGGAAGCCGTCCAGCACTGTGTACCTCTTCCAAGATTCCCACGTTCATATAAATTCGGCGATCAGTGACTTGTCACACCTGGTGGGTATAGACGCTCCACGTTCCCTCCCTCACATGAGTGGATTCGAGAGTTTGTTTTTCTCAAATTCGTGGCACTTAGCAGGGTACAATGTATTGAGAGTCCTACTGTTTTTCCTTCAGCTAAAATTAACTTCTTAACTCTGCAGCTCGCCCAGCTTCATGGCTGAAAGTGGATGAGGAAGTAGGATAGAGCACTCACCACTTCCTCGATGGTGGGCGAAGCAGAGGTGAGTTGGCAGGCGAGGTGGGGTAGCTCGACCACAATGAAGGGCTGGAGGTGGAGGGGAGGGGAGGAGAAGGGACGGGAGGGTAGGTAGGAATGAAGGCGAGGTAGGGCGTGAGGCCGATGCCCAGCCCGTGCCAGAGCCCTATTACAAGTTTCATACTCGTTATAAGCACGTGCATTCACTGACCTTAGAGCCAAAGGCAGCGAGCAGCATGTGGATGAAGGCGAGGTAGGGCGTGAGGCCGATGCCCAGCCCGTGCCAGAGCCCTATTACAAGTTTCATACTCGTTATAAGCACGTGCATTCACTGACCTTAGAGCCAAAGGCAGCGAGCAGCATGTGGATGAAGGCGAGGTAGGGCGTGAGGCCGATGCCCAGCCCGTGCCCGCACCCTACAAGCATCATACACGCTATAATCCGCTATAAGCACCAGACGCGCTATAAGCACTCACCTTGTTACCAAAGGCAGCGAGCAGCATGTAGATGAAGGCGAGGTGGGGCGTGAGGCCGATGCCCATACCTAACCCGTGCCCGTGCCCATACCCTACAACAAGCTTTGTACGCGTTATAAGCGCTCACCTTGCTCCCAAACGCGGCCAGCGGTATGTGAATGAAGGCGAGGTAGGGCGTAAGGCCGATGCCCAGCCCGTGCCTGTGCCAGTGCCTCTGCCCGTGCCCTACTACAAGCTTCACATGCGTTATAAGCAGTGCACATGCGTTTCAAGCAGTGCACATGCGTTATAAGCAGTGCACATGCGTTATAAGCAGTGCACATGCTCACCATGTTACCAAACGCAGCCAGTAGCATGTGGATGAAGGCGAGGTAGGGCGTGAGGCCGATGCCTAGCCCGTGGATGCAAGCAAGGCAGGGCCTGCAGCACTACACCAAGCACCCCCCACCATGGGCCTCACCACGCACCTTGGAGCCAAACGCAGCCAGTAGCATGTGGATGAAGGCGAGGTAGGGCGTGAGGCCGATGCCCAGCCCGTGGATGAACACCACTGCGTCGTAACCCTCTGCACCGCTCTCCGCCTCCGCCTCTGCCTTGTGCGCCTTGCTCCCCTTCTGCTCCTTCCACCCCGGCCGGTGAAAATAGTGCAGGCCTGATGGGGAGACGTGCCTGTAAGGGGGCATACACACACACACACACACACACACACACACACACACACACACACACATGGGGGACCAAGCACAGGTTGGTGCATCGCGTGTTGTGTGCAGCGCGTGGCTTGAGTAAGAATGTCACACCCTCCGCCATTGCTTCTGCCTCCGCCTTGTGCGCCTTGTTCCCCTTCTGCTCCTTCCACCCCGACCGGTGAAAGTAGTGCAGGCCTGATGGGGAGACGTGCCTGTAAGGAGGGCAAAGAGCGACAGGAAACCCATAGGCACATGCATGGGGACCGTTCGTTGGTAAGGCGCACACACACCCATGCGCCTTGTTCCCCTTCTGCTCCTTCCACCCCGGCCGGTGAAAATAGTGCAGACCTGATGGGGAGACGTGCCTGTAAGGAGGCATACACACACACACACACATGGGGGACCAACCACAGGTTGGTGCATCACGTGTTGTGTGCAGCGCGTGGCTTGAGTAAGAATGTCACACCCTCTGCCATTGCCTCCGCCTCCGCCATTGCCTCTGCCTCCGCCTTGTGTGCCTTATTCCCCTTCTGCCTCTTCCACCCCGGCCGGTGAAAGTAATGCAGGCCTGATGAGGAGACGCGCCTGTTGAGAGGCACACAACAGCTACACACGCACACACGCACAGAGACACACGCACTTCAAGGGACGTCAGCTACGGCACCATGTGTCCCCACGCGTACACCAACCAACAGCGGTTGCACCACCGCCCGCAGCGGCTCCTGTGTGTGAGCCTTAACAGCCTCATGTGTTCCGCCTGTTCCCCTGGGTAACACTCACCCGCGGAAGCCCAGGAGCGCGAGGCAAATCCAAGTCAGTGATTTTTGAGAATTCTCAAAAAGCACCCAGGAGTGCGAGGCAAGTCCAAGTCAACCAAGCGACCATGTGCCCCCACGCATACACAACCAACGGATGCACCACTGCCCTCAGCGGCTCCTGAGTGTTCCTCCTCCTATACCTCTGTGTTGCCCCCTACCAGACCCCCCTTGTACCCCTGTTCCTCTCAGGTAACACTCACCTGCGGAACCCCAGGAGGGCGAGGCAGAACCAGGTCAGCCACGCCACCATGTGCCCCCAAGCGTAGACGAACAGCGGATGCACCACCGCCCTCAGCGGCTCCTGCGTGTGCGCCATGAACCCGATCCCCTCCTCCCCGTTCCGCCACTTCCCCCCACTCTCAGCTTCCCCCTCCCCTCCGCCCTTCCCCTCTCCGCCCACCACTGCTTCCGCCATTTCCCCCATCACCTCGACCGCGGCTGTTTCCCCCGCTGCTGCTGCTGCTGCGACTGTCGTTGCTGCTGTCACTGCCGCTCCCGCTGCTGCTGCCGCCGCCCAGGATACCGCCCCGGATTCCGGGTCTGTTTCGGCTCCTCCTGCTCCTGCTGCTCCCGCTCCTTCTGCTTCCCCAGCTGCTCCGCCTGCTGCTGCTGCACCCGCGGATTCACCTGCGCCTACTGCGCCCGCGCCTGCTGCTTCCGCGGAGGGTTCCGCCTGCTGCAGGTCCGCGGAAGGGGGAAGGTCGGAGGCGGAAGGGCGGCGGAGCATTGGGAGGTCCCACACCTGCGCGATCGAGTGCATGTGCGCTGAGAGTGGGATGGGGGGGAAGAGTGGGACGAATGGATGGGGGGGGGGGGAGGGGAAGACACGGGGAAGAGTGGGAAGAATGGATTGGGGGGGGGGGGGAGGGGAAGACAAGGGGAAGAGGAGTGAGGGGAGGAGTGGGCTGTCCCACACCTGCTCGATTGAGTGCATGTGCGCTGAGAGAGAGATGGGGGGAGGGATGAGGTGGGGAGGAGGGATGGGGGGGCGGACAGGGGGTGGGGAGGTGAGCGGGGGGAGATGGAGGGTGGGGAGGGGGGTAGGTGGAAATCAGAGTGAAGGAAATGTCTCAAGTACTCATCCTCTCCATCTTCCCTCCCGCCTCTCCTCCCCACCCACACTCACACATGCACACGCACACCCCACTCCCCCCACCAAACACACCCACTTTCCACAGCCTCCTGGTATGCGGGCGACAGCTGCTCGAACGAGTCATAGAAGCAGCTCCGTTTACTCCCCCCCCTCACAATTACACACGCACACCCCACTCCCCCCACCCACACACCCACCTTCGACGTCCTCCTGGTATTCGGGCGAGAGCTGCTCGAACGAGCGATAGAAGAAGCTGAACGAGAGCAAGCAGCCTTTTCTCGGCTTTCCTCTCACCCACCCACCCACCCACCCACCCACCCACCCACCCACCCACCCACCCACCCACCCACCCACCCACCCACCCACCCACCCACCCACCCACCCACCCACCCACCCACCCACCCACCCACACACCTACCTTCCACAGCCTCCTGATACTCGGGCGAGAGCTGCTCGAACGAGCGATAGAAGAAGCCGAAAGAGATGAACTGCTTGATGTGCTCGCGTGTGAGGCGCTCCAGCGGCGTGTTGTGGAACCAGCCCTCAAAGAAGTAACGCGCGTCCACGATGCCTCTGGAGGGGGAAACAGACAGAGAGCACATGAAGAGGCGGGTGAGGCGCTCCAGCGGCGTGTTGTGGAACCAGCCCTCAAAGAAGTAACGCGCGTCCACGATGCCCCCTGTAGTTTGGGAAGAGAAGTACGAGGGACAGAACGGAGGTAAGGGACGGGAGGGTGAGGAAAGGAGACGGCATCAGTGCAAGGAATGAGATGCGACTCACCCACGACTGAGCAGGTCCGAGAGGTTCTACAGATGCGGCAGCGTGAGGATGAGTCGTCCTCGCTATAGTTGGGCCGCTATAGTTGCAAATGTATTCATTGAAAAAAAAAACACTAGAAAAAAAACTGTAGCGCTTGCTCATTTGAGCTTCAGGATGCGCCTGAGCAAATCCGAGACGCTCTCCAGCGAGGGCAGCGCGAGGATGAGTCATCCTCGTTATAAGTGGGCCCGATGCATAAGTATAAAGATGAATGTATATTCATTTTCAAAACAGGGTAGCGCATGCTTACTCTAGTTTCAGGATGCGACTGACCAGGTCTGAGACGCTCTTTACCGAAGGCGGTGTGCAATGAGTCATCCTCGCTTTGGGTAGATTCGATTTATCCATAAAAAAGACTGAAACAAATCCTCACTTGAGATTGAGAATGCGGCCGAGCAGCTCCGACACGCTCTCCAGCGAGGGCGGTGTGAGGTCCTCGCTATAGTTGGATCCGATGTCTATGGACATACATATACTAAATAACAAACAAGTTTTTGCTCACTTGAGCTTGAGAATGCGGCCGAGCAGCTCCGAGACGCTCTCCAGCGAGGGCAGCGTGAGCTCCGGGCGGTGGTCGCTGGCGTGGCACAGCTGCTGATAGCGAATCGCCACGAAGATAACCTGAGCAAGCGGTGTTGGAAACGAGAGTGGGGCCGCACGCATGTGAATGGGAAGAGAAGGGCAACGTGAGCTCCGGGCGGTGGTCGCTGGCGTGGCGCAGCTGCTGATAGCGAATCGCCACGAATATAACCTGCAAGCGTGGGGGATAGAGTGGAATAGAGAAGGATACAGTGCGGTGGTCGCTGGCGTGATGCACAGAACAAGCAGGGCGCAAGGAGCGCGCAAACAGGGCGCAAAGGGGGCGCAAGCAGGGCGCAGGGAGCGCGGGGCGCAAGCAGTAGCGCGCACCTCGACAGTAGCACAGAAAGCGAGGCAGGGGGGGAGGAGGGGGGGGGGGGAGCAGCGCGGAGAGCGCAAGTTCAGCGCGCCCTCAGCGCGCCCTCAGCGCGCACCTCTGCGCGCGCCTCTGCGCGCAAGCAGCAGCGCGTACCTCGACGATAGGCCAGAGGGCAAGGCAGGACGGGAGCAGGGCGGGGAAGAGCAGCGCGAAGAGCGCAAGATCCCAGAAGCAACGCGCCCTCAGCGCGCACCTCTGCGCACAAGCAACGCGCAAGCAGCAGCGCGTACCTCGACGATAGCCCAGAGGGCGAGGCAGGTCGGGAGCAGGGCGGGGAAGAGCAGCGCGAAGAGCGCGCACGCGCACGCCGGCCCCACGAGAATGCCCACTGTGACGATGCCCCTGCGACGATGAGAGGAGGGAGAAAGGGAGGGAGAGCATGTGACAAGAATATAGGGTGATGCAAGCAAGTCAGCGCACACGCCGGCCCCACGAGTATGGCCACTGTGACGATGTCCCTGCGACGGGAGAGAGATCGATGCGCCGAGAAGAATGCGAGGATGAGAACATTGCGATGAGAACATTGCGACGAGAACATTGCAACGAGAACATTGCGATGCCCCTGCGACGATGAGAATGGTGCGACGATGAGAATGGTAACGAGAACAATGCGACAATCGCCTCCGAATAAAGTATTCTCGGATATCTCTAGCACCCCGCAAATAGTGCGAACACCGTGCCGCCGACACACTCGAAGAATGCCGAGCAAATAGCGCTGACAGTCTAGAATGCATGACAGAATCTCTGAGAGACTAAGAACTCTGTACGAAGAGCGAGCGCTACTATTCCGCAGATTAGGCGAGCACTGCACCGCGCACTGCGCCGAGTGGACACACATACCAGACAGCGCGGACCCTCTCGCCCTCAACGAGCTTCTGCTCCAGCTGCTGCGTCCGGCTCGCCGTAAGCAGCGGCGTGGTTTCCGCGGCGCTCTCCTCACACTCCACCCGCACGTCCACCGCATGCGCCGGAGCCGCCGCGTTTTCCGCTCCTCGATGGTGCTTCTTGTGGTGCTTAACCGAGTGATGATCCCCGTGCTTAACGGAGTGATGCTCCCCCGCATCGCGGTGACCCGCTCGCTGCTGCTGCTTCAGGGGCGGCGCGTCGTGGTGGTGGTGCTTTTTCCCGCCTTTTGTTCGGCGACGCGTGAAAATACCCTGATTGGCCAGCTTGTACCACGAGCGGACCTTCTCCTCCACCATGCTCTGAAGCGCCGTCTCCCATTGGCTGATCACTTGCACTTGGACGGGCGGCGCGGTGGAAATCGCGTCGGACGTGTCGAGCACGACCGCCGCCATGGTTCTCGTTTTAGCTCAACGCAGCCGGTAACGCGAAGCCGAAACGGGGGAAAAAACTAGAACCGTCGATTTAACGAACCGAACAGCCGGAAAACCGACGGCGACGATGAGAAGCTGCCTCGCCGTTCCAATAATCCCTCCCTCCAACCAAGCAACACTACCGAGCAACCTACCCCTCAATACAAACAAGAACCTCCCAACCAGGGCTATTGCTAGGATTTTTGCTAGCTCGGACGATCCGGGCCCCTGTGAAAAAGACCCTGTAAAATCCGAGCCAGCGGAAAAAAAACCTTGACGAATCCGGGTTCGAGCCAGAAAAGGCCTGAAAACATGCATTACCAGAATTTCGCGGGAAACTCACAGTGGGTTGCACGAGGGCTGGGGAGATTGGAGATGGAGTGGCTCTGGAGGGGTGAGCGAGATACTTATTGTAGACTTCGAAAAAAATACGATGAGGAAGAGTACATAGGGAGAACAGGGCAATCAGACACTCTCTCCTTATTGGCCTTCTAAGCCATGTCGACGTAGAACAGGGCAATCAGACACTTGGAGGCCAACAAGGAGAGAGTGGTTAGGAAATTCACTAAAAGTGGCCCACGTGTGTTTAGAGGGAGACGGAGAGGAATGCAAGGCAGGTCGGGGAGAACATGTCTGCTAAAATTATACGGGTCCCCTTGAGAACTCCCCGGAGAGATCCGAGCTGACTCAATAATCACCCTTCAGTTTTACGGGCTGGTCCAGAAAAAACCTTGTGAAAATCAGGGCTCCTTGAAAAAACACCCTATAATTTCAGTCAAAACAGGGTAATTGCCCTGATAACTTAGGCCCTGCTCCCAACCTACACGCAGTTCCGAAACCCTAACCCAACACAGGTTTGTGAAAATTCGAGCCACGCACGCGTTGTTGTGGCAGCCGACAAACGCAATCCGCCTTGGGCTTGGCTCGGCTGACTGCGCCACCAGGGTGTGTGGGGCGGGGGAAATAGGGCAGTGAGAGGTCGGGCGGGAGGGTGCGCGGGCGCAACACTTGCAGGGCTGTGCGGAAGGGGTTGGGGGGAGGCGGCGGCGCGGTCAGAATGAGGGGCACGGGGCCTTGGGTCCTTGGCGCGAGGGGATTGGAAGGCGAACGGACAATTTCCGCTGAGGATGCGCGGGGAAGGGCGACGAGGGAGCGCGTGGAATTTCTGGGCTGTTCGGAGATTTGAGCTGCCCGAGGCCAGTTCGCCTGCGGCAAACTTCCACTCGTCAATGCCAAGGGGAAGAACAAGAGCCTCGTGGTTGCGCTGTTTCACTGTAGCTGGGGCTAAAGTTTCCGATGTTCTGATGATGCGAATGTGCGGCTGCGATTGCTTCTGCAGTATCCTCAGGTGACACAGCTTTGCGCGGGATCTTGGGCTGTACCCACCTGAAGGGGCAGCAAGCAAACCGCGGCGGCAATCCCGAAGGTCTATCCCAAGCAGGCGGCAAACCTTCCTATGATGCGCAGTCTCGCCACGTGCCAGGGTGTTTGGAGGGAGGTTGGGGGTGGGGGAATGTTCCCGACTCGACTCAAAATGACAGGGTTCCTCCCAGGGGCAATACCGCGATGGGGTCAGCGCGCAGAGCAGGAGGGGGAGGAGGAGGGGGAGGAGGAGGGTGAAGGGGTGGGGGTGTCAGAGCGTTGGGCACAGGCACATGAAACTGGGGCGACTACACGAAACGAGGTTCCCCCGCACTGCTGCCCGCTACCCCAGCCGGGGGCTCTAGCACAAACTTTCGATTGCGTTAGCCCAATTGTACTTGATATTATGTGATTTATGCTTTAGCCCTTTCCAAAGGACAAGAATGGAAGACGCAGAGGCCTGCTTTCCAAAAAGAGTACATCAGTAGAAATTCCCCAAGAAAAGCTAGCCACCTGACAAACAGTGGTGGTGAAGTGAAGAAATTGCCTGCTTGCAATTTCACGCGTGCTGCTGACGTCATAACTCGAAATAATTGCATTTCTGTGCGCTGCAGATACTGATTTTAGCGGGAAAAGCCGCCACACGTAAGGGCTTCGTTAGAATGTCTTGTACAGTCTGGGAAATTTAGACTGGAATACTACAGCATTTATACACAAACATACACCAGCAAAATGACCCCCCTATTTGAAGCAGCATAAGGGATGCTGTGTGATGAGAAACCAAACTCCATTTCAACTATCAAAAACAGTTTTCAACTCGCCTGTCTCAAGACCTGTGAAGGGAAGGGCACAGAACATAAAGCGGAAAAGCTTTTTCAAAATCGCTTGAACTAGCATCCATTTGAACACACTGATAATGTAGGCTGGTTGTGATCCACAAGAGCGGGACCTGTGAAGAGCGTCATCCAACCACAAGGAGCATCGGATTTGCAAAGATCGACTGTAGGCATACAACCAAACCCCTTTCTCCCATTCCAGGGAACTATGGCCGATCTGGACCTCACCACATGTGCCTACAACGGTTTTCTGACCTACATACTGCATGCAAGCCATTTCCGCTGAAAAACGAAAAAGAAATCCTCGAGATCTGGAGAGGAAAGCCACGACCCTAAGATAAGCATCTTGAAATAAGTCAGGTAATTCTAATCTCTCCACGGCTCACCTGCGTACAGCTCTTCCGTCTGTCGTCGCAGGTTCCAGTGGTGCGTCTTCCACACCAGACCGCCAACGACGCCGAGCGACAAACCCATGGCGATCTCTTTAAGTACGCTCACATTCACCTTGTGCGCCTTGACTTTCGTCGCCTGCACCTTGGGATCTGTCAGCACCTGCTTCACTCGCGCACTCGCGCTCGCGAGCTTCGACATCGCGAAAAAAAGCTGGCTAGGAGATTAATGGGTGCTGAGCTGAGGACTACTACGAGGCATCCGTGAGGGGACGCTGTGCTCGATCAAAGTGCTCCTCCGTTCGCGAGAACATCGGATTCGAAACGAAGATTATCGCCACTGCGCGAAGAGAATGCGATATAACCTTGCGATTGAGTGCAGGCAAAGGGTGGGGTGGATCCAGGGCCTGGGTGGAATCCCAGGACCAGGAACGCACCGAGCAGTAAGCAAGGCATGCAGCAGCCATTGCTTCGTTTGAGTGGTGCATGGACTAGGGTGCAGAGATTAGAGGTGGGGAGATTCCAGCATGTTTGCCAACTGGAGATTTGGGAGTGGCGACCTGCGAATTGGCGACAGCAGCCAAAATCATGACGAAAGCGGAAAATTGGAAAAGGCCGATGTTCCTGACTCTGATTGCGAACTAGCGAAATCTTGAGATTAACAAAAGCCTGCTTGATGGAACCCAACGGCGAATCCATTTCCCTGCCCACGAGACGATCGCGAAATAACCAGCGACTGGGTCACTCGTTTGGGTTCGTCAGGCCTATCTGGCCTTCCCCGCCCAAATCACAGCCCAGCGAACCATGGAGTCCAGCTGTGCTCTAACGTAGATAATCCAATCGTTTGCAACCGCACAAAACCGTTTACGAAAGCGCTGTAGCACATTTCATTCCCACATGCACCCCACATCTTCACCTCTCCCACCCGCAGTTTGCGCCGGATCCGGCGCCGCATCCCTCGCCGCTTCCGCCTTCTCTTGTACTTTCAAAATTATATCGTCGTTAATTTTTTTTCTTTATTTTTTTTTTCTCCCTGAATCTTCAGCGGCATGAAATGGCCAGCGGCAATCCAAAATTAGTAGCTGCCTTGCGAGCTTGCCACGCAGGGCTCCGTCGTACCTTCCAATCGTCCTCGCTAGTAGCAGCCCCGCTACCATCCGTCCTGCATCACCGCTGCCTGTCATATCTCCCCGCACTTGGCACCGCGAAACCCGCCGCCGATGGCAGCACATCAGCCCCTGGCAAAACCGGAGCTCCCCGCGTTTTCACAACCACCAGTAACAGCAGCAGCTTCGAAGATGCCACGTGTCAGCTGGAAGTGTGGAGTTGGGGTCGCGGAGATTCCGGGCAGTTGGGGCATGGAGAAGAAAATCCCGAGTGGGCCCCGAGGCGAATCGAATCTCTCTCCCTTGAGATCTCTGCGCTAGCCGCCCCTGCAGCCGCCGCCGCCGCCGCCGCCGCCGCAGACGCGCTTCGGTTCGCAACAGGAGGTCAAGCAGCAACAGGCGCGATCCGAAGCGCGTCTCTCAGTAGCCTTAAGGAGCAGCTACGAGCGGGCGTGTCTTGCGGGATCAGCCACTCTCTCCTGTGGCTGCGCGGGAGGCTCTGGGTTTGGGGAAGAGGGGACGGCGGAAGATTAGGTCTGGGGAATGAGATTTCCCTCTTCTCCCCAACCCTAAACCCTGATTTTCCGGGGGAGACGGTAGTGCGCAGCGCAGCGGCTGGCGGGTTGCATTCTTTGGCGGTTTCTGAGCGAGGGGAACTGTTCACGTGGGGCTATGGCGGGTTCGGGGCGCTGGGGCATGGGGAGTTTACCAGGAGGGACGTCCCCTGCCACGTGGCGCCCGCTGATTGGCTGGAGGAGGGCGTGGAGATTAAATCAGCAGCAGCTGGGGGGAGCCATACGCTGGGTTTAAGTACTAATGGGAGGGTTTATGCGTGGGGGAGGGATGAGGGGGAAGGGCGGCTGGGTATCCCCCATATAGTGGACGCGATAGGAGAAGAGGGGTGCGTGCCTCGGCCAATCCCGGTCGAGTTTCCGGCCTCCCAGGGCCTGCCACGTGGCGGAATTTCATTGGTCGCGTGTGGGGGGTTCTTCTCTGCTGCTGTGGACTGCGATGGCGGCGTGTGGACGTGGGGAGGTGAGGAGCGGTAGGGAGGGGTGAGGGGCGGTAGGGGGGGGTGAGGGGTGGGTGAGAGCCGTACTGGGGGGGTTCGGTGGGTGAAGTCGAGAGAGGTTTGATGGGGCTGCTGTGGATTGCGAGGGTGGCGTGTGGTGGTCGTGGGGAGGTGAGGAGCGGTAGGGAGGGGTGAGGAGCGGTAGGGAGGGACGAGGAGCGGCAGAGGGGGATGTTTAAATGCATCGATGGAATAGGGAGGTTGGGGTGAGGGAGAGAGGAGGCGTGTGGGGGAGAGAGGAGGCGTGTGGGGGAGAGAGGAGGCGTGTGGGGGAGTGAGAGGAGGCGTGTGGGGGAGTGTGTTCTCTGCTGGTGGACTGCGATGTGAGTGTGTGGACGTGAGGAGGTGAGGGGCGGTAGGGGTAGTGAGGGGCGGTAGGGGAAGGTTAGGGGCGGTAAGGCGAGGTTTGGGGCGGTAAGAGGAGTTGAGGAGCGATAGGAAGAGGTGAGTGGGGTGGGGGCAGTACTGTGTCTAACCATGTTCCTATCGCGTCCAACCATGTCCAACCATGCCCCACCATTCCCCACCAACAGGGAACCCCCGGTCACTTGCGTAGCAACTGGTCGTACCGCCCCCCGCCATTGGGGTGGGAGCACGCAATGTGGGGTACCATGGGACAAGGTGGGGTATGGTGGGGCACGGTGGGGTACGGTGGGTCCAGCAGCCAGGTGTGTGACCAGAGCAGTGATGCGAGCAGGGACGAGTCCTGATGATGCTCGCCCCAGTTCGCCATCACCACTGTCACTGCTGCTGTCACAAGCCTACCAACTGACCCCACCTTGCCCCGCTTTGCCCCACCGTGCCTCACCTTTCCTCACCGTGCCGCACCAACAGGCAACCACAACGGCGAACTGGGGCGAGCAGCATCAGGACTCGTCCCTGCTCGCATCACCACCATCACCGCTCCCATTACACACCTAGCCGCTGGTGGTTTCCATACTTTGGCAGTGGATGGTGAGTTGATGTTGAGGTATGAGTGTGTGTGCATTGCCCTCCTCTCCTCCCGTCCCTGCTTGCGTCACCACCATCACCACTGGGATTTCCACACTGCAACTGGCTATCATTAGCCATGCAGCTGCTGGTGGTTTCCACACAAGTGAATTGATACACTTGTGAGTGGCCTCCTGTTTCCTCTTCTTCCCCCCCCTCCCTCTCCCTCCCCTGTTTTCTCCTTTCCCACAAGCAGACGAGGGTCGCGTGTGGTCGTGGGGGAGGGGCGGCAGCGGCCAATTGGGGCAGCACTCGCTGCTGACTCAGCCAGTGCCACGTGTTGTCCCAGGATTGGCTGGAGTGAAGATCGCCAGGGTGGCAGCAGGGAGTGCTTGGAGCGCTGCTTTGTCAGGTGGGTGGGGCAACACAGCCAGGTGTTTGCACAGCAGAACCAGATGCTTATGCAACAGAGCCAGGTGTTGTTTTTTGCAGCAAATTCAGGTGCTTTTGCAGCAGAAGAGTGCTGTACATAGCCCAACCAAAATACAATACAGCACATGTGCGATATTGTTTTCTGAGCTTTATTCATATTTTTATTTTATTTTATTATTTTCCCCCTCCCTTTCTTGTCTGTTATAGCAGAATATCATAGTTTGCCCTTCAATTCCCCCTCATCCCCCTATTCCCCCCTTTCCCCCCTCCCCCCCTCCCCCCCCTCCCTCCGCTCCAACCCACCCATCCCTCACCCAGATGAAGGGCAACTTTTTGTTTGGGGAAAGAATGCGGACGGGCAGCTTGGACTGGGAGCTGGGCAGCCCAAAATTATCGACAAGCCACGTGAACTTTCGCTCCCATCAGTACCGTTACTGGCACAAGAACAGAAACTACCCTTGGAAACAGGACTAGTATCTGGTGCTTCTGTTAGACGAGTGGTTTTAGATGTGGCTACAGGAACAAGCCATGGATTGTGCATATGCTTGTGTACACCTGCGCCGTAAAATGAATCATGCAAGATGTGCATTAGAGTTAAATCTGGTACCTACTTACTTTTTGAAGAATAAACTCAGGGTACATTCGGGCCTTGACGCTTCGGAGTTCGCGTCGAAATCGAACTACACCTAAATTCGAAAATTTTCGAAAAAATTTTGATGTGTGACACTTGGATGTAATTCGGTGCAATTCACTGTACAAAGTTGCTTTCCTTACAAAAGCATGAACCCTTCGAAAGAAGCAGTTCACTGTAGTCCAACCAAATTAACAATCTCTTTGTGCCAAGTAAAATAACAACCACGTCTCATTTCTTCAGAATGCGTGCGCGCGCTGCTTGAAATTCTTCCTCAGTGGGTTCTTTCCACTCCTCTTTTCCATTCATCCCCTTCCCTTTCCCCTTCCCCTTGCCCCTTCCTCTCCCTACCACCACCACTTCCCCTCCCTCTCCCTCCACTCTGCCTCCCCTTTCCTCCTCCTCCTCCTCCTCCTCCCCCTTTCTTCTGCTTCCCTCCGCCTTTTCCCCCTGCTTTCCCTCCCCTCTTCCCCGCTCCTCCCTTCCCTCCTTCCCTCCCTCCTCCCTTCCCTCCTCCCTTCCCTCCTCCCTTCCCTCCATACTTTGCTGCCAGAGAATCAAACAAATCCTCAGCAGCTTGAGCCCTCGCTGATTGGCGGTTGAGAATGAGAGCCATCACGCCCTGGTTGCTCTCGTATTCGCTGCTGTTGAGGTCAGGGTGTGGGACAGACAAGGGACAGAACAGGGTTTCTCAGCAACAAGGGACAGACATTCATTCTCTCGCTGGTTGAGAATGAGAGCCATCACGCCCTGGTTGCCCCAGGTATTCGCTGCTGGTCGGATTGGGGTAGGTACAGACAGGAGGTGGGGAGGGAGGTGAGCGCGCGGGATGGAATGAAACTTGAGCCCTCGCTGATTGCCGGTTGGGAATCAGGGCCATCAGGTCCTGGCTGCCCTCGTCTTTGCTGCTGCTTGGGTGGGGTTAGGGGAAGGGAAGGGGAAACGAGGGCCGGTTGCCGATTGCCGGTTGGGAATCAGGGCCATCAGGTCCAGGCTGCCTTCGTCTTTGCTGCTGGTTGGGTTGAGATCAATCAAGGTATGGATAAGACAAGAGGGAGAGGGGAGGAGGCTGAGTGTCTCTGTGTGTGTGGAGTGCATGCACGTATTCATGTCAGTGTGAGTACATGTATGAGTACATGTGCGAGTACATGTGTGAGTGCATATGCGACTGCATGCATCAAGTGTGCATGTGTGTGAGCATATGTGAGTACATGTGTGAGTGCATGTGTGAGTGCATGTGTGAGTGCATGTGTGAGTGCATGTGTGAGTGCATGTGTGAGTGCATGTGTGAGTGCATGTGTGAGTGCATGTGTGAGTGCATGTGTGAGTGCATGTGTGAGTGCATGTGTGAGTGCATGTGTGAGTGCATGTGTGAGTGCATGTGTGAGTGCATGTGTGAGTGCATGTGTGAGTACATGTGCGAGTGCATGTGTGAGTGCATGTGTGAGTGCATGTGTGAGTGCATGTGTGAGTGCATGTGTGAGTGCATGTGTGAGTGCATGTGTATGTGCATGTGTGAGTGCATGTGTGTGTGCATGTGTGAGTGCATGTGTGAGTGCATGTGTATGTGCATGTGTGAGTGCATGTGTGTGTGCATGTGTGACTGCATGCATCAACAAAAGGAAGAGGGGGGTGACTAGTCAGAAGCACCCTTACTCCGCAGCAAGAGGGTCGGCAGGAGCAGGTTTCTTGGAAACTTCTGCTGCCCATTTTTTGTACGCCTTAGTAGCCTTCAGCTCGCCTGATTCGATAGCAGCATCGAGTATATCCTTGAAGCGATGAGAGTCAATGTCCGGGCGTGCACAGACCTGGCACTCCAGCACCCTGTGAGTGGTGACAGATAAATCAGGAGGGAGGGAGGACAGAGTGGAAGAGAGCAGTTCAAGTATGGGGCAATTCAAAAGCAGCATCGAGTTTAACGAATAAGTGATGCACAGATTTGGCACTCCAGCACCCTGCAGGTGGTGACTGTCGAGAGGGAGTTGGAGGAGGGAGGGACACTAAGGGGGGCAACAGATGAATAGCAGAATTAAGATGTTCCACAAGGCGATGCTAATCCATTTTCCCTTTCCCTCCAACTCACATGTCCATCCGCCCTTTGAATCGCTCGTACAGCTCCTTCAATTCCTTGGCCTCCTGCTCTGACCCCCTGTACTGACGCTCGAATGCCACAATATCCGCCACTGTAATCTGAAAGGAGCGGGGTAGGGGGAAGAGAGGACAAGAGAGATTGCACAATATCCGAATGCCACAATATCCGAATGCCACAATATCCGAATGCCACAATATCCGAATGCCACAATATCCGAATGCCACAATATCCGAATGCCAAAATATCCGAATGCCACAATATCCGAATGCCACAATATCCGAATGCCACAATATCCGAATGCCACAATATCCGAATGCCAAAATATCCGAATGCCACAATATCCGAATGCCACAATATCCGAATGCCACAATATCCGAATGCCACAATATCCGAATGCCACAATATCCGAATGCCACAATATCCGAATGCCACAATATCCGCCACTGTAATCTGAAAGGAGCGGGGTAGCGGGAAGGGGTTGGGTGAGGTGAAGCGGGGTGAGGGAAAGGAGGAGAGGGAAAGGAGGAGAGGGAAAGGAGGAGAGGGAAAGGAGGAGAGGGAAAGGAGGAGAGGGATTTGCACGAGTCTCAAAGGCGGCCTCCTGCTCTGCTCCGACCTCCTGTTCTGCCGCTCGAATGCCACAATATCCGCCACTGTAATCTGAAAGGAGTGGGGTAGTGGGAAGAGAGGACAAGAGAGATTGCACAAGTCACCATCAGACCCGTAGCCTCATGCCACGTGATAAAAGAGTTGTTTTAGACAACAACAAAACAACTCTCAAAACCAACTCTTTTATCACGTGGGAAGAGAGGACAGGAGAGATTGCACAAGGCACCATCAGACCCATAGCCTCATGCTCCCCAAATTCCTGTACGTTTTCTAGTAAGTAATTGAGAAGACCTTGAAAGATGTACAGAAATTAGGGGCAGGAGCTTTGTAAAGGCTTGTCACGGTGTTCCTTGGAAGACTGGTTCACCAAAGCATACACGACCCCATGGTAAACCAAGCAAGTTTGTACAAGGCAATTTCCTTCTCACATCAATGCCCCTTCCCTCTCTCACCTCGCTGTACATCGTTCAGAAAAACTTGTAAAGGTCCGCAACCATGTTGCTTGAGAGCCCCTGCTAACCCTCAAACCTCCCTCCACCTCCTCAAACCTCCTTCCACCTCCTCTCACCTCCTCTCATCTCCCTCACCTCCCCTCACCTCCCCTCACCTCACTGTACATCGTCCGGAAGAACTTGTAAAGGTCTGCAACCGTGTTGCCCGAGAGGCCCTGCGAACACAGAGCACATCAACCATGCATGGAAAGGTTCTTTTCTTAGCATCACGAACTGAAAATCGAGCGCCACAAAGACTCGCATTGTAATCGAGCGCCTCAACACTCACATTGCCATCCTTGCCGTCCCTATCACTGGTGCAGCAAGACTCGTCGTACATCAACATATGCACCCTACTTTTGCTCCTGCCAATCACACCCACATCCCCATTGCCAGTAAGGCTGCCACCAGTGCTGCCAAATACACTCACAGTGCCATCCTCGCCATCCCCATCGCCAGTAAGGCCAGTCTCGTCGTATATCTTCCGCCTCTCAGCGTCCCCCAACACTGCGAACACCCGCTGCAGCGCCTGAAAGCGTTCCTTGGCCGTCTGAAAAAGACACGGGGGGTTGGAGGTTAGTTGGATAGCTGAGAGGATGGATCGTTGAAACTTTGGATGGTTGATACTTCGATTGTTGAATCAGATGGTTAGAATTACTTGATGCTTGGGGAATTGGAGGATATACTCGCCGAAAATCAGCATGATCATCCCTACATCTTCTCTCCTCTTCCCCACCACCTCCTCCCTTCTCTAACCTCGTCGCCCGGGTTCTTGTCGGGATGCAGCCGAAGCGCCATGCGGTGATACGCCTTGCGAATCTCCGCGTGCGTCGCGTCGAGACTCACTCCGAGCACCTGCAACGCGATGTCAAACGTACTCAGTGGAAGCGAAGAGATGATATGAAAACGAATCGAAAGTTGTGGCTCGGCTGAAAACCTTACCGCATAAAGATCCTTCGGATTCGCCTCATCGCCAGCCGTAGATTCCTTCTCATTCGAGGCCGTCGGATCTTCCTTATCCTCTTTCACAGGATTCTCCGCAGCAGCGAAGCGCGGCGACTTGCGCTTGCTCGGCCCTGCCTCTGCGCGCTGCCTTTTCTGCACCATCTCCGGACCCGCACTTAGCGAAGAGACTTTTTTAACAGGTTGCGCAACTGCGGAAGACGCGAAGCGAAGTTGCGATTTCGACGCAACGAGTCGCGACTGTGCAGAGAAGCTAAATAGTATCCGTCCAATGATAGAAGTAGCACTTTGGCTGCAGGGGTTGCTGACTAGCAGTCCACGTTGGTCAATCTGAAACACGCTCGTTAGTGGATGCGCATCACAAGGCGCTCGGCCCACTCCACAACTCAAATACTCACGAATAAAATTCTTTTCTGAGAAACGCTTAAAATATCCTGAAACCGGTAGCGACCGTTCTAGGAAACTTCTTACACGCAAGGCCGTGCGCATCAACAAGAAATAGAGAAATACTTGCAATTAGCATGAATTCTGCTCTGTGGCTTGGAGTATCCTAGCATCCTACAAACTGCCCACGTATTGTGGACCGAACTGGGCCCTGCATTCTGTTTTTTTGGAAGCTCTCTGGGACCTTTGGCGTTGTCGCACGGCCGGGCTGAGCACCCCAATTTTCATTTTACCCAACCGTACTGTATTATTTTGCATCGTAGAAAACCACTCTGGACACATGTGCTCGTCGGACACGCTCAAGGTCTTTCTGAAAATTTGGCGGGAAAACTTCAACTGGTGACAAGCTCGAAGGTTCAAAATTGAGAATTCAGCTTCACAACACACAGTTCGTACGCAATACATACATCTCTCTAATAAAGCAGCTAGGTGAATGCATGAGTGGTAGATTGTTGCAATAAGATCTCCATCCTGCAATCCACTGGCAAAAAGCCAGAGAGAATAGAAATCCACTACTTGATTATTAGTGAATATTATGTAGAATTAAAAAAATTTTATTTTAAAAGGTAAATTTAATGGCGCGTAGTCAGCTTCAGATTTCATACTACGTTTATGTTTCGAGTCCATACAGATCATGTAAGCTCTTTGTAATTGCGCATGTCTGGGAACTCTATCGTGGTTTTCGCATCGAGGTCGCTTCTAACGCCATCTTTCACCATCTTTCCCATCATTCTCATCATCATCCTCCACAAACTATCATCCATAAGTAATCTCCACCGTCCTTCATATTCACCATTGATCATCCTAGACAATATCCCAGTGGCTACATCTGATCTGATCATCCTCCACCTCGAGAACATCAGAAGCTAGCTTCCTCTTCACTCCACGGTTTCGTGCTGCGATTGGGTTTGTCAAAACCGGGTGTGTCAACCAGCACATGGATTTTTACGTAATTATCTCAGTTTCACGTCCGTTCTATTAGGATATCTCGTTTTCTTTGAAGTTACCATTTCTGCTGAAGGAAGGAGAGGAAGGAGTATCGAAATTCGGGACCTGCAGCAGCTGTTTCGACCATGTCGATTCACTTCAAGTTCCGATCCGCGAAGGAGTTTGATTCGCTGGCCATGGATGGCCATTTTATTTCCGTCGCGAATCTTAAGGACCGAATTATTGAGCATAAGGGACTTGGAATGGACTCGGATGTCCAGATTTTCGATGCGCAAACAGAGGAAGGTAGGAGATAGCAACGGCACTCGGGATTGGTCCCTCTGTGCCATGTTTTAGACTAGCTAGGATGAATTGATTCCTTTTTTTGGTTTTGGCCGCCGGCCAATCCATATTGTTCATATGTTATTCATTTTTATTGAAAGAAATGGAAGGGGGAAGGCTGATGGTTTGGACGTCGGACGACTCTTTAGGGTTACATCCTGATGAGACCTCCTTCGCAGGCAGATCGCCACATGAATTAGACTAGCTCAGTCAGCACGGAGGTGCCAGCTTATATCAGGCCCAGCGGCTACGGCAGCAACACTGATTCAGAGCTATGGATGGAGGTCACCGGGATAGACGGAGCTGGACGGAGCTGGACGGAGCTAGACAGAGCTGGACGGAGTTAGACCGAACTGGACGGAGATAGATGGAAGTTGCCGGACAGGGGTAGAGAGTGTTAAGGTTGTCAAGCAATCTGTCAGGAGCCGTAGATCCAACAGCCGTCTCTTGGAGCCGTCAGATCCTTCTCGCACACTTGACCTTTGCAGGGTTGATTTCTGCTCACACTGCAGTTATGGTCGCATCGGCATTTGCCACAACTGCAGCTGTTTTTTTCCCGCCATGTTTTTCTCTCATGTTTGTTTGTTTGCTTGGATTCCTTTATGCTTTACTTCCTGCTCTTATATTTTTTCTTCCTGTGCGAATCTGCTTTATGTATTTTAAGGTCCGTCAGCGTAGTATTCTTAGACGTTGGTGACCATGCTGGTCGCCATGCCTTTCTTGTAGATCCTCGTTTTTTTCTAGTCCCAAATGTTTAAGCAAGCATATTTTTCGTTTTTTTGTTAGTGGCTTGCGGTGCAGCTAGTACTAGTTCAGTTCATAGCGCATCGATCCATGCTAGTGCTTGGCTGCATGGGTTGCAGAGTATGGCGACGACAACCAGCCAGTCCCGCGCAACACCAGCGTCATCATCAAGAGAATTCCAAGATCAAGAGCCCGGGTGGTGCCTCAGCCTCAGCAGCAGCCAGATGAGTATGTGCTCACAACTTATAAGAAAAAAACTAGTTGCCTTTTCAGTAGACTCAAAAATCACCAGCCAGTCCCGCGCAACACCGGGGTCATCATCAAGAGAATCCCAAGATCAAGAGCCCGGGTGGCACCGCAGCCACAGCAGCAGCCAGTTGAGTATGTGCTTACGTGTCCTTGTGATGTGGTCACATGCCCTTCTGCTTCAGACCAAGTGGACATGTACTTATCCTTGGCGCTGGCGCTTGATAAAAAATGAGAATTCAGACAGTTTATTGACGGCTTTTCTTCCTTGCAATCTGCGTGTTGCCCTTCAGTTTCAGGCCTAGTGGACATGCGCCAGGCTCTGGTGCTGGTGTTGGCGCTAATGCTTCTGCTGCTGTGGCTCAGCAGCCTCAGGCGCAGCAGCAGCAGCAGCAGCAGCAGCAGGCACCATCTTACCCGGCATATAAGGGCTACAACCAGCAGCTGGTGAGTTGCAGATTATATTATCAAAGTTACGAGTGAGTTGACGATTGAGTCTAATCGATACCCATTCGCAGCAACAGCAGGTGAGGGTGGAGGTACGAGGATGCACTATGAGTTAGTTTCCACTCCAGGACAATCCTTGAAGAAGATGGAGTTATTCTTTGAGGAAGTGTTAGCTGCAGGTGTTCTCAGATTCTACCACCACCCATTGCTCATAAGTCAGAAGCTGTGACGTCGCCGTATAGGCATGTAATCTGCTTTTTAACAGGTGTTATGTAACTTGTGTTCTGCTTGTGTTCTGCCTTGGGTTGTATCCCGTCAGAATGACATGGACGGCATGATGGATGATCTGGCAGACATCTACGGTGACGTCAGCGGCCACGCTTCTGCCACGTCAGCAGCGCCAGCCACCAACGCCATGGGCGCGTCAGCAGGAGGGGGGGGGCTTGGCGGCACAGGAGGACAGGGAGGGGGCGGAATGGGGGCAGGGGGAGCGGGGGGAGCAGGGGGAATGGGAGGAATGGGGGGAGCGGGGCAAGGAGGGGAGATGGCTGGGGGAGGCGGAGCCATGGGGGGCGTGGGCGCAAGTGTGCAGGAGCAGGTTGATGAGGAGACGCGCATGATGTCTGCCATTGTGGATCAAGCCAGCACGGACTGGCAGAGGTGAGCGGAGGGCGGGGTTATGAGGGGAATAGGGGACATGGGAAGCGTGTTGGGCATGGGAAGCATGGGGGGTAGGTGGATGAGGAAACGCGTATGATGATGTCTGCCATGGTGGATTAGGCCAGCACGGACTGGCAGAGGTGAGCTGTTTTCCTGCTTGCTGGCCTGCCTGCCTGCTTGCCTGCCACTTGTGTGAGTGTGATGGCGGTATGTATGTGCTAGCGAGTTGGTTCAATTTTCATCCCAAGACTTCCGGCCTTACTCCTTCCCTGTTCCTCTTTGCTGCTGCTGCAGGTCTCCGGATCAATTTGGGGGGCGTGGCTACGGCCGTGGGGGATTCTATGGCAGGGGAGGGGGTGGTGGTATGTATTATGTGCTGTTCGTATAGTTTCACAATTTATTCCGCTTGAAGCAATTTTGCTACTCCCCCGTGTATTGAACCCTCTTTCATAGATAAATTGTTTTAAAAAATTAGTACATGTATGTCTGATCATGTGCGAATATGGAAGGTTAGAAAAAACTGAAGGCTGTGGTTTAGCTGACGGGTGCTTTGTCTTGCATGTAATGGGACTCTTCATTCAGCTTGGGACCCGTATCTTTCCCTTGTAATCTGCATGACTGCGTGCATGTGACTGTATGCGTGTGACTGTGTGTACGTGATGGTTTGTATGTGACTGTGTGCTTGTGATGGTGTGTATGCGACTGTGTGCATGTGATGGTGTGTATGTGACTGTGTGCATGTGACTGTGTGCATGTGACTGTGTGCATGTGACTGTGTGCATGTAACTATGTGCATGCGATGGTGTGCATTTTCAGGGCGTTTTCCCTTTCCCCAACGGAATGCGGTCCCACATCCTGGTTACATCTGTTACCGCTGCAACAAACCAGGTATGCATTCACAGGTAGACCAATAGATCCCCACATAGGAGGCATGGCGTAGCGTGGCAGCAGCTGTGTTTAGCAAACTGTTGTTAAGTTTGGTTTTGTGCTTGCTTGTAAAACCCCTTGTGAAAAGGAAAAGGTGGCGGTAACTAGTTTCGGCTCTTCGAGCCTTCTTCAGACCAGGGCGTTTTCCCTTTCCCCAACGGAATGCGGTCCCACATCCTGGTTACATCTGTTACCGCTGCAACAAACCAGGTATGCATTCACATGTGCATTGGTAGAGTTGCTTTTGCAATCTCCCTTAGAAAGGTAAATTTACACGTGCAATTTAGAGAGGAATTATTTTGTGCTCTCTTCTCCCCTATCCCTGCTCTAAGTCTCGAGACTTGACTTGTTCCTGCTGTAAACAGTGCACTTCGAGCAGTGAAGTAGCAAAGTAGTGGTGACCACTTCTAAAGTGCAAGCCACTAGTTTTGAGGCGCCTCAAAAACACACATCAAGCCGTGCCTTAGTGGTTATTTTTCCTCAAGTGCAAGTCATCAGTTCCCCATCCCTCACCACCTCCACCCTTCCCCCGCCTGCTCTCTTCCCTGCCTGCCCAAAGGTCACTACATCAAGCACTGCCCCACCAACGGCGATCCAGCATTCGATGTGGTGAGGCGGGTGCGGCCACCATCGGGCATCCCAAAGAGCTTCCTGCGGCCGGACCAGGGAGGGGGCTACCTCATGCCGGATGGGTCAATGGCTTCTATGGGCGCGCAGGAGATGCAGCAAGGCAACGAGTGAGTCTCAATTGCCTGTGTGCCGTGTCACGTGAGTGTGCTTGTTCCTGTGCCTGCCTGTGAGCGTCTCTGTCCCGGTCAAGGGCTTTCTTTCTATCGGATCAGCCAGGGAGGGGGCTACCTCATGCCGGATGGGTCCATGGCGTCTATGGGCGCGCATGACATGCAGCAAGGCAACGAGTGAGTAGTGTGAGAGCGGGTCGTCATTGCCACTGTCACTGTCATGTGCCGCAAGTTTCTGCTACCTTTTCTCGTTCCTCGTGTATGAAGTAATGTTTTGAGACGTCTCAAGACATTACTTCATACACGTGAGTTGTGTGAGAGTGGGTCGTCATTGCCACTGTCACTGTCACTGTCACTGTCACTGTCATGTGCCGCAAGTGCCGTTACCTTTTCTCGTTCCTCAACCCCTCGTTACCCTTTTCCACCTATTCCAACCACCAGGCAAGCCTTTGCAAGGGAAACAGAGCCTTTCCTCACCCCAATGCGGCAGCCTCAAGCTGCAGAGGTCCCTCCGGAGCTCAAGTGTCCGCTCTGCTCCTCTCTCTTCCGCAACGCGGTGCTCATCCCCTGCTGCCACCTCTCCTTCTGCGACCAATGTGAGTGTTGGGCGGGTGGGTGGATGGGTGTAGTGGCACGGGATGGGCAACAGTGAGTGAGTGAGTTGGGGAGGGTGGGGGGTGGGCAGCAGAGGTCCCTCCAGAGCTCAAGTGTCCGCTCTGCTCCTCTCTCTTCCGCAACGCGGTGCTCATCCCCTGCTGCCACCTCTCCTTCTGCGATCAGTGTGAGTAGTGTGTGTAGTGGCATGGGGTGGGAACTTGGACGCCTGAAGGGGGGGATATTCTCTTCTCAGCATAACACTCCGACAGGCTGTTGATTATTGATTACGTCAAGCGCTAAAACGTTGCAAATTCCTCCTTCAAGGCATTCGGCAGCAGCTGCTGGCCAAGGGGGAGCTTGTCCAGCCAGTACCGCAACGACGACCTACTTCCCAACATGACGCTTCGGCAGGCTGTTAATTACTGATCACTTCAAGCGCTAAACTGCCTGCAATCTCTTTCCCCCCCCACGCTCTCCTCCTCCCCTCCAGGCATTCGGCAGCAGCTGTTGGCCAAGGGGAGCTGCCCCAAGTGCTCGTCCAGCCAGTACCGCAACGACGACCTCCTCCCCAACATGACACTCCGCCAGGCTGTTGATCGATTCAAGGCCGCACAGGTGCAGCCAGGGGTTCAGGTGCAGGGGCAGACGGGGCAGATGCAGCAGGGGCAGATGCAGCAGGGGCAGATGCAGCAGGGGCAGATGCTGCAGCCACAGCAGCAGCAACAACAATGGCAGCAGCAGCAGCAGCAGCAGCAGCAGCAGCAGCCACAACAACAACAGTGGCAGCAACAACAGCAGCAGCAGCAGCAGCAGCAGCAGCAGCAGCAGCAGCAGCGGCAGCAGCAGCAGCCACAACAACAACAGCAGCAGTGGCAGCAACAGCAGCAGCAACAGCAGCAGCAGCAGCAGCAACAGTACCAACAGCAGCAACAGCAACAGCAACAGCAGCAGCAGCAACAGCAGCAACAGCAACAGCAGCAGCAACAGCAACAGCAGCAGCAGCAACAGCAACAACAGCAACAGCAGCAGCAGCAGCAGCAACAGCAACAATTGACCACCAAACAGCCTATGGGGCCGAACAACTCTGCCCCTGTTTCTTCATCTGCTCCCGCCGCCTCTGCTCCTGCCCGTGCTGCTGCTGCAGCTCCTGTTGCTGCTGCTTCTGGCGAAGAACACAGTGCAGCATCAGGAAGTGGAAAGCCCAAGCGCGCCCCTGCTCGCCCTGCCGCTGGGGCTTCCGCCACTGCCACCTCTGCTGCTGCGGCTGCTGCGGCTGCTGCTGCCACTTCCCCTGCTGCTGTTTCTGGCAGTGCAGGTGCGAGCGAGCGTGTGGGCAAGCCTGGTGTGGGGCCGGCACCTGGTAGTGGTGATGCAGGTGCCGGTGGGTCCAAGGAAGAACAGGAGGTGGAAGGTGGAGGGGGAGAGGGAGGGGGAGCGGGAGGGGATATAGCAAGGGATGGAGGGGAGGAGGTGGGAGAGGATGGGGAAGGGGAGAAGCAGCAGAATGAGGAGGGGAAGAAGCAACAGGAAGGGGAGGAGGAAGAGGAGGAGGTGAGTGATGGTGTGACAGGGCCTGCTAGTACCACCCCTGCTGCCGCTGATGGTGCTCCTGCTGATGGTGGTGGTGGTGCTGCTGATGCTGATGCTGTTGCTGGTGATAGTGCTGTTGATGGTGATGGTGGTGATGGTGATGGCGCTGCTGGTGCTGGTACCGCTCCTGGTGGTGTTGACACTGCTGCTGGTGATGATACTGCTGCACCTGGTTCGATTGCCACACCAGAGGGTGACAGTACCGGGGGTGCTTATGCTGAGGGCGATGGGGAGGTGATTGGAGGCGCAGGAGGGGAGGGAGGAGAGGGGGATGCGGTAGAGGGGGAAGTGGAAGGTGTGGGGGAAGGAGGAGAAGCAGACGAGGGCGGTGGGGAAGGGGAAGAAGGAGAAGAAGGGGGAGGTGAAGGGGAGGCGAAGGAAGGGAGAACGGGGAAGGGAAAGAAGGTCAAGGGAATGAAGAAGAAAAAGAAACTGAAGCAACAAAAACAGCAAGAGCAGCAGGAGCAGCAGGAGCAGCAAGAGCAACAGTACCATATGGATGGGCAGATGGGGGGAGGGCAGATGGGTGGGAGGCAGATGGGTGGGGGGCAGATGGGGCAAATGGGTCCGCACATGGGAGGTCCTATGGGGGGAAACATGGGAGGCCCTATGGGGGGGAATATGGGGGGGAATATGGGAGGGAACATGGGGGGAGGGGCCATGGGCATGGGCATGGGCATGGGGATGGGTCCTGATATGGGGGGTATGGGCGGAGGTATGGGGGAAGGCATGGGAGGTGGTATGGGCGGAGGCATGGGCGGGGGAATGGGCGGGCCTATGGGCGGACCGATGGGGGGGGGAATGGGGCCAATGGGGGGTGGTATGGGGGGTCCGATTGGTGGTGGGGGAAGGGGAGGGCCTATGGGTGGTCGTATGGGGCCCATGGGGGGGCCTATGGGGGGACCAATGGGGGGACCCATGGGGGGACCAATGGGGGGACCCATGGGGCCCATGGGGGGACCGATGGGGGGACCTATGGGGCCTATGGGGGGGCCGATGGGGGGACCAATGGGGGGACCTATGGGAGGGCCCATGGGGCCAATGGGAGGCCCTATGGGGGGGCCTATGGGGGCTATGGGGGGACCCTTGGGGGGACCGATGGGACCTATGGGTATGGGAGGTCCGCACATGGGAGGACCAGAGCACTTTCACAACCAGCAGCATGGCTGGCATGGTGGTAAGTCCTCTCCTCCTTTCTCCCTGAATCCGCCTTCCCCGCTGTCTGTATCCCTTGCTTTTGAGTCGACTCAAAAGCATCACGCCTGGTATGGTGTGCTGGTTGGTAGGTATGCCCCTCGTTCCATCTGTAATTGTGTGCTGCTCCTTACCTCGTTTTCCCTCCACTCCTCACCTTCCCTCCTCTCCTCATCTTCAGTCAGTTTTGTTTGTTTGTTTGTTTTGTTTTGTTTTGTTTTGTTTTGTTTTGTTTTTTTTGTCTTCCCTGATCCGTCCACTGTTTTCACTCTCTCCTCTTAACACATTATCTCACTGTCTCTCCCCTCTCCCCTCTCCCCTCTTGCCCCTCCTGTTTCCCTGTTTTCATCTGTACGAGCAGATATGGGTGGGGGCAAAAAGAAGGACCGTGCATGCTACACCTGCGGAGCCAAGGACCACATGATGCGAGACTGCCCCCAGAACAACATGGGGGGGGGGATGGGCGGAGGCATGGGCGGAGGGATGGGGGGAGGAATGGGCAACATGGGGGGAGGCATGGGCATGGGAGGGGGCATGGGAGGGGGCATGGGAGGGGGCATGGGAGGGGGAGGGATGGGCATGGGAATGGGAGGTGGAGGCATGGGCATGGCCGGTGGTGGTAACTTTGGCGGCCCTTTCCCGAACCAACCTGGAATGTTCCCCGGCCCAGGTAGGGAAACACCCTCCCTCGTCTTCCTCTCCTCCCCCCCTCCCTCTTTCTCCCACCCCCTCCCTCCCCCTTCCCGACCCCCTCCTTCTCCCCTCCCTTTCCTTTCCCCACTTGCTCCGTTCCCCTCTGCCCAATTTTTGTTTCCTTTTTTTTACCACAATTATTGGTTTTCTTATTCACAATTTAACACAATTTGCTGCACTTTTGTGTCTGACTTTGGTTTTCCGGCACTTGTTACAAGCCGTGAGGCAGTTTGAAGTCGATTTTTTAGTTTACTAAAAATTGGCTTACAAGCCGTGAGGCGTTTTTTTGGCACCGATGCTGTTCATTTCAACGCCTCATAGATTGTCTTTTGAGTCGACTCAAAAGTTAACCTGGCACTTTTTACAAGGAGTGATGCAGTTGTTGGACACTGTTACATCATTATTATTATTATTATTATTATTATTATTATTATTATTATTATTATTATTATTATTATTATTATTATTATTATTATTATTATTATTATTATTATTATTATTATTATTATTATTATTATTATTATTATTATTATTATTATTTCTGACACCTCAGAGATTGTCGGACACCTTCTCACTGCTTTTATTCTCTTGGCTCCCTCCCCTTCCCGAACTCCCTTTTGCAGAGTTCGGGTGGAATGAAGGCATGGGTCCCAACCCCAACATGGGAGGGGATTTCCCCATGGGGCCTGGGACTGCGCAGAATACATACTTTGCTTTCCTCAATCTCTTGTGCCGCTGTCCTGTGCTCTTATCTTCCCCTCCTCCTTGGCAGAGTTCGGGTGGAACGAAGGCACGGGTCCCAACATGGGCGGGGATTTCCCCATGGGGCCTGGCTTTGGGGGCGGGGGAGGCATGGGGGGAGGGATGGGGGGAGGGATGGGCGGGGGATGGGGGGAGAGATGGGAGGACCTGGCATGGGCATGGGAGGTCCGGGGATGGGGGGAGGAGGCATGGGTATGGGACCTATGGGGCCCGGAATGGGAGGAGGGATGGGCATGAATCAAGGCATGGGGCCAGGATTTGAAGGAGGCGGAGGGGGAGGGCACCAGCAATTTGGTCCTGATGGGTGAGTGAGTGGGTGTGTGTTTTAGAATGCATCTTCTATGTTGGAATATACGCCCAGGTCCCTTTGCGTTTAGCGTTTATACGCTTGTGTATATACGTCACACGCAAAACGCCCACTCATACGCTATACGCAGCCCAATTTTTTTTTTGGGCAGCCCGGGTGAAAAAATTCAGGATATGCAAAAAGATGCGGAATTTGACGGTTAACATTTCACGCGTGTCGAAATGCACGTCCGAGTTGTTGGGAAGTGGGGTCGTGGCTTCAAAGTAAGAACTTGCAACTTGGGGTTGGGAGTTCAGAGTCGTGCGTACAAACCCAAGCCGTGTTGCGTTCAAAAATGTGCGTATATTTCCACGCCGCGATTTCCCCCCCCCCTCCTCCCCCCCCCAGTCCCCTAACTCGCACCGCTCCAACACATCAATTCTCTCCCTCTCCCAAGCAACTCGAACGGTACTAAACCAGCCGTGCACTCATCAGTCTCATCAGTTGTTTCCTTCACACCCATGACACGTTATCTTTCTCGCGCTAATGTCAACTCTTCCAGCTGAGACGCAATCTGACCCTACTCAGGAGAGCGGTAGGACTCGTGTTAGTGAAACGCGTGAGTACCTCCCTGATGTGAAGCATGAAGTTTTCAAGCACTTCAAGCTTATCAAGAAAGAAGATGGCAAAGCGCAGCTGTACGAATGTAGGTACTGCTTCGCGGTTTTTGCTGGAGCCGCCATTCGTTGCGCTCAACACTTGTCATCGTGGAAGGGCATGAAGCGTCGCGAGGTCTCTCTTTGCAAGGAGGCCCCGCATTCAGTGCGCCAGGACATGCGCGCCAAGTACGAGGCCAAGGCGGCTGCTGCAGAAGAGCGTCGCAAGGCGACGGCTGTTGCCATCGTCGCCGTGACTAATGGCGCAAAGAGGACGCGCATCACGGACTACATCGAGGGTGATGCGGCTACGGCGAGACGCGAAGCTCACGATTCAATTTGCCTCATGGTCGCCGCCCTCCGCCTCCCGGAGCACATCGTGGATCATCCCCTATTCATCAACGCCGTCAGCTGCATTAAGCGCGCCGGTATCGGCTACGTTCCCCGAAGAGGAAGTATGTCGGCGGCGCCGGTTTGCAGCAATGCTGCGATGGGATTGATGCTGGGCTGGCAACAATCAAGTCGAGCTGGAAGCGGACCGGTGTGACCATTTCATCCGACATGATGACGGATAAGGCTGGCCGGCCTCAGGCCAACATCTTCCTCGTCAATGATTCCGGCGCCGTCTTCAAGGACTGCATCGATTGCCGTATGGAGTCCAAGACCGGTGGCTACGTGGCCGGGATTATCAAGCCGGTGGTGGAAGAGGTGGGGCCCGAAAACGTGGTGGCCTTCTGTACCGATGGGGGATCAAATTACGCGGCCGCGTGCAAGGAGCTGATTTCCGCGTGGCCGCACATTGAGTACGTGCCGTGTGCGACACACGTGCTGGATTAGCTTCAGGAGGATGTGGGTAAGATGAACTGGGCGAGAAAGGTGGTGGATCGTGCGGGGGAGATCTCATCTTTTGTGCGCAATCACCATTGGACGCGGGGCTACCTTAGGACCCCGGAGTTGGTGGGCGCAACTGTGCTGCAGGCTCTGAAGCCGGCTGGGACACGCTTCGGGACACAGTATATTACTGTGTCCCGCCTTTGTCAGCTGCGGAAGGGGCTGACGCAGATGGTCGTTAGCGATTTGTGGAAGGATTGGGCAGTGGGGACGCGGAAGCTGTCGGCGGATGCTTTTGCCGCGCTCATCCTCGATGCGGCTTGGTGGAAGACTGCCGAGTTCTTCTGCAAGATGATGCAGCTCCCCTACAAGATCATGAGGGAGACCGACGGGAAGGCGAAGGGGATGATGGGGAGAATTTATGATGTCATGCTTCAGTTGACCGTGGAGTTGGAAGAGCTGGTGGAGGCGGATGAAGAGCAGCTCAGCAAGGTCGTTAAGGCTCAGATCCGCAAGATCCTGAAAAACCGCTGGGATGGGAGCCTTGCCTGCGCTTTGCACGTTGCGGGCAGAATCCTCAACCCGGCAAACAAGGATGAGGATATTTTCGGAAGCGACGCAGAGTGCACAAAGGTTTTCAAGACCTGGATCGTGCAGCAGAGCGAGTATCTCAAGAGCACTGGGAAGGCGGGGGGAGAAGGGGATGAGTGCTTGATTGCCCTGCAGGAGGGGGTGCGGGCCTTTTTGGACATGAAATTGAGCTTCGGCCAGCCAGACGCGATTGCACAGAGGGCCCTGGTGAAGAAGGGGAAGTATGACAGCGTTAAATGGTGGCAGTGGCATGGGACTGATGCGCCTCTGCTGGCGTTTTGCGCCATCAGAACCCTCTCACAGCCCGTGTCAGCCTCACCCTGCGAGCGCGGTTGGGCAGCGTTTGAGTCAGTCCACACCGCACGCCGAAACCGTCTTGGATCAGCCAAATGCAGGGATCTGGTTTTTGTTGCGCACAACTGGAATGTTGTGCGCAACTGGCATTCTCGTGCGGATGTGATGCCCGGAGAACTGCAGGGGAACATGGAAGACCCACCTCTGCCCGAGGGCTACAAGCTGGTGGAGGAGGCAGAGGAGGAGGAAGGGGAGGATGATGTGTTGATGGATGAGTATGAGGACTAGGTTGATAAGGGGCGGTGTTAGAATGGGGTGGGACGGATGCTATGTCACCAGTGCGGTAGAGTAGAGTAGGAATTGGAAAGGATCATGATGATGATGCCCTTGCAATTCTGTGTATGCCCATGTTAATCTCTGGAAAAAATACCACCCGACCTACAAAGCCCAAGAAAAGCCCCCCCTCCAAAACCATACCAGTAACTTTTTCCCCCTGCCCGGGGTTTTTTTTGCCTGCCCGGAAAAGCGTATCCCCTATCTGAGGTTTGAGCGTATAGCGTATGCACGCTTGCGTACATACGAAACGCGTATATACGATAAACGCGTATATTCCAACATAGTGCATCTTGTGTCCCTTTTGAGAATTCTCAAAAGTAACAACAATTTGGTTCTGATGGGTGAGTGAGCGAGTGTGTCTTTAAAGTATGCATCCTGTGTCCCCTTGCCCCCAACCCCCACCCCACTCAACCCCACCGTACCCCACCCCACCCCCTCCATAGTTCTCATATGCACTCAATTCCTCTGGACCGTGATTTTGCGCCTTTTGCTGCTGTTACACGCCACTGTTTTTTTTTTTTTTTTTTTTTTTTTGGCCCCCCTAGTTCTTGGTGGCGCCTGAGTCTTGCTGTTCTTTGCTGCTCTTCTTTCCCCCTCCCCTCTTCAAGACCTACTTTCCGGCTCCGACCAACCGAATTCTCACCTCTTCGTCTCTTCCCATGTTGCCCATTTCCGGCTTCAATACCTCCTACTGAATCCCAACCGACCAACCGACCAACCGACCAACCGAATCCCACCTTCCTTCTTCCCCTGCCCTATTTCACCAACTGTATCATTGCAGTGGCCCGGGGCATTTCGGGCGCGGAGGTGGGGGCAGGGGGAGAGGCAAGCTCTGAGGCTCCTAAATATCCTTATAATCCCCTCCTCGCCCCTGTGTTGCCCCCTCTGTATGATTGCAGTGGCCCGGGGCATTTCGGGCGCGGAGGTGGGGGCAGGGGGAGAGGCAAGCTCTGAGGCTCCTAAATATCCTTATAATCCCCTCCTCGCCCCTGTGTTGCCCCCTCTGTATGATTGCAGTGGCCCGGGGCAATTTGGGTGCGGAGGTGGGGGCAGGGGGAGAGGCATGCTCTGAGGCTCCTAAATATTCTTATAATCCCCTCCTCGCCCCTGTGTTGCCCCCTCTGTATGATTGCAGTGGCCCGGGGCAATTTGGGTGCGGAGGTGGGGGCAGGGGGAGAGGCATGCTCTGAGGCTCCTAAATATCCGTATAATCCCCTCCTCGCCCCTGTGTTGCCCCCTCTGTATGATTGCAGTGGCCCGGGGCAATTTGGGTGCGGAGGTGGGGGCAGGGGGAGAGGCATGCTCTGAGGCTCCTAAATATCCTTATAATCCCCTCCTCGCCCCTGTGTTGCCCCCTCTGTATGATTGCAGTGGCCCGGGGCAATTTGGGTGCGGAGGCGGGGGCAGGGGGAGAGGCAAGCTCTGAGGCTCCTAAATATCCTTATAATTCCCTCCTCGCCCCTGTGTTGCCCCCTCTGTATGATTGCAGTGGCCCGGGGCAATTTGGGTGCGGAGGCGGGGGCAGGGGGAGAGGCATGCTCTGAGGCTCCTAAATATCCTTATAATCCCCTCCTCGCCCCTGTGTTGCCCCCTCTGTATGATTGCAGTGGCCCGGGGCAATTTGGGTGCGGAGGCGGGGGCAGGGGGAGAGGCAAGCTCTGAGGCTCCTAAATATCCTTATAATCCCCTCCTCGCCCCTGTGTTGCCCCCTCTGTATGATTGCAGTGGCCCGGGGCAATTTGGGTGCGGAGGCGGGGGCAGGGGGAGAGGCAAGCTCTGAGGCTCCTAAATATCCTTATAATCCCCTCCTCGCCCCTGTGTTGCCCCCTCTGTATGATTGCAGTGGCCCGGGGCAATTTGGGTGCGGAGGCGGGGGCAGGGGGAGAGGCATGCTCTGAGGCTCCTAAATATCCTTATAATCCCCTCCTCGCCCCTGTGTTGCCCCCTCTGTATGATTGCAGTGGCCCGGGGCAATTTGGGTGCGGAGGTGGGGGCAGGGGGAGAGGCATGCTCTGAGGCTCCTAAATATCCTTATAATCCCCTCCTCGCCCCTGTGTTGCCCCCTCTGTATGATTGCAGTGGCCCGGGGCAATTTGGGTGCGGAGGTGGGGGCAGGGGGAGAGGCATGCTCTGAGGCTCCTAAATATCCTTATAATCCCCTCCTCGCCCCTGTGTTGCCCCCTCTGTATGATTGCAGGGGCCTGGGGCATTTTGGGCGCGGAGGTGGGGGCAGGGGGAGAGGCGGGGGGAGATTCGGGGGGAGGGGGGGAAGAGGCAGGGGCGTTGGGGGGCGGATTGGGTTTCCGGACAAGGGGGGAAGAGGGGAGAGATGGGAAAAGGGGGAGCGGGGGAGCGGGGGGAGCGGGGGGAGAGAGGGGAGAGAGGGGAGAGAGGGGAGAGAGGGGAGAGAGGGGTGAAATGGGTGAGAGGAGGCAGTGGGGGAGAGAGGGGGGAAGGGACGACGGGGAGGAAGAGGAGTGGGGTAGTGAGTGTAGGGAAGAGGGGAGAGGGGAGGGGAGGGGGGAGGGGAGGGGAGAGCGAGCAGGCAGTGTGAAACGAAGCACCCCTTCAATGCAGCAGGACTCAGGAGGACAGAGCAGGGAGCGAGGTGGGGAGAGGAGTAGGGGAAGCAAGGAGAGGAGCAGGGAGAGAGGCAAGAAGAGGAGGGAGGAAGGGGGTAGGGAACGGGTAGAGGAGGATTGGGGTAGGGAGAGGGGAGAGAAGAGGGGAGAGGAGAGGGGAGAGGAGAGGGGAGAGGAGAGGGAGAGAGGAGGGGAGGCGGTATGGATCTCCTGACGGGGAGGAGGAGCGTTTGGAGGGCGATGGAGCAGGGAGGATGAGACGGAAGCGACCCATTGGCGAGAGGTGAGGAGTGGTGGCGAGAGGTGAGGGGTGGTGATGACAGGTGAGATGTGAAGGGAAGAGATGAAGGGAAGAGGGGTTAGAGGGGAGGTGTGAACGTAAGGGATGAGAGGGGAGAGGGGCGAGGGTTGAGGGGAGAGGGGTGATTGGGGAGGGGTAAGGCCGCAAGCGAGAGGGTTCTTTTTTGTTAAATCATTTCTTCGTTCTCCCTCTCTCCTGCTCCTGTTCTGCCAGCCACAATCCCTTCATCCCTCCCACACACTTTTCCCCAACCTCGTCCCTATCCGCGTCTCTATCTGCTTTGTTGTTCCCGTCTGTATTCCCTGTCCCCCGTCCCGTCTGTATCCCCTGTCCCCCGTCCCGTCTGTATCTGCAGGCTCAACTTTTCTGCTGCCAGGGAGGGCGAGGGAGAGGAGGAGGAAGGTGGGGGAGAGAGGGAATGGGCGGGAGGGGAGGGGGATACAGAGGGGGGAAGGGCCCGCCAGGGAGGTGGGATGGGTATGGGGATGGGTTTGGGGATGATAGGGATGGTCATGATGGGGATTGGGGGAGTGGAGAGGAGGGGAGTGCGGCGGGGAGGGTACGCAAAGGGAGGTACCGATACAGAGGGGAGAGCGAGGGAGAGGAGGAAGAAGTGGAAGGAAGGGGCAGGGTTTGGGCTGATAAAGAGTATGGTTATAATGAGGATGAGGATGAGGGTGGGAGGAGGAGGCGACACAGGTTCAAGGAAAAGGAAGACACAGATGGGGGAGGGAGGCGAGGAGGAGGAAGAGGAATGCAGAAGGGGGATAGGGAAGAAGAGAGGGATGATGATAATGATGGTGAAAACGTGGATGATGGTGGGGGCTTTGGGGAGTGGGCAGGAGCACGGGGGAAGGAGAGGAAGAGACGGGGTCGAAGCAAGGGGATGGGAGAGAGTGAGTGGGAGGAGGGTGTGGATGGTGGTGGTACTGGCGATCCCTTGCCCGCTAAAGCCGTTGATGGGAACTTGGAGAAGCGAAGGAAGTTGAAGAGAATGCGGAAATATGGGGCTGGTGGGAGTGATGAGGGGCGAGGAGGGATGGGTGGAGGTGAAGGGGATGATGTGGGGGAGGGTGAGGGAAGAAATCTTAGGATTTATGCGGGAGGATTTAATGATGATGCTGGATTTGGGGATGACAATAAAGGGGATGAAAATGATCGCTGGCCATTAGAACATGGAATGTGAGTAGTTACAGGCCATTCTTTCTTTCCTTTTCAATGCAGTGCTTCTGCTCTATTGTTCTGATGACTGGATTGGAGTGTAGTGTAGGATTACAATTATTGTTAGACCCTGTTACCGTATGTGGTATTGTCTGAGTGCTTTGGCTGGAGGATTGTGTAGTGAAATAGTGGTGTGTAGTGTTTCAGTGATGTTGAGACCTCGGGATGATTTATAGAATTCCTTCACTTTATCCATTCACGTAGGTAGTTTTATGTGCATGGCGATCATACGGTATTCAAACACAATGGACTTCTCTGTTTGCTTGAGCTGTAACCGGTGATATATCAATCTTAAGATGTAAGATATGCTAAAGAAACACCCATTAAACAGAGAGGCAGCTGCACAAAACAGTACTTATCTAAAAGTTCCTGCTTAAATGCTTCAACAAGTGTTTACATATCATCAAAATTCCAGCCATCATCATCATCCTCCCCTCCACCGCTCTTTCCCTTGGCAACCACTAGCTTACTCGTCTGCTTCTTCTTAGCTGCAGCTGCTCCTGTCCTACCACCACCCCCACCACCTGCTTTCCCTCCTCTCGCTCCTGCCGCTCCTTTCTTGCCTCCAGACGTGCTGCTTCCCCCAAAACCAAGTGATGACCCTAGCTCCCCCCATCCAATGTCATCCTCCTCGTTCTCCTCCTCCTCCTCTTCATCCACCCATCCTGTCCGTACAGGTTTCTTGCTTGTGGCACTGCCGCTGGTAGCGCTGGGAACACCACTGTTGCTGATGCTGGTAACTGCACCGGTAACACCATTACCAGCACCAATCACAGAAGCAGCAGCAGCAGGAAGAGCCGCAGCAACAGGAGCAGCGGCAGGAACAGAAGCAAGAGCAGCAGCAGTGGGAGAAACAGTAGAGGTGACAGACGGCTTGAGAAACAAAGGCTTGCCAGTGCCACTGCTGCTGCTGCCGCCGCCACCACCACCGCCAGCACCAGCAGCACCAAAAGGAGACTTAGACCCTCCTCCCAGTTTTAAGGAACTACTGGTAGGCGACCGAACTTCCACCTCCATTGCACCCCTCCCCACTCCTCCCCCTCCTCCCCCTCCCTTCTCCCTCCCCACTCTCTCCCAATCATCCCCGTCCCCGTCCTCCTCGTCCCAATCCCACTGCTCTTCTGATCCCTGCTTCCACCCACACCGCCCCCCTTGCTTCCAAACCCACTCCCTGTATCCCCCTCCGCCCCAGCAACGCTCTGATATGTAGGCCCTTCCCCGTGCCTCGCCCCGCCCCTGCAGCAGCAATAGCAGGCTGTAATTCCGACAAGGGAACCCAGAATTGCCAGGGTAAATGCCCCTAGCACGAGGTAAACTGCGAAAGTTTCCGCGTTTGCTGCGCCAACGAAGGGGTAGATGGTGGTCCTGGTGGAAAGGATCAGGGGCTTTAAGAGTTGGATCAGGGCTCGTTTCATAAACAGCAAGACAGTGACAGTGGTGCTGCTGCTGCTGGAGGGAGCAGGGGTTTCTGGTGTGTTAACCTGGTTACCAGACGAGGGGACTCGGTCGGTTTCCCCAGAGAAAGCGCCCTTGCTGCTGCTATCGCTCTTCCCACCAGCACCACCAGCACCAGCAGCACCAGCAGCAGCGCCAGCGGCAGCACCACCAGCACCCCTATCTCCGCCAAACGCGCCCTCTCCCCCACCTCTCCCCCCGCCCCTTCCGCCTCCCCCTCGCCCGCCCTTCCGTTTGGCTGTCCCTCCGCCCATGGTTGCTCATCCGCAGTCGCTGCTGCCTCCTCCTCTTCCCCACCCCCTCCGCACCCCCTTCCGGGGCCCCTTCCGCGCTCCCTTCCGCGCCCAACCCTTCAGCACCCTCTCCGTCAATCCCCCCAGCACCCTTTCCGCCTCTCTCCCCTGCTATCCCACCACCTCTCGTCCCAGCGCCTTTTCCCGTGATCCCCCCTGCGCCCTCCCCAAGCCCATCCCCATCGTCCCCCAATGCTGCTTGCTCTATGGGTTCCCCTACAGCCTTCTCTTCCCCTTCCGCGTCAACACCGCCTCCCCCTTTGCCCTGCCCCTTCCCCAGCCCCTGCTTCTTCCCCGCCCCCAGCCCTTCCCCTTCCGCTTCCCCCCTCGCCTCCGCGTCTCGCTCTGCTGCTGTCTTACGCGTGCTTCCCCCCTCACTGCCTGTCAACCCACCTCCTGCTCTTTCTTCCCCTCCTGCCCCAACACCCACTTTCTCCGCACCTGCTGCTTCTGCTGCTGCCGCAGCTGCTCCTTCCCCTCCCGCTCCCTCTGCTTCCGCCTCTTCCTCCCTCTCCTCCGCCTCTTCCCCCACCACTCCCGCCCCCTTCAGACTAGCCCCGCCTTTCGTCGCCCCTTCCCCAATCACATCCCCCTTCCGCTTCTTTCCCCCAACCTCCCCCTCCGCCCCAGCTTCCTCCTCCGCTTCCTCCCCCAATTCGTCTTCTCCCCCCCTGCCCGGACCGCCCGCACCGCTTTTCTTCTTATTGACCGTTTTCCGCGGCGGATCTATCTCCGCTTCCGCGACTCCCTCCACTTCCGCCGCGTCCTCCGCTTCTTCCGCCAACCCCGCATCGGCGGGGCCTTTTCCGCCCCTTCCGGGGGGAATCTCCGCGGGGATCTCCGCGTCTTCTTCCGCCTCTTCCGCGTCCACGGGGCTCCGCGCGAGAGATCTGATTGGCAGGTGCTGAGTCAGCTCCAGCTCGAGTCCAACAGTCGCGAGCGATCTGATTGGATGCGACGAGGAGGCGGGTAAATCTGATTCGTCCGGTGATTCGGGTTCTTTTTCCACTGGGGGTGACCTAGAACGTGGATCGACATCGGGATTGCTAAGTATGTCCTGAGAAACAGAGAAATTGGGGGGAAAAGGGGGGGGGGGGGGGGGGGGGGGGGGGGAGGAAGAGAGGGGGGGGGGGAGTGGGGGTTGGGAGGGGAGGTTGGGGGGGAGGAGAGAAATTACGGGGGAGAGAGTGTAAGAAAAGCGGGATGAAGGAAGGATGTCATCCTTGGGATTTCGGAGATCAGGAAGGTGAGACGACAGAAGAAAAAAAAGTCGAGTTTTGAGTCGACTCAAAACTCGACTCATTACACTCGGAGATCAGGAAGGTGAGACGACAGAAGGAAAAAAAGGGAACAGAGGGAAGACGGACGAAGGAAGGATGCCGGCCTTGGGATTGCCGCGATCAGAAAGGGGGGGAACGACACAATGGAAAATGGACTGGGAAGTGGAAACGGATCGGCGAGATTAATGCTCTTATTAGTAGATTATTTAATTAAGGAGGGAGAGCGGCGGGAGGAGGTGGAGCGGAATGGCAGCTATAGCGCAACTGGTCAGTGCCCGCTGTGTCGACCAATTAAGATTAAGTAGCTCTAAATTGCTCTTAACATGCCTGATCCATACTATGCAGTACTTAAATCAGCAGGTGATGGCATCAGTGTCTAGATAGATTGAGCGGGCTTCACGCGAGAACGCTATGGAAGGGTAAGGCGGCTCCACCTGTGATGATCGCGAGTTCGTGGAAGCTTCATCGAGAAAAGTATTCGTGAGAGTGGGGGTGGGGCGAGTGGAAGCGAGCGGCGTCAGCGACGCGACGACGACGAGCAGCAAAGCGACGAGCGGGAGGGCGAGCCGCGGCAAACGCAACATCGCCATCCGTTCTTTTGCAGCCATTGGTGCTGACAGCGATTACTCAAAAGAGATCGATCTGTCCGAAACTACAAATTGTTTTGTATATTTATTTTTCGATTATCGAACAAGAGCATTTGGCCGAGTGGTTAAGGCGTGTGCCTGCTAAGTACATGGGCTCTGCCCGCGAGAGTTCGAATCTCTCAGTGCTCGAGGGTGTACATTTTTGGTTCCTCACTCGCACAGAAAAACAGGGAACGGGTGAGGGAAGGGTCTGTTCCGAGATCAAGCTCTTTGGCCCTGTTCGCCACGTCCTTTGTGGGCCTTCAAAGGGATGGGGAGAGGATCTGGAATCCCCCTTGCACCTTCGTAAAGGGCTGAAATCAGGGTTTTGGGGGCGGTCAGACCGACAAAAATCCTGTCGAGCCTGACGATCCCCTCCGAACCTCAGTGGGCTCGCTGTCGTGGCGAACACCCACCTTTTATGGGTGGGGCGGGGGATCTCGAATGAGCAGGGCAGTTTCCTGCCCTGCCAACTCGGAATCCCCTCCCCTCCCTCGTAGCACCCTCGTGCATACCACCCTTTTCGGAGTGTGCGACGCGATGGACGGGAAATTTGCCCTAAATTGGAGGAGGGAGGGAGGTGCTTCATCCCCTTGTCCCCCTTCCCAAACCCATTGCGAAATTTCAGCCAGGGGCGAGGCCTCGGACGTCATTGGCAACTTAGTTTGCACCTTCTACATCCCCTCGCCCATCCCCTGCCCCTAGCGTTCACGTGGCCGTGGCGAACCAGGGCCTTTGTGTCCTTCTCTCCCGTCACTTCGAAAACCGTGTGTACTCCCGAAAAAAAAAAAAAATCCCAGTGACTAGGATCTTCAAGTGGACCCAACTAAAAGGGGGGGGTCACTATTTTAGCTGCTAGCTTGAAGGTACATGACTGCAAGTTATGAACTTATTCTATTGTGCCCGTGATGTCAGAATATAATGCTTGTCTAGTCTGTAGTGGGGTACTCAATAGTGAGTATAACCCTTTTAGGGCTTGCTATTTGTACCCCCCTCCTTTCTAGTTCAACCCTCTTCTCCTATTTCTCTTTCGTGTACCCTAAACCCTAGCCATGGCTTCTAAGCCTTAGCTAGTATTCTAACATGGAATCAGAGCTGTTACGCTCTTGGCCTGTGGGCCCCACGTGCTTCCGCTGCTTTCCTGTCTGTCGCGCGCCCCGTGGCGCGCGACGCCTTTTTTTTTCTTCCCGCCGCGCGCTCGGGGCGCGCGGCGGTTTTTTGCCTCGTCGACCCGCGCGTTGCCCCCCGTCGACCGTCAAAGCGCCCCCCGTTGTCCGTCGAAGCGCCCCTGGGCCCCGCGCGGGCCGCACGCGGCCCGTACGATCTGCGCCAGGCCCGCGCGCGGCCCGTACGGGCTGCGCCAGGCCCGCGCGCGGCCCGTACGGGCTGCGCCAGGCCCGCGCGCGGCCCGTACAGCCCGCGCGCGGCCCGTACGGCCTGCGCCAGGCCCGCGCGCGGCCCGTACGGGCTGCGCCAGGCCCGCGCGCGGCCCGGGCAGCCTCCCCCGGAGCCGCGCGCCGTTCCCCGAGCTGCTGCCCGCTGTGTCCCCCGCTGCTGCCCGCGCTTCTGCCTGTATTAGGGTTTGGGGTGGCGAGTGTGGGGGGTGGCGAGTATGGGGGTGACGGGTGTGTGCGCCGTCCCCTGCTCCTCCTCCTCCTCCGTCTCCCACTGCTGCAGCTGCCGCTGAGGGGGGTGGATGTGTTGGAGCCGTCGGAGTTGTACGAGGGGGGTAGTGTGTGAGCAGTGCTAGAGGTGCAGCAGGGGGTGTGTGACACGGGTGTGGGACAGCTGGGGGAAGTTGAGTGGAGGCAGTCGTCTTGTCGTCCGCAGCGCCTGAAGTCCAGAGAGCCACGACCCCCTGTGGCCTGAGTAGTCCGGGGCTCTGCGCCTGGTAGCCAAAGTGCGAGCACTCCTAGTAGTCCAGAGAGCCACGACCCCCTGTGGCCTGAGTAGTCCGGGGTTCTTGTCAAGATACTAGGAGTCAGAAAACAAGAATGAAGAAAAAGAGAGGAGAGGGGTTTGCACTAGCAGCAGTTGGCATACATATAGGAAACCCTAATTGGGTTGTACTCGCTATAGAGTACCCCACTGCAGGCTAGACAATAATAACATTCTGACACACCCCCATAGCCAAAGTGGGGGTGTAATCAGCACAATGAGCAGACATAGTAATAGTTCACAATTATAAGTAAAGCTAAGGTGATCACAAAGGGCAAGTGAGGAGGAGGAGAAACTGTGAGGGCGAGAAGATGAAAGGCGCCGACTGAAGCTGCAGACACACGGGCAACAGGAGCGGCGCGCACAGTGGCTACCGAGCGCACGAGGGCACCGGACTACGGGAGTATCTGGCTCCGCGGCTACGACGAGCACACACAGGAGCAACGGACCCACAGGCGACTGGCGAAGCAGGCTCGCTGGGCTACCGAGAGCACGACGGCTCCGGACTACAGGCGCTGCAGACGACACGACGGCTGCCTCCACCCAACCTCCTCCGACCGTCCCACGCCCCTCTCACACACCCCCTGCTGAAACCCTAGCTCCACTCCCACGGCACCCCCCTTAAAACCTTAAACCCTCGGCTCCCACACACCCACCCCCCTCAGCGGCAGCTGCAGCAGTGGGAGACGGAGGAGGAGGAGGAGTAGGGAACGGTGCACACAACCGACACCCCCACAACCGCCACCCCCACACTCCTCACCCCCAAACCCTAAAACGGGTGGCACGGGGCAGGAGCGCGGGGGACGGCGAGGGGGACGGCGCTCGGCCCCCAGGGCGCCACCACGGGGCAGCGAGGGGCCGCGCGCGGCTCCCCAGGGCGCCGCGACGGGGCAGCGGGGGGGGGTCGCGCACGGCTCCAGGGGTGGCGCGCGGGGCCCCGGGGGCGACGCGAGGGTCGACGGGGGTGGCGCGCGGGTCCCGCGGGGCAGAGCGACCGCCGACGAGGGGCGCGCACGGGTCCCCTGAGGCGACGCGAGGGCCGACGGGGGTGGCGCGCGGGTCCCGCGGGGCAGAGCGAGCGCCGACGAGGGGCACGCGCGGGACCCCTGAGGCGACGCGAGGGCCGACGGGGGAGGGGGGGGGCGCCATGCAGGAAACCGCCGCGCGCCCCGGGGCACACGGCGGGCAGAAAACCGCCGCGCGCCTCGGGGCGCACGGCAGGAAGAAGACGGCGCGCGCCCGAGGCGCGCGAGAAGCAGAACAGCAGCGGAAGCAGTTAGGTGGCGGGCCCACCCACAGGATCGACCCAAGGGGGTCGACCTGCTCTGATAGCATGTCAAGATAGTAGGAGTCAGAAAACAAGAATGAAGAAAAAGAGAGGAGAGGGGTTTGCACTAGCAGCAGTTGGCATACATATAGGAAACCCTAATTGGGTTGTACTCGCTATAGAGTACCCCACTGCAGGCTAGACAATAATAACATTCTGACAGTTCTGCGCCCGGTAGCCACAGTGTGAGCACTCGTGGGAGCACAGAGAGCCAGCTGCACCTGACGCCGTGTAGTCCGGGTTTAGCCTGGTAGCGACAGTTCTGCGCACTCCTGTTGCCCGTGTGTCTGCAGCTTCAGCCGTCGCCTCCCATCTTCTCGCCCCCACAGTTTCTCCTCCTCCTCACTTGCCCTCTGTGATAGTCTCTAGCTTTGCGTATCATTGTGAACTATTGCTATGCCTGCTTGTTGTGTTGATTGTACCCCACTTTGACTATGGGGGTGTGTCAGAATATAATGCTTGTCTAGTCTGTAGTGGGGTACTCAATAGTGAGTATAACCCTTTTAGGGCTTGCTATTTGTACCCCCCTCCTTTCTAGTTCAACCCTCTTCTCCTATTTCTCTTTCGTGTACCCTAAACCCTAGCCATGGCTTCTAAGCCTTAGCTAGTATTCTAACACGTGATTGTGAAGCTAATCCCTCTTACAGATTTATTTGAAAGATCAGACATCTAAAATAACATGGCCCATCAACATTTTAAACGCTGGTAAAAAAAAAAAAGTTCATTAAGAAATGCTGGTCAGACAAATTCAAATGCTGGTCTGCTGGTCTGCTGGTCTACTGTGTGTCCCCATCTTACACTGCTTACTGTGCCTCAGTCAAAGGGCGCCAGTCCCTCCCCCAGCTGCAGCACCCTCAGATCCGCCCTCAACTGCATCACCCCGTTGCGAAAATACCTGCCGTTGTCCCTCACCACATCGCTCCACGGGTTCAGCAGGGTGCGGTAACCCCAGCCTTCACAACTCATTCCTTCCCCACCCGCCTATTTCAGTCAAAGGGTGCCAGCCCCTCCCCCAGCTGCAGCACCCTCAGATCCGCCCTGAGGTGCATCACTCCGTTGCGAAAATACCTGCCGTTGTCCCTCACCACATCGCTCCAGGGGTTCAGCAGGCTACGGTAACCGCGCTCTCTAAACAGCCCTTTGAAGGTGTGGGATGCGGTCTGCTTCTGCTGCACGAATTGGCCTGAGGGGTGCTCTTTCACAAGGAAGGTGAACTCGATGGTGACACTGTCGTCCAACACCCTGTCATGCGTGGGGCTTCGCTGAAGGGGAAGGAAGGAATGTGGGAGGGGAACAGAAGGGATGGGGAGAGCAAAAAGGTTTCAAGTGAAAGGGGGTTCTGTTGCTTCTGCTGCACGAACTGGCCGGAAAGGTGCTCATTTACAGGGAAGGTGAACTCGATGGTCACACTGTCGTCCAACACCCTGTCGTGTGTGGGTCTCCTCTGAAAGGGGAGCGGCAAAAAGAGAGAGTGGGTGGGAGGTGCGTGAACAGGAAAAGGTGAGAAAGAATTAACAAAGGAAGTGGCCGGAAGGGTGTTCTTTGACAAGGAAGGTGAACTTGATGGTCACATTGCCGTCCAACAAAAAGAAGGGGGAGGAGATGGGGGAAGGGGGAGGGGAGCAGGGGCAGGGAATGGGAGTGGGTGGGAAGGAGGGGGTGAGAAACATGTCGAGCCTTGTTGGACGGAGACACAGGTCTGATCTCCCAACTAGTCACGCCGGAAGATCGAGACTGTGAAAAGGGTACGATGAGCAACCGAAGGCTTGGAGAAAGAAACATAACCCTGATCTCCCAACACGGAAGGTACAATAAGCAACATGTGGGAGCAGCTTATTGCACAACCGAGATTAAAGGCCAAGGGGAGCGAAAGCGTGCCTGGGAGGCCTGGAGAAACAGGCCGAAGTCCGACCCTCCAACCATGATGAGTCAATTTTTGAGTCGACTACAAAATCGACACATCACACATGGATTAAAAGGCCAAGGGGAGTGAAAGCGTGCCTGGGAGGCCTGGAGAATTGTTGAGGCGCCTCAAAAATCTTTTGAGTCGACTAAAAAATAGACTCATCACACATGGATTCAAGGCCAAGGGGAGCGAAAGCGTGCCTGGGAGGCCTGGAGAAACAGGCCGAAGTCCGACCCTCCAACAGGTGCCGCCACCCTCACGACCTTGAGCGAGAACACACAGCTAGTGAGGTGCCTCGAACCACAGTAACGTGAGTGGATTGAGAAAGAACCTGGGACGCTTGGAGGAAGAGGCCGAAGTCCGACCCTCCAACAGGTGCCGCCACCCGCATAACCTTGAGCGAAAAGAGCTTGCCGTGCAACCATGCCCCTCCTGTGTGTGATGAGATGGGAGAGTGAAAGAGAATGAGCAGGGAACAGATAGACCACCCATGCACACACGCACACACTCTATTTTTGAGACGTCTCAAAAATCGTCTCCTGTGTGTGATGAGATGGGAGGGGAGTGAAAGAGAATGAGACCACCCATGCACATACCCACACACGCACACACTCTATTTTTGAGACGTCTCAAAATCCGCGTGTAAGAAGACGATTCTTGAGACGTCTCAAAAATCGTCTCCTGTGTGTGATGAGACAGGAGGGGAGTGAGAGAGAATGAGCGGGGAACAGAGAGACCACCCATGCACATACCCACACACGCACACACTCTATGTTTCTACTCATCAGCTAGGAGTATCCCCAGGCTATATTTATACTCCCAAGGCTGTAGCATGTCGCAGTCCTGCAGCTGCACCTCCTCGCTACAGACGGATAAATTTGCATGCACACGCACACAGTATTTTGTTTCAGTCACCTGCTAGAAGAATTGCTTGGCCCGGCTGTAGCATGTAGCAATCTTGCAGCAGCACCTCGCTACACACGGACAGCTGGCGACGGCGCTGGTAACGCCTGTGCTGCTGCTGCTGCTGCTGCTGCTGTTGATGTGGTTGGAGCGAGTTTAGAGTAAGCTGCTGCTGGTGATGTTGTGGTGGATGTAGCGAGTCTTGAATGAGTTGCTGCTGGCGTTCAAACGAGGAGCATTTGAACCAGAGGGCCTCTGTGATGAGGGCGTGGAGGGTGGGGGTGTCGGCTTCAGGTGTGGTGGTGATGAGCGCGTGCAGAGCTGATGTTGCCATTGCTGGGAAGCGAATGCTGCCTGCTAGCCTGGGGAGTGGTGGGGGAAGCAAAGAGGAGAAGGAAACGGGGAAGCAAAGAGGAGAAGGAAACGAGGAAGCAAAGAGGAGAAGGAAACGGGGAAGCGAATGGGGTAGGGGGAAAAAGAAATGTAGTTTTGAGGCGCCTCAAAACTGGGGTTCGGTTTCTGGGTTGGTGGTGATAAGGGCGTGCAGCTGATGTTGCCATTGCTCCCACATCGTCGCTCCCCAGCAGGGCTTGCAGGGCCTTAGGAGGAAAGCTACAAGCACTCGCTCACCTTCCCAGCATCTCCTTTCTTATTGACAAATCATCCGGCCAGGTGACTTTTGAGTCGACTCAAAAAACGTTTTTGAGACGTCTCAAAAACAACCTCATCACATCCGGCCAGGTGACTTTTGACTCGAATCAAAAGTCGCTCACCTTCCTTTCTTCTCGCTCCCAGCATCTCCTTTCTTCTTGACGGATCATCCCGCCAGTGGTGGTGCACCGTCTCCTCTGCCTGTACTCCTCTGTCGTCGCTGGGAGACTTTTGAGTCGACTCAAAAGTCACCTCGCACCGTCTCCTCTGCCTGTACTCCTCTGTCGTCGCTGCCCAGCAACTCACGTCAGTGCTTGCAGGGTGCTCGCTCACCTTCCCAGCATCTCCTTGTGCTGTGCTAAGTCGTCCGGCCAGTGGTGCCGCACCCAGTGCAGACAGGCCTCAAGAACCGTCTCCTCTGCTTGTACTCCCATGTCGTCACATCCCAGCAGGGCCCTACAAGTGCTAGCGCACCCATGTGTCCACGCACCCACGCACCCACGCACCCGCGCACCCGCGCACCCGCGCACCCGCGCACCCGCGCACCCGCGCACCCGCGCACCCGCGCACCCGCGCACCCGCGCACCCGCGCACCCGCGCACCCGCGCACCCGCGCACCCGCGCACCCGCGCACCCGCGCACCCGCGCACCCGCGCACCCGCGCACCCGCGCACCCGCGCACCCGCGCACCCACGCACCTTCCAAGCATCTCCTTGCGTCTCATAAGATCATCAGGCCAGTGGTGCCGCACCCAGTGCAGACAGGCCTCAAGAACCGTCTCCTCTGACTGCACTCCCACGTCGTCGCTCCCCAGCAGGGCTTGCAACGCCTCGAGAGGCAGGGAGAGGAAGTCGGGCGTCTGCCAGGTGGCGTCGAGGGAGGTGAAGTGCTGCACCAGGAAGGCTGAGGAGGAAGCGAGGAGGAAGGAGGCTGCGGCATCGCAAGGGGGGAGGAGAGGAAGGGACGGAAGGGAAGGGAAGAGAGCAGAGTGAGCAGAGGAAGTCGGACGTCTTCCAGGTGGCATCGAGGGAGGTGGAGTGCTGCACTAGGAAGGCTGAGGACGAAGCGAGGAGGAAGGAAGCTGCAAAAGGGAAGTTGAATGAGGGAGGGGAAGGGGGGGAAAGTGAGATAATAGAAGGCACTCCTAAGTAGCCACGGCCCCACTATCCACACACTCACTCATCCACACACTCATCCACACACTCACTCATCCACACACTCACTCATCCACACACTCATCCACACACTCACCCATCCACACACTCATCCACACACTCACTCATCCACACACTCACTCATCCACACACTCACTCACCCACACGCTCACTCATCCACACACTCACTCATCCATACACTCACTCATCCACACACTCACTCATCCACACACTCATCCACACACTCACTCATCCACACACTCACTCATCCACACGCTCACTCATCCACACACTCACTCATCCACACACTCACTCATCCACACACTCATCCACACACTCACCATCTCACCATATGGGAAACGGTGAGGAGGGAAAATTACGCTCTTAGCATAGAATAGAATAGAGTCGCGCCCCACAATGAGACCTTTGTGTACGCATGTGCCCCACCCACCAGCGTCAGAGAGAGCAACATTGGTAGGAGCAGACCCGGAGGAGCGTGCAGGCAATGTCAAGCGTCAGAGGCACCTCCCTCCTCTCCTCACAATGAGGTTTCAGGTCCTCCCTTTTCCATTCACCCACTCTTAAGTTTTCAAGCCCCATCTATTCTGCTCATGCGCCATACTCACCAGCGTCAGAGAGAGCAACATTGGCGCAGACCCGGAGGAGTGTGCAGGCAATGTCAAGCGTCAGAGGCACCTCCCTGCAGAGGAGAGAGAGGGGAACGGGCAGAGGGATAGAATGGGAGCGAGGGCAGAGGGGGAGAGAGGGCAGAGAGGGCAGAAAGGACAGAAAGAGCAACATTGGTTGGAGAACAGGAAGAGGGAGAGAGAGGAGCAAGGAAGGAGAAGGAAGAGAGCGAAGAGAGAGCAACATTGGTTGGAGCAGACCTCACTGAGGCTGCAGAATGTGATAAGTCGATTTTTTAGTTGACACAAAGAACGACTTATCACACAACGCTCCATTCTAATACAGCCCAAGAAGCTCTTCTCATCACCGAGGCTGCAAAATCACCTACCTACCTCAGGTGGTGCGCGCACACATCCACGCATGACAGCACGGAGAACTTGTTGGCCAGCAGCAGCAGGTGCAACACGGCCTCGGGATCATCGGAGCCCAGGCGGCCCGTGTAGAGGTAGTGCAGCAGATGCATGAAGGGACGCTCCTCTGAGGGGTGGAGGGGAGGGTGAAATGGTGAGAGGAGATCGGGAAGGGGCACGCATGGATCATCAGATCCCAGCCGCCTTGTGTGCAGATAGTGCAGCAGGTGCATGAAGTGCTGTTCCTCTGTGGATAAGTGGGTGAGAGAAGGGGTGGGGGAGGGGGGCAGGGGGACGGAAAAGCCTCAAGCACGGCCTCGGGATCATCGGAGCCCAGGCGCCCTGTGTAGAGATAGTGCAGTATATGCATGAAGGGACGCTCCTCTGAGGAGGAGAGGGAGTGGGAAAGGGAGACGGGGAATGGAGATGGGTCACACCTATCGATCATCAAAGCCCAGGCGGCCCGTGTAGAGGTAGTGCAGCAGATGCTTGAAGGGCTGTTCCTCTGAGGATAAGTGGGTGAGAGAAGGGGTGGGGGAGGGGGGGCAGGGGGATGGGGAGGCCTCAAGCACAGCCTCGGGATCATCGGAGCCCAGGCGGCCCGTGTACAGATAGTGCCCCGGGAACAGGTAGTGCAGCAGGTGTATGAAGGGCTGTTCCTCTGTGGTGCGAAGAGGTGAAGAGAATGGAATTGGGAGGGAGAGGGAAGAGAAGGAAGAGGGATGAGGGGGAGTGGTGAGTGGGGCAAGGAGGGTGCAAGCCACCAGCGAGACGTTGACCGGGAAGATGAAAGAGACTCAGCTTCCACTGGAATTGTGACGGTCAAAGAAGAAAGCAGAAGAAAAACCAAAAACCAGAACCAGGGAGCGAGTCGGATGGTGACCGAGCGGGCTTTGCAGAGTCAGAGGAAGTAGGAGGAGGGAGAGGAGGAGGCAGGCGCCATTGCGGTGAGAAGAGCGATTTGAAGAGGTCAGACTGGGACACGAGGATGGCCCATATCACGTGCACCTGCACCCTCTGAGGCTTCTGAGCCGACGAACAAAACCTTACCTTCGGGTGCGAATCGGATGGTGACTGGAGGCGGCTTTACACGCTCAGGCTCAAAGGAAGAAGCTGAGGAGTTTGAAGAGTGCGGATGAGGAGGAGGAGGAGGAGGAGGAGGAGGAGGAGGAGGAGGAGGAGGAGGAGGAGGAGGAGGAGGAGGAGGAGGAGGAGCAGGGGACGCGGCGCCATTGCGGTGAGAAGAGCGATTTGAAGAAGTCGGACTGGGACACGAGGATGGCCGATATCACATGCACCTGCACCCTCCGAGGCTTCTGAGTCGACGAACAAAACCTTACCTTCGGGTACGAGTCGGATGGTGACTGGAGGCGGCTTTACACGCTCAGGCTCGAAGGAAGAAGATGAGGAGTTTGAAGAGTGCGGATGAGGAGGAGGAGGAGGAGCAGAGGGGCGCCACTGTGGTGAGAAGAGCGATTTGAAGAAGTCGGACTGAGACACGAGGACGGCTGATATCACGTGCACCTGCACCCGCCGGGCCTTTTGGGCCGACGAACAAGGCACCTGCACCCGCTGCTCTGCACACTCGCCGCTGCTGCTGCTGCTTCTGTTGCCACTGAAATCAGATGCTGCAGCGGCACCTCCATTGTTTCTGTCAGCGCCAGCAGCAGAGGCTGCTGCTGCTTCTTCACTCACGCCGTCGATCGTGCTTGAATCTGAGCCGTCCATGCCAGCTGCGGCAGCGAGATCTGAAGACGCCATTCCGTTACCCCCCAGCCGCTCTTCTTCACCCTTCCGTAATTCCTCTCTGCCCTCACGTTCGCGCTCGGGCTTGTGCTCGCCTTTCCCTGGCTCAGAAACATGGCCTCTCTCTTCCTGCTCCTCCTGCTCCTCCTGCTCCTCCTGCTCATGCTCGTCATCCAGCTCATCCGCGGCAATCTCGAGGGAGAGGCAGCGGTCGCTGAAGTCGGGGTTGTTAAGGGCGAACGAGAAGTCGAACGCGCGTGGGTCCGGCGGGTACGACGGCCGCGGCGCCGGGTGCGGGCACTGATGCGGGGGAAGCGCGCGGTGGTGCGGATGGCCCTGGCGCGCCTCGCTGGGACTGCCGTTGCTGCCTCCGTTAATGGTGGAAGCCATGGCGGGAAGAAAGTATCGAAATTTCTGCAAAAAAAAAAAGGGCAGGAACTCCCTAACTACTCCGAGTAAAGGAGTCTTCAAAGGCGTCTGGAACAACCCAGGATCTCTCTATCTAGCTTTTATAAGGTCCGGAAGTTTGAGCGAACGCGCGGGAACGCAGAATGCCGCACACAGATGCTAGTTCCTAGTATGAGAGGGACCGCTGAGATGGTTGGCGTCTAATTGCGCGGATGATCGTCAAATTCTGCGAAGGAGGCTGCATGCCTGGGCGAATCGCAACTTTTAACGACAGTGCAGTTCATGCCCGAGAGTTACGCTGCGACTTTTGAGACGTCTCATGAGTCGCAACTTCTAACGACAGTGCTGTTCATGCCCGAGAGTTACGCTGCGTACGGAAATCCGCGAGACATGAGACGACTTTTGAGGCGCCTCAAAAGGCTGCATGCCAGGGCGAATCGCAACTTCTAACGACAGCGCAGTTCATGCCCGAGAGTTACGCTGCGTACGGAAAGCTTATGTGCAACTGAGGTCTTTCTTTGCAGAGAGCTGTACGGACACGCTGTCACCGGTGTCTGTCCTGGCAGGACGGGAGATCAAGCAGGCGTCAACGCGTGCTGCTAGGTCGACAGCATGCTGCTGGATAAGCAGCCATCAAAGTGCAGGTGAGCGCCGATGAAGGCCATCACCTGCCGTAGACCTCTTAGCGCCCTAAGCAATCCCACCTGCCTATTGTTTAGGGAGCATAGCAGCCTCGTATTTCATTACATTCAGGAGTCTTGCATGCGTTTTGGCTTTCAGGGAGCTCCCTAGGCTGGCCCTTGCTATGCTGCATGCCTTACGAAATGAAATGAATTGGAACCCCGTTTCGGCGAAGTCGCTGCTGGTAACCGTACCTCTTCGCCGTGCCCTATCCCACACGCCAGTTTCTTGCACCACATGCCACGGAATGCAATATCGCAGCTTCGCAAGCAGGTGGAAAAGTCTCGGTGGAAGTCAGCGTAACAGCGCTCGGCAATTTCGCAAAGCCGTCTGTCCAATTTCCGCCCTAACTTTTGACTCGGAACCAGCTTTTATTGGAACTTCAATTGAGGTTCAGCTCCGAGTATTCCTATATCGGGAATGAACTGCAGGCGACGGTTGTTTGCGGTACAGGCAGGGAGTTTCAATTACCACTTTAAAATGAAATATAATTACTAGCAACACATAGCACCGTGGAAAACTCTCTTGATCCATGGATGGAATGCACAAACCTCCACCAGCTCACCATCCACCTTTGATCTAGCACGCCCGGAAATGACTAAACATTTGCCAAAGCACACCTACCTACTCTTTAGGACAAGCAGAAACTTTAGGACCGGAAACTTAGTCACAAGCATTCTGTGATATATATATCTAAAAGTCCGTCAACGAATTCCACTCTCCGCGAAGAAGCTTCCGCTTGAAGCCCAGGTTTCCACCAGAGCCTCCAGCAGCAGACATGCCCGTTCCGCGAAATCGTTCCGGCGGCTTCACGCCAAAATCCGGTAATGCGTCCGCGTCGTCTCTGTTCAAATCCTCCTCGGTCCCTTCTCTCTCCTCTCGGCTCTCGTGGAATGACCTCGCGCCAGCGTTGGCTATAGCGCTGCTGCTTGTAGCGGGTATGCTGCTCGCCGTGACGTACATCCGCGCGTCGTCAATGCGGTGCAATGCGATGCAGCTGGAGCAGCACGTGAGAACGCTCAAGGTGAGGATGCTTATATCGGGTACGTTTCTCGCCGTTACGTGCGCGTGTTGTCCAATGCTGCGGAGCTAAAATTCCTATCTTCTCCATTTCCCGACTTACTCCTTGTCATTTTCCCTCCTTGCTTCGCATCCACCTCCGAATCTTCCCTTTCTTCACATATTCCCCAAAAATCCACACAACCGGGTCCCCTTTTTCCACTTCCCCATTCCCCCTTCCCCCGTTCCCCCTTCCCCTCCCCCGGATCATGTGTGCGCATGTGGAAGCAGGGCGGATCGCGGGAGGGGCGACAGAGTCTGGTGGAGAGGCAGGTGAGGATTCTGGGCCGGGCAGGTGAGAATTTTGGGCCGGGCAGGTGAGAATCTTGGTGCGGGGTGAGCAGTTCGGGCAGGTGGGGAATCTGGGCAGGTGAGGAGGATTTCGGGCAATTGAGAATGTGGGCAGGTGATCAAGAAGACTAGGAGGAGAAACGTTTGGGAAGGAGAGCAATGATTCGTGCAGATTCACGTGCGCATAGGTCGGTGGGTTGGCATGGGTGGTGCTGCTGTGGCATGGGCTAATGCGTACCCATTGCTCCTGTGTATTGCTGAACCATGTGTCGCCATGCCTTGCCACATCCCTTCCATGTGTCGCCATGCCTTGCCACATCCCTTCCATGTGTCGCCATGCCTTGCCACATCCCTTCCATGTGTCGCCATGCCTTGCCACATCCCTTCCATGTGTCGCCATGCCTTGCCACATCCCTTCCATGTGTCGCCATGCCTTGCCACATCCCTTCCATGTGTCGCCATGCCTTGCCACATCCCTTCCATGTGTCGCCATGCCTTGCCACATCCCTTCCATGTGTCGCCATGCCTTGCCACATCCCTTCCATGTGTCGCCATGCCTTGCCACATCCCTTCCATGTGTCGCCATGCCTTGCCACATCCCTTCCATGTGTCGCCATGCCTTGCCACATCCCTTCCATGTGTCGCCATGTGCAGAACGACATAGGCAAGCGAACAGCTGAGGCTCTTCGAGAGGCCATTCACCTGGTTCCTGTGAGTCCATGTCATATAAAAATTGCGGGTAATGACACGACTTTTGAGGCGCCTCAAAACTTTTGAGGCGCCTCGAGAGGCCATTCACCTGGTTCCTGTAAGTTCATATCATCCATGTGACTTCTGAATCGACTCAAGATTCACCTGCACCCGTGTGCATGCCATGCCATGCCATGCCATGCCATTCCATGCCATGCCATGCCGTGCCGTGCCGTGCCATGCCATGCCATGCCGTATATGCACACAGGCCTTTCCATACTATGTGCATTGCATACCATGTGGAGGCCACACCATTTTGTGCGCATGCATGCCATGCCGTGTGCATACCATGCCATATTCTATTCCATGCCGTGTGCATACCATGCCATATTCTATGCCATGCCGTGTGCATACCATGCCATATTCTATGCCATGCCGTGTGCATACCATGCCATATTCTATGCCATGCTGTGTGCATACCATGCCATATTCTATGCCATGCTGTGTGCATACCATGCCATATTCTATGCCATGCTGTGTGCATACCATGCCATATTCTATGCCATGCCGTGTGCATACCATGCCATATTCTATGCCATGCTGTGTGCATACCATGCCATATTCTATGCCATGCCGTGTGCATACCATGCCATATTCTATGCCATACCATGCCATATTCTATGCCATGCTGTGTGCATACCATGCCATATTCTATGCCATGCCGTGTGCATACCATGCCATATTCTATGCCATGCTGTGTGCATACCATGCCATATTCTATGCCATGCTGTGTGCATACCATGCCATATTCTATTTGTCAGCCCATACGTATCATATGCGCTCCTTTCAGTAGAAGCTCCCATGGGAAGCCGTTCATTCACCTGCACCTGTTAGGGCTGCACTCAACAGGCAAGCTGTCACCGAATTTCTGTCCCGCTCGCCGTCCCACTTGCTCTCTCACTCTCTCGCTCGCTTCTGTGCATTCTGTTAACAGAATGGCAACTTCTTTCCCTGTGCTGCCATCCCAGGGATGGCAGACCATGGCACAGAGGGAAAGAAGCTGCCATCTGCCTCCTCCGAGTTGACTTTTGAGTCGACTCGAACGTCTGCTCTCTCACTCTCTCGCTCTCTTCCGTGCATTCTGTTAATCCCAGGGATGGCAGGCCATGGCAGCACAGGGGAAGAAGCTGCCATCTGCCTCCTCCGCTGCAGCTGCAGCTGCTGCCACCAGTGCTGCGGGCGGCTTTGGAGAGTTGAAGCACGCGTTTCAGCAGATAGTGCTGTCGCGCATTCAGCCCGCGATACTGCGGCAAAAGGTGAGCGCTCGCTCGGCAGTCTCAGCAATTTGAGGCCCTGCGACTTGCCATGTCAGTGCAGTGCTGCGAGGCAGTTTGCAATGTTCAGGCAGATAGTGCTGTCGCGCATTCAGCCCGCGATACTGCGGCAAAAGGTGAGCGCTCGGCAGTCTCAGCGATTTCATTCAGGCCCTGCGACTTGCAATGTCAGTGCAGTGCTGCGAGGCAGTTAGTCGATTTTTGAGTCGACTCAAAAATCATGTCCGTGCAGTGCTGCGAAGCACTTTGCAGTGTTCAAGCTGCCTTTTGAGTCGACTCAAAAGTCACCTGCGAGGCACTTTGCAGTGTTCAAGCTGCCCTCCCTGCCCTGACTCCTCCCTGCCCTGACTCCTCCCTGCTCTCTCCTCTCTCTCTCTCTCATCTCTCCTGATTCTTTCTCTCTTGTTTCCACCCAATCCAACCCACCCGAACCCAACCCCACCATCAGGAGCACCACCACGTGAGGGGAGTGATCAAGAAGGCAGCACAGCGAGCAGGCAAGTGGGCGGCAGCCATGGGCACCAAGAGCTGCCCTCCCTGCCCTCCCTGCCCTGACGTTATGCTCTCTGCTTTCTCCTCTTTCATGTCTCTTCCTCTCTTGTTTCCACCCAACCCAACCCAACCACACTTAACCCCACCATCAGGAGCACCACCACGAGAGAGGGGTGATAAAGAAGGCAGCACAGCGAGCAGGCAACTGGGCGGCAGCCATGGGCACCAAGAGCTGGGCCTCCCTGCCCTGACTTCTCTCTGCTCTTTCATGTCTATTCCTCTCTTGTTTCCACCCACCCCAACCACACCTAACCCCACCATCAGGAGCACCACCACGTGAGGGGAGTGATAAAGAATGCGGCACAGAGAGCAGGCAAGTGGGCCGCAGCCATGGGCACCAAGAGCTGCCCTCCCTTTCTTTGATCCACCCGCTGTTTCCACCCAACCTAACCCATTCCAAACGAATCCATCTCCACCCAACCCCTTTCAACCGCACCCCACCATCAGGAGCACCATCATGTGAGAGGGGTGATAAAGAAGGCGGCACAGCGAGCAGGCAAGTGGGCCGCAGCCATGGGCACCAAGAGCTGCCCCCCCTGCCCTGACTGCTCGCTGCAGCAGCAACAACAGCAGCAGCTGCTGCTGCAGATGCAGCAGCAGAAGGGTGGGAATGGGAAATACACGGAGCAGCAGCGGCAGGAGGAGGAAGGATTAGCAGAAATTGACTTGCGGTTTCCTTCCGCCTCTTCTGACTCCTCTGGATCGGCTCTTCGCGTCGTCGGACCGCTCTGCACCGCATCGGGTGTCGTCGACTGCGGCTGCCCGTACGGCGAGTCGGGCAGGGTGGAATTTTCCGGGAGGCTGCCCGGGCAGGAGCAGCAGCAGGAGGGTGAGGAGGAGGCAGGGGAGAAGAAACCACTGTGTGTGGACGGCAGCTCTCCGGGCAGATGGACGGGGTTCGACCAATGGGAGGCTGACAACTGTCAGTACAGGTGGGTGGGTGGGTGGTGGGTGGGCGGGTGGGGTGGGTGGGCTGGCTTGTTCTCCCGCGTCTGGAGCTGCAGATTCTCCCGCGTCTGGAGCTGCAGATTCTCCCGCGTCTGGAGCTGCAGATTCTCCCGCGTCTGGAGCTGCAGATTCTCCCGCGTCTGGAGCTGCAGATTCTCCCGCGTCTGGAGCTGCAGATTCTCCCGCGTCTGGAGCTGCAGATTCTCCCGCGTCTGGAGCTGCAGATTCTCCCGCGTCTGGAGCTGCAGATTCTCCTGCGTCTGGAGCTGCAGATTCTCCCGCGTCTGGAGCTGCAGATTCTCCCGCGTCTGGAGCTGCAGATTCTCCCGCGTCTGGAGCTGCAGATTCTCCCGCGTCTGGAGCTGCAGATTCTCCTGCGTCTGGAGCTGCAGATTCTCCTGCGTCTGGAGCTGCAGATTCTCCTGCGTCTGGAGCTGCAGATTCTCCCGCGTCTGGAGCTGCAGATTCTCCTGCGTCTGGAGCTGCAGATTCTCCTGCGTCTGGAGCTGCAGATTCTCCTGCGTCTGGAGCTGCAGATTCTCCTGCGTCTGGAGCTGCAGATTCTCCTGCGTCTGGAGCTGCAGATTCTCCTGCGTCTGGAGCTGCAGATTCTCCTGCGTCTGGAGCTGCAGATTCTCCTGCGTCTGGAGCTGCAGATTCTCCTGCGTCTGGAGCTGCAGATTCTCCTGCGTCTGGAGCTGCAGATTCTCCTGCGTCTGGAGCTGCAGATTCTCCTGCGTCTGGAGCTGCAGATTCTCCTGCGTCTGGAGCTGCAGATTCTCCTGCGTCTGGAGCTGCAGATTCTCCTGCGTCTGGAGCTGCAGATTCTCCTGCGTCTGGAGCTGCAGATTCTCCTGCGTCTGGAGCTGCAGATTCTCCTGCGTCTGGAGCTGCAGATTCTCCTGCGTCTGGAGCTGCAGATTCTCCTGCGTCTGGAGCTGCAGATTCTCCTGCGTCTGGAGCTGCAGATTCTCCTGCGTCTGGAGCTGCAGATTCTCCTGCGTCTGGAGCTGCAGATTCTCACACAACCCGAGCTACACCAGTGCCTGGGCACCAAGTGGGTGCATTTCTCTGCGGACCACACCTCGCGCCTCCTTACCTCCTGACGTCTTCCTGCTTGCATGCCCCCCTCTCTCCCCCGTCCCCCCTTTCCCCCTGTTCTTCCGTCCCAGAGACATCTCTCTCCCCGAGCTACACCAGTGCCTGGGCACCAAGTGGGTGCATTTCTTTGGGGACCACACCTCCCGCCTCCTCGCCCTGCATTTCGCGCGCCTGCTGGGGCTGCAGCGGCAGGGCGGGGAGGGGGAGGACGGGGAGGACGGGGACGGGGGGGCAGACGGGGACGGGCCGTTTGGGGGAGGCGGGGGAGGGGAAGGGGAGGGCGGGGCGGGAGGGGAAGGGGGAGAGGGCGGGGAGGGGTTGGGGGAAGGTGGGGGGGAGGGGGGGGAGGCAGGAGCGAGAGGGCCTGGTGTGGCAGAGGGAGTGGAGGAGGAGGGGGACGGAGAGGGGGGTGGGGTGGGCGCTGCTGCTGGTACTGGTACTGGTGGGGGAGCAGGGGACAGGGGGAGGTAAGCGCTGATGATGTGGGGGAGGTGGTGAGACGGAGGAGAAGGCTGGCCTCGACTGTTGAAGCGCCTCAGAGTTCTGTGGTTGGAATGGAGAAGGGGAGGCGAGTGAGGGGGAGATGGAGGAATGGGGAGGGCTTGTGAGCAGTAGCAGTGGCAGCAGTATTAGCAGCAGCAACATGAGCAGCAGCGATACGACCAACACCAGCAGCAGTATTAGCAGCAGCAACATGAGCAGCAGCGATACGACCAACACCAGCAGCAGTATTAGCAGCAGCAACATGAGCAGCAGCGATACGACCAACACCAGCAGCAGTATTAGCAGCAGCAACATGAGCAGCAGCGGTACGACCAACACCAGCAGCAGCAGGCGGAGGGTACTAGCAGCAGCAGCCACGGAGCTGGGCGGCAGTGGCAGGGGGGGAGGCGGGCCGAGAGTGACGTACCTGTTTCGCGGGAAGATGGCACGGCAGAGACACCCTGAGGTGGGTGCAAGCACATGGTGGGGTGGGGTGGGGTGGGGTGGGGTGGGGTGATTGTTGTCTTGTGAACCACCTGTTTTTGAGTTTCCCCCTGCTGCAAAAAGTGAGGTGGGCCGAGAGTGACTTACCTGTTCCGAGGCAAGATGGCACGGCAGAGACACCCCGAGGTGGGTCTAGGCTAGGCATGTGGGGCTATTGAGGTCGTTTTTGAGGCGCCTCAAAAACGACCTCAAGGCACGGCAGAGACATCCCGAGGTGGGTCTGGGCTAGGCATGTGGGGCAAGATGGCACGGCAGAGGCACCCCGAGGTGGGTCTTGGCTAGGCACCCCGATGTGGGGCTGTTGAGGTGCGAGATGGGTGCAGGCATGTGGTGGCGTGGGGTGCTGGTGTTTCGTGAACCGCCTATTTTTGAATCATCACCTGCGCTGCGCTGCGCGGCAAAAAGGGAAGGCGGGCCAAGAGTGACGAATCTGTTCCGCGGGAAAATGGCACGGCAGGGACACCCTGAGGTGGGTCTGGGGATGTGGTGGAGTGGAGGGGGCTTTATTGTGATGGGCGTGGGGGTGCACGAGGTGGCGTGGGGGTGCACGAGGTGGCGGGGCGGGGGGAGAGTTGGTTTTTGAGAATTCTCAAAAACCAACACGAGGTGGTGGGGTGGGGGGAGAGAATTCTCCTTTCCCCTCCTTCCCCCTCCTTCCCCCTCCTTCCCCCTCCTTCCCCCTCCTCCTTCCCCTCCTCCTCCTTCCCCTCCTCCTCCTTCCCCCTCCTTCCCCTCCTCCTTCCCCCTCCTTCCCCCTCCTTCCCCCTCCTCCTTCCCCCTCCTCCTCCCCCTCCTTCCCCTCCTTCCCCCCCTCCTTCCCCCTCCTTCCCCCTCCTTCCCCCTCCTTCCCCCTCCTTCCCCCTCCTTCCCCCTCCTTCCCCCTCCTTCCCCTCCTTCCCCCTCCTCCCCCCTCCTCCCCCCTCCTCCCCCCTCCTCCCCCCTCCTCCCCCTCCTCCCCCCTCCTTCCCCCTCCTTCCCCCTCCTTCCCCCTCCTTCCCCCTCCTTCCCCCTCCTTCCCCCCTCCTTCCCCCTCCTTCCCCCTCCTTCCCCTCCTCTCCCCCTCCTCCCCCCTCCTCCCCCCTCCTCCCCCTCCTTCCCCCTCCTTCCCCCTCCTTCCCCCTCCTTCCCCCTCCTTCCCCCTCCTTCCCCCTCCTTCCCCCTCCTTCCCCCTCCTTCCCCTTCCCCCCCTCCTTCCCCTCCTTCCCCCTCCTTCCCCCTCCTTCCCCCTCCTTCCCCCTCCTTCCCCCCCTCCTTCCCCCTCCTTCCCCCTCCTTCCCCCTCCTTCCCCCTCCTCCCCCCTCCTCCCCCCTCCTCCCCCCTCCTTCCCCCTCCTCCCCCCCTCCTCCCCCCTCCTCCCCCCTCCTCCTCCCCCCCTCCCCCCCCCCCCCCCCTCCTTCCCCCTCCTTCCCCCTCCTTCCCCCTCCTTCCCCCTCCTTCCCCCTCCTTCCCCCTCCTTCCCCCTCCTTCCCCCCCTCCTTCCCCCTCCTTCCCCCTCCTTCCCCCTCCTTCCCCCTCCTTCCCCCTCCTTCCCCCTCCTTCCCCCTCCTTCCCCCTCCTTCCCCCTCCTTCCCCCTCCTTCCCCCTCCTTCCCCCTCCTTCCCCCTCCTTCCCCCTCCTTCCCCCTCCTTCCCCCCCTCCTTCCCCTCCTCCCCCTCCTCCCCCCTCCTCCCCCTCCTTCCCCCTCCTTCCCCCTCCTTCCCCCTCCTTCCCCCTCCTTCCCCCTCCTTCCCCCTCCTTCCCCCTCCTTCCCCCTCCTTCCCCCTCCTTCCCCCTCCTTCCCCTCCTTCCCCTCCTTCCCCCTCCTTCCCCCTCCTTCCCCCTCCTTCCCCCCTCCTCTCTCCCCTGCCTCCTTGCTTCCCTAATACCACCCCTACACCCAACCAACCATTATTTAGCCCGGCACACCGGAGCAGCGGGATTTGAACGACCAGTTTCTGATGAACATGACCACAAAGCCAGGCGGGCGGCCGGATTTTATAGTGAATGTTGTTCCTTTCCCTCCTTCCCCCTCCTTCCCCCTCCTTCCCCCTCCTTCTCCCCCCTCCTCTCTCCCTTGCCTCCTTGCTTCCCTACCACCCCTACACCCAACCAACCATTATTTAGCCCGGCACACAGGAGCAGCGGGATTTGAACGACCAGTTTCTGATGAACATGACGACAAAGCCAGGCGGGCGGCCGGATTTTATAGTGATGGGCGTGGGGGTGCACGAGGTGATGGGGTGGGGGAAGCGACCCCCTCCTGACCTTGACTTTGACGCGTTCCGGGAAGATACCGAGAAGCTTCTGGACCTGCTGAGGCGGACGTACCGTGGAGGGAAGGTGGTGTGGTGGAAGGCGAATTACATCTGGCCAGGTGGGTTTTCAGGTGGTTTTCAGGATCTGAAAGGAGGTGGTTTTTTTGGTTTTCTAATTTCACACGCATAGGAGCCCATTTCCAACTCTCTTATCTGGTATGATGCCCTGCTTCATTCCATATACATGCAGGAGCCTTGCTGATGGAGGATTATTTTCAGATGAGGCAATTCCACGAGCTGTATCAAGCCCGCGTGTACACAAGGTTGGAGTGGCCGTTTCTACCGTAACTCTGTTATCTCCTATAATGCCCTTCTTCACTTCGTATACTTGCAGGAGCCTTGCTAATGGAGGATTACTTTCAGATGAGGCAATTCCACGAGCTCTATCAGGCGCACGCGTACAGAAGGTTCCAGGAAGCTGGTCATACCGTGGCCGACTTTTACCAGACCACAGAGGACAGACCTGAGCTGGTGGTTTCACAAGATGGGACTCGATACAGTGCACAAGTCATTGCGCTACATGCAAAGATCATCGCTAACATTTTGTGCAACCGTCAATAATGTCTGGCCTTGCCTATTGCGTGATTCACTGTTACCGTAGTCCATAAATTATCGTCATGTGCGTGTAATAAGCACAGTTTCTCTACACTACCTCTATGATCTCCACCCTGCACATCCTCCCTCCCCTCCCTCCCCCCCTCCTCCACCCCTCCTCCACCCTCCCTCCTGCACTTCACCTTCCCCTCCCCCCCCCTTCTACATGCCATGATATTGGCACCTGAATGAGTTGCATTGCATCACAATGCCATGCCAGTTGACATGGTTTGGTTTAGTATCAGACTGTTCTGTGCACACCTCCCATACAACTACAATGGTGCAGCTTGCCTCTTGTAACAGAGAGGGATTCCCTGGCAGGAATAATTTACCGTAGCATAGCATCATATCCCTGGCAAGTTGAACCTTGCATATTCCTGTACACGCACAGTACTGTACAGAAACTATCTGTCATAGAGTTCATCCCTGCGTACCATATTTGTTAACTTGTCATGGTACAGGACACGTTGTCGACTCCACTGCACTGCACTGCACTACACTCCACTGCACTGTTCTTCTGGTTAACACCAGCTTCGTTGAATCGTCGACTAGAGCCTTTCTCAAAAACCCCTTGGACTGGGTTAGGGAATAATAATTCGGTACTAGTGTATAATACGTTAGTATGCCTAGGTGCTCTGAATACTAGTGTACTACTGTACTACTGCTGGCTTGCAACTTAGCCATGAAAGAATGGGTATGCTGGTGGTAGGTAACTAATCAAGCAAAAAGTGGCTGGTGGCGACGGCATATCACATGGTGCCGCGCCGCTGCTGCTGACAGGAGGACGCTCCTCCGATGTCCAGCTCACATCACATCACATCACATAGTAACTCTTCTTTGCGCAGGCGTGGGCATGCACACTCGCACATGGCACCCCTTCTGTGCTCAGCCGGCATATCTCATCATGCTGCTGGCAGGCAAACGCTCCTCCGATGTCCAGCTCACATCACATCACATCACATAGTAACTCTTCTGTGCACAGCCACGGGTATGCACACTCTGTGGTCGGAATCCCTGGAAGGAATCCCTTCTGTGCGCAGCCGGCACAGCACACAGTGGTCGCGGCTCCCTCGCTGCTGCTGACAGGCAAACGCTCCGGCCCACATCACGTCACATGGTAACCCTTCGGTGCGCAGCAGCAGGCACGCACACTCGCACATGGGAGAAGCGCTGCTGCAGACACATGAGGCCTTTCACAAACAGCTCCTGCCGCCTCATCGCGCCCATGCACTCCCCTGCTGCTCCGGCTGTAGCGGCAGCTGTAGAACCGGCTGTAGCGCAGGCAGCAGGTGCTGCTGCTACAGTAGCACCCATCGCATCGTCCTCTTCTACAATCATGTTCACATCCTTCCCCTCATCCTCCTCCCACTCCTCCCCCGTTCCCTCCTCCATCCCCTCCTCCATCTCCCCCTCAACCTCCTCCTCTCCCTCATACTCCTCCTCCCCCTCTTCCTCCTCCTCCTCCTCGTCCCCAGGAACTAGGCTTACTTGAAGTGATCTAAGGGACGGCATGCGGCACAGCATGGTGTGCAGCAGCAGCAGCGCCTCGGGTCGCTCCTCCTGCACGCGCACCTTAATCTCCGCCAGTTGCGGCCACGGGTAATCCGCGCGCATCTCGTATCCGAGTTCCGCGCACCCGCCGTCCGCACGCCCCACGTCCGCGCGGAACGCGCCCGCCGCGGCCGCCCACGAGACGACGAGCTGCCACGGCAGCGCGCCGAAGCTGAGCGCCCGCAGGTTCGGACACGAGGCTGCGAGCCAGGTCAGGGAGAACACCCCAGCGGAAATCGCGCCGGGACCCGCGGAGAAGAAATCGAGCGAGAAGGAGATTAAAGACGCGCCCGCGGTTTGGACCAGGGCTTTAATCGCCGCCCAGCCGAACGACCCGGCTTTGAGGTCCAGCGAGGCGAGGAGCGGCGAATCAGGCGCCGCCACCTCGAGCACGCTCGCGCTGGCGACCGCCACGTGGCGCAGAAGCGGCGCGTCGCGCACCGAGACGGAGCGCACGAACATGTCGCGAACGGACAGCGAGCGGAGCGCGCGGGCGTTGCGGAAGGAGCAGGACTCGGCGCGCAGGTACGCCAGCTCGACGTGCTCCACTGTAGCGGGCAGGCGAAGATTTATCCGCGGGCAGCCCGTGGCCATGAAAATGGAGAGCCGGCGAAGGTTCGGCAAAGCGTCGAGGACGGCTTGAAGGCTCTCATTGGACGCGTGAATCCAGGAGAGCGAGAGGTGCTCCAGGTGTCGCATTGGCGGGAGGTGACACGTCAGCAGGGACGAGTCGGAGAGCGAAAGGGAGCCTAGGGTGAGGGATCGCAGCGAAGAACAGTAGCGCGCCACGTGGCGCAAATGCGCGCTGAGATCCTCGTTCTCCCAGACGTTCACCGTCATCCCGCCGGCCACGCCGCACGTGCTGCCGCATGAGCCGGCGCAACTGCCGCTGCGAGGCGGAGGCTGCAGTGAGCGCGAGAAGACGAGCGATTGTAATTGCGGTCCGACGTGGCGCATCCACGCTTCGAAGATGAATTCGCGCGGGTGCTGCTGCGGAGCCGCCACGTGGCAGCCGCAGAAACTGCAGCAGCCGTTCGAGTCGCTACCGCTCGCGCCGGCGCACGCGGCGTGATGATGCAGCTCCGGAGCGCCGCGGTTGCCGTCATTCTCGGCGCATGAGCAGGCGCCAGCGCCACCGGCGGCCAACGCCGACGCCACGTGGAGGTGTTGCAGTGACCGCGTTTTCAGGACCATGCGCGACACGAGCTCCTCGAGTCGCGCGGGAGAGGCTGTCGCCGCCACGCGGTCGCCGCTTGCCACGTCAGATGGGGCGAAACGGAGCGCCGGGACGTAGCGCGTGAGAGCGCGAAATCGTCTGCACGTCAGCGAGATGATACTGACGTCAGCCGCGCCGCAGCCGACGCGCGCGAAAATATCGACGATGAGTTCATCCGGCAACAGCGAAAACGGGTCGCGCGCGGATCGCGGCGACGAGAACGGGTCAGCGACGAGCGACGATACGCCGTGAAACGCGGAAGGGAACGGAATTGCCAGAGCGGATGGCCGCGAAAGGCGGCGAGCGGAGAAACCGGCCTCCGCGTCAACACAGGGACCGGCTGACTGAGATTTTGGCATCGTCATTTCGGTAGACGTGCGATAGCATGCGACGTCGCGTGCTGTCGCCGAGCCGGAATCAGCTGCGAGGTCGCAGGCCTGCGACGCGCCGTGGTAGGGTTTGCTGGGCATGAACGCGAGAGGAAATGGTTGCTGTCGAGCGTTTTCCATGGCTGTTAGTCGTCGTCAGCTTCAGAAACCGAAGTCCTCGAACCTACTACTGCTATTAGTCCTTGGCGATGTGACTTCTGAGTCAAAAGTCAACCGAAATCCTTGAACCTACTAGTCCTTGGCGATGTGGCGAAGGGAATCGATGGAGGGGAAGAAGAAAATATCAGATACGGAAATCTATGAACCGAACAGAACAGTGTGCTTGACGCGAAGGGTGAAGAAAACTAAGCAGGAAACGGCGGCGCACGGAACTTCAGCGCAGGAGATAGACGGACTGCTCCAAATATCTACAAAAAAAAACGGTTGCAGAGAGTTGAAAACGGAACGAGTCGGAACGAGTGGCTAAAATTAAGGTAAAGAGTGATAGATATTTGCACAAATGAACCACCAACAGCTGTGCCACTGACTGATAACCGCTGGGTGAGAGGAAGACGCAATGTTGAGAAAGGGGGGCTTGGTGAAGGTCCCCTCCCCTCCCCACTGAGCGTAGCCAGGGGGAGGTACGATTCGAACGAGGGACGACGACGATGCTGTGAGAGAGGCCAACGAGGATGAGGAGATGACGTTCAAAGAGAAAAAAGAGCCCCTCAACCGCCACTTCGCCCCTTGAGTTCTTCACGTGCCACGACAAATGCAAATGCTGATGTTGTTTTCTTTGCACTGTGGTGTACACTGTAACTGTTCTGCGGGACCGTGCCTGTGGTGTACTGTGCCTAGAAGCGAGGAGGAATCGAGGAGCTGGGTGAGGCACCACTCCACACCTGAGCAAGGCGCTGTACAGATGCGTGTAAAGTGTGTACAGTCCAAGGAATGACGGTTTCGCATTGAATGACCAGAGACCACCCACAACCCGGGCTGCAAAAGAATCTCGGCATCTAGCGGATACAATTGGTGTTCATTACAATAACATCGTTAGGCTGGCGTCATGTGCGTGAAACGAGTTTTTGGCGTTTCATCACATTCGCCATTGTCGCCACGGGCAAAAATGTGATTGTAAAATGAAATTGAAACGAGTCTAGGGGCTTAAGTTCGTAACCAGGTAAACAATTCTGATGACGGGCAACCGTTGTTGTTTTTTAACTGTAGATGTTTTTCTTCCACAACTTGGTGACTGTACCCCGAAATCAGCACAATGGTCAATTTGGTCACTCATGGGGCAAAACGTTCGCGAGTGACTAATTTTCGAACGGTTAAAAACAAATATTTTGTGATAGGCTGAGCGTCGGCTGTACAGTGTAAGTCAACCCATGGTCAGGTTGCCAGCACACCACAATGTTGCCACCGCTGGGGCTTGCATGTTGATGCCCCCACACCACCCCGCCACCCCCAAAACTCTCCCCCTCCACCTTCCTCCTCTTCCGGGCCGGGACCAGGCCTGTCGAAGTGTTTGGGGCCAGAACTTGGAGCACTCACCTGCTCCAAATCTTGCCCGTATTTTCACGGGCGTAGGTCAAAGCCAGAACTGGCTCTGGAAGAGAGTACACTTTGAGGTTACGAAAAAAACGAAGTTCGGGTGCCAGCCTAATGGGATTGAGCGTACGCTCGTCTTCTAGGGAAGTGTGTCTGTTTGCCACTGCTCCCACACCACACCTGGCACTTTCTCGCGAATACGATGAAAGGGGGTCAAAGCGGTGGGCGGGGAGGTGGGGGCTCCTTCAAATCAAAATCAATACTTGAATTCAGGGAAGACCCAAATGGAGCCCCTAACCGTCACGGCCTCCGCGTGAATCAATAACTTTAAATGGTCGAGGTGTCCAAACTAACCCGGAATGTTCAGGGCATTCAGGGCCAATGCCCTTACTTCGTCAGCCCTGGCCGGGACCCGATTTCCCGCCACTGGATGCTATTTAGGGGGGATCGGATCGGACGAAAAGGGAAAGCGATAGAAAACGCGGAAAGGAGGTTTCAAACGTTCGATTCTGGTCCGTACGTACCGTACCTCACCGAACCAGGCTATGATTGAACCTCTGCCTAAACAGCATCATACAGTACTCGACTGAAGAGTGAACATGACGAAACTGTTCAAGGTGCTGTCGCAAATGTTGCCCGAAAGTTGCTGCCTGGGTGGATAACCAATGGTGGGAAGCCCAAGGCCTGGTCCATCCCACCCGTCACATGGCTGACTCGTGAAATTTGAGGACTGATTGGATAATTTACGGAAAAACGGGCAACTGGATTAAGAAAAATCTCAAAACGGAAGTGAGCGAATGCAGATTTGCACAGTAACTATTACTGTAACCCTAGAAACTCGAAGAAACAGTTGGCTAGTTGTGGAGCTTCGTGAATCGATCCCCGCTCACAAATACGCAGAAACACACGGTGTCACGGGCGTGTCGAGTCACACTCATAGGCGCTGCATTCCTCGGTTCATTGCGAATGGCATTTTCCCTGCTGTGTGAGGAGAGGTGAGCTGCACCTGCTCCGTAATTTGGATTTCTGAATGAGGCTTTCGGGTTGTGGTCCCTCGCTCCCAAGTACCACCGTCAGCCCAGCACCAAGTTCTTGAAATCCACGTCATTCCACAAAGAGCTGGCAAATCCATCTCATGGCACACCACACACCTTTCTTCGATGTGCGTGGCACAATCCCAGGTGTAGATTTGACCACACAGTACAGACCCTGCACGACGCACGAGCAACTCGCCTCACCACCGCCCTCACCGTGATGCCAAATCGTCACGGATTCGCCAAGCAACTTTGAATGGTTTTGACTGGATTCGTCACAGCTGGACAACAAGTGACACTCTTTCCAGCAAATGCGGGTGCTTAGCATCAGCCTCAAACCAATGAAAACCCTCACTTGGTGGAAAGCTGGCAAGTCCGTTGGAGAAGAGTCAGAAGGTGATGAACGAGGTTCAGATATTTGATCTGGTAATGAATGCCTGATGTGCAACATCCACGCTGTCTGCAAACACTGCAAACCACTAGGTCGCATTAAATATGTGTACAGACTTCGCGCCACTGATCCAAGTGCTGGCGCAGAGCTGGCTAGTGTGACTCACTTCCACGAAGGCTCCGAGCAATCTGTAGATAACCAACCGCATGCGCAAGTGTGCGTGCAGCATTCGTTTACTGTACATAATAATCAATGCGGGTCAACGAGGCAAGGCTGGCTGAGGGCGACGTCAGGTTGTACTGTACAACTTTTTGTACGCCTACTGCGGTAAACTCTGTTTCAAAACGGTGCAGAGAGATTTACGTCAAGAGCCGCTTTTCACCGTGTTGGACCGTCCTGAACAACCGTTGTACAAGAACTGTAAACGCATGAGATATGTATAACCTGACGTCACCCTGATCCACAATACGATCTGCTTTGATAAGGGACAACTTTTATGTTCGATCCGTGATTGAAATGTAGCCAAACTGTCAAAAATAACTAAGTAAAGGCCATAGTGGCATTGTTTTCATGGTTGCTTCTTGTACGGTACATGTTGAGTCTTCATACTATACCAAGAATTCCAATATGCTGGAATGAATGTGTTTCTCAAGGCCAAACGGGAGAACTAACTACCAGAGGCACAGGCACAGAGTGCCCATGTTGATCCGTCCATACAATTGTCCCAAACCTAAACTCGTTTAGAGGGAGAAACCTAATAATGGTAACCCTGAACAGCTTGGACTTCCCTGGTGGAATAACCATCTGCTTCGGGGATACTTTCACTGTAAACCCAGGTGGGGGATCCACCTTAGCAGCATAAATAGACGGTAAATTGTAGACGTTTTTCACTTTCCGATACACAACCATAACGCCGTGTAACCTGGTTACCGCGATCGAGGCTCGGTTGATGCTCCAGGGGAAAATCGGCCGGGCCTTACCCATTCTCCAAAACCGCTTCTTCGCTCGGAGCGGGTCCCTCCCCATGAGAAAATTCACCAACTGCTTCTGCGCACTGTGAAACGTAAGCCCTGGATCGAGCACGCGCGTGGGATTCACGTGTCCACCTCCGTAATCCCATGCGTTCGCCTTCGACCCGTCCGCCCGCTGAATCGGCTGCCCGTTTTTATTCTTCGTATAGGCTGTCGTCGTGATTGCGGATATCACCTGCGCGGGCGACCAGTTAGGTTTCTCCTGCACGATCAAAGCCATGATTCCCGCCAAATGCGGAGTAGACATGGACGTTCCCGACCAGTAGTTAAACTCGGGCGCGTCCGTCGCGGCGGTCGCGACGGCCTTCCCCGGCGCCGCGGCCCATAGTTGGAACCCTGGGCCCATGACATCGGGTTTAAGGATGTCGTTAGTGGGGAAGTCGCGGATTAGCAGCGCGGGCGGGTAGAGTGCGCTGCGCGGCGGCCCGGTGGAGGAGAAGAAGGCGACTTGGGGGGCGTTGGTGGAGTAGGACTCGGTGTAGGCGGATAGAGTGGCTGTGGGGCTGGGGAGGGGTGGGGGAGGCAGGGGGGTGGGGGAGGAGGCGGGGAGAGGGGCGGCAGTGCAAACGTGTGAGGAGTAGGCGATTTGAGGGGGAGGGGGAAAAGGAAGGGGGAAGGGAAGGGGCAAGGGGGAGGGGGAATGAAGAATGGGGAAAGAGGAGGGAAGAAGGGGTCGAGTCAGGTACGAGAAAGGGGACGGGCCGGCGAGTATGGAATTGTGAAAAAGGTGATAGAAGCTGGGGGGAGACATTGACTGAGGTTGAGGGGTTCAGGGTATATGGGTTCAGGGTATAGGGGTTCAGGGTATAGGGGGTTCAGGGTATAGGGGTTCAGGGTATAGGGGTTCAGGGTATAGGGGTTCAGGGTATAGGGGTTCAGGAGGGTTTGGGGAGATGGGAAGTGGTAAACGGAAAGGTGAAGCAGGAATGGTGAAGCGGGAATGGAGAAGCAGGAATGGAGAAGCGGGGGACGGAGTGGAAGGGAAAGAAGGGAAAGAAGCGGAAACAGAAACAGCTTGCTCACCTGCTTTCAGCCTCGATGTAGCTCTGGCTTTAACGGCCTGTTCTGCGCCACGTGAGAGGAAGATGCTGGGAGTCTTTGAGTCGATTCAATAACATGCTCACCAGGTTTGAGACAGAAGCAGCAGGCTCTCACCAGCTTTTCAAATGGACACAGCTTTTGGTTGTCCTGTCGCGCGAGCACTGAACAGCTTCAGAGTCGACTCAAAAATAGTCTCACCTGCTCTCCGCCTGCATGTAGCTCTTGACTGTTCTGCCACGCGAGGACAGGAGGAAGATGCTGGGTGTTTTGGTGTAGGGCATGCGATACTGCAGGTCCTTCTTGGGCTTCCCGCTTATAACGAGGATAGCAGCCGGCCCCAGCAGATCTGCATCTGCTAGTAGCAGCCCCATCTTGCGTGTGAGCAGCATGCACACGAGAAACTTCCCAGAAACCGCCGTCCTGCTGATGTGCCCGCTGTAGCACTCCTGCGCCTGGTGGGAGGGGAAGGGGAGGGGTGAGGTGAGGAGGGGAGGGGGCGGAAGGGGAGGGGAGGAGAGGGGAGAGAAGGGGAGTGTACGGGAGGAGGGCTGAGAGGGGATGTGAGGAGAGAAACCCAAGGCAGTGCCATTATGTGCTGGTAGAAATCCCTATAGCACATGTGGGCCATGTCACATGGGTGGGAACATGTGGGCCATGTCGCATGGGTGGGAACATGTGGGCCATGTCGCATGGGTGGGAACATGTGGGCCATGTCGCATGGGTGGGAACATGTGGGCCATGTCACATGGGTGGGAACATGTGGGCCATGTCGCATGGGTGGGAACATGTGGGCCATGTCGCATGGGTGGGAACATGTGGGCCATGTCACATGGGTGGGAACATGTGGGCCATGTCACATGGGTGGGAACATGTGGGCCATGTCACATGGGTGGGAACATGTGGGCCATGTCGCATGGGTGGGAACATGTGGGCCATGACACATGGGTGGGAACATGTGGGCCATGTCACATGGGTGGGAACATGTGGGCCATGTCACATGGGTGGGAACATGTGGGCCATGTCACATGGGTGGGAACATGTGGGCCATGTCGCATGGGTGGGAACATGTGGGCCATGTCACATGGGTGGGAACATGTGGGCCATGTCACATGGGTGGGAACATGTGGGCCATGTCACATGGGTGGGAACATGTGGGCCATGTCGCATGGGTGGGAACATGTGGGCCATGTCGCATGGGTGGGAACATGTGCGCCTACACCACCAACTCATCATGCTGTCATGACATGCGCCACCTAACTGTGGCAGAGCCGACTCAGCCAGAGCAAGGGGCAGAGCTGAGTGTGACATGTGCTCAACTTTGTTGAGTTGACTCAAAACACGACATGTGCTCAACTCACTCATGCCCTAAACCCTAAACCCTGAACCCTAAACCCATGCCCATGTGACATGTGTCCGACTCACCCCGCCTTAAACTCACCTTGGCCTTATTCCCTCCGGATAAGAGAGCCAACTCGGCCAGAATAAGGGGCAGAGCCAGAGCCCGTGGCAGAGGTGCCGAACACAGCAAGGGTCGAACCCCCCTCCCGCTCACCTTACCCGGCCCCATGTGTCCAAATCACCCTGCCTAAAGCTCACCTTGGCCCTATCCCTGCCGGATCTGAGAGCAGACTCGGCCAGAATGAGCGGCAGAGCTGAGCCCATGGCAGAGGTGCCTACCAGGCCAGGGGTCAAACCTTCCTCCAAGCCACCTTTCCCATGTGCCATGTGTTGACTCCCCTTCCCCACATGACATGCATCAAGCTCACCTTGGCCCTATCCCCGCCGGATCTAAGAGCAGACTCAGCCAGAATAAGAGGTAGAGCGGAGCCTGTGGCAGCAGTGCCGCCCAGACTGCGCCCATTGAGGGTGGTTGCATCCCCTAGGGTCAGCACTGCCCTGTACTCCCGCCCCATTGTGCTGCAGAGGGAGGGGTGGAGTGCGGTAATGGGGAGTGGGGTACGGTGGACTGTGAGTACAGCCAAGCAGACTCGGCCAGAATAAGAGGTAGAGCGGAGCCCGTGGCAGAGGTGCCGCCCAGACTGCGCCCATTGAAGGTGGTGGTATCCCCTAGGGTCAGCACTGCCCTGTACTCCCGCTCTATCGTGCTGCAGAGGAAGAGGGGTGGAGTGCGGTAACGGGGAGTGCGGTTAGGTGAACTGTAAGCAGCTACTCCGCGCTGTCAAGCCAGACTGCGCCCAGTGAAGGTGGAAGGGTGCCCCAGATGCTGCTGGGATTGGGCTTGCCCTCGCTGCCTGCTATGCTGCCATTCATTGACCAATGGCCCTCCTCCCCCTCACTCACACATACCTCGCTCCCACAGTGAGGTAGAAGGGCGAGACGTTCCCGAGGGTGCCCCAGATGCTGCTGGGGTTGGGCTTGCCCTCATTGCCTGCTTATTTCCCGTCAATTATATGATCACTTGTCAGCCATCCCCCCCTCCTCCTCACGCATACCTCGCTCCAACGGTGAGGTAGAAGGGCGAGACGTTCCCGAGGGTGCCCCAGATGCTGCTGGGATTGGGCTTGCCCTCGTTGCCTGCTGCAAAGGCTGTCACCACTCCCGCCTGTTCATGGGGCAACAAGACAGGGAGGGACAAAAGCAGGGAGGCGAGCATGACAAGCTGCCTCTTTCCCTCATTGCCTTCTGCAAAAGCTATCACCACCCCCGCCTTCTGCCAGCCTTTTGAGGCACCTCACTAGCATCCTTGCCCGAAGCTGCGCTGCACGCTCGGTGCACGTACCTTCAGACCTCGCAGGTACGGCAGGTCTTGGAAGTACATGGCAAGCCCCCCCCACGAGCACGAGATGACATCCACACCATCGGCAACGGCCTTCTCAGCAGCACCGATGAGATCCGACGATGCACCAGTGCCCTCGTACCCCCCAATGGTCCACAGCGCCTTGTACACTGACAGTCGTGCCCGCGGCGCCATGCCTGATGCTGTGCCGTAGCTTCGACCGCCAGTCGTCACTGTCACCCCTGCATTGCCAGCTGCCGCTCTGGTGTGTGGGGAGGGGAGGGCAGAGCATGGCAATGGAGGGGAGGGAGGGCAAGGGAGGGAGGAGAGGGGACGGGTTGAGGCGTATGAACCTAACACCCTGTGCCCTCATACCCCCCGATGGTCCACAGCGCCTTGTACACGGACAGTCGTGCCTGCGGCGCTATGCCTGATGCTGTACCGTAGTCTCTGCCCCCCCCGCGGTCACTGTGACTCCTGCGTTGCCTGCTGCTGCTCTGATGATGGGGAGGGGAGGAGAGGGGAGGGCAGGACAATGGAGGGGAGGGGAGGGAGGGGAGGTAATCGAGGAGAGGGAGGGCAGAGGAATATAGACACACACAAGACCCATGCTCCACACATGCAGTCAACCCACTCACCCCGCACACCACGTGCCGTGCTGCACTTTGTCCCGTGCCGACCGGAACTCTTCGGTTTCGTCCAGCTTGCCAAACGTCCACTCGGCACCCTTCACAAAGTAGCGCGCGCCTATCAGCTTGTTGTTGCATGCCTGGAAGTCGCCAGTCTTGGTGCACACGCCCCGCCACCGCGTAGGCTTGGCTGCATATGCCGCTCCGTTGGGGTCCTGAGAGGGAGGAGGGTAGGTGGATAAATAGACACTCAGCGCCCTTGACGTCAATCAGCTTGTTGTTGCTTGCCTGGAAGTCGCCAGTCTTGGTGCACACGCCCCGCCACCGCGTGGGCTTGGCGGAATAGGCTGCTCCATTGGGGTCCTGAGAGTGAGAAGGAGGAGGGAGGAACTGGGGCCAGTGCACAGTGGTCACTCACTCACTCCATATCTTGGCTCAGACACTCCATGTCTATCTCACTCGGAGCACTCACTCAGAGCACCCAAAGAGGGGTGCTCAGGCCAGATCCCCGAGTCAATCACTCCGATGATCATGCCCTCTCCTGCGCTGCTCTGCTATACCTACCCTTGGGACTATCCAAAGCCACAGCCATATATTGGTGGAGCACTCACCGGGTCAGCGAAAGAGGGGTGCTCAGGCCAGATCCCCGAGTCAATCACTCCGATGATCATGCCCTCTCCTGCGCTGCTCTGCTATACCTACCCTTGGGACTATCCAAAGCCACAGCCATATATTGGTGGAGCACTCACCGGGTCAGCGAAAGAGGGGTGCTCAGGCCAGATCCCCGAGTCAATCACTCCGATGATCATGCCCTCTCCTGCGCTGCTCTGCTATACCTACCCTTGGGACTATCCAAAGCCACAGCCATATATTGGTGGAGCACTCACCGGGTCAGCGAAAGAGGGGTGCTCAGGCCAGATCCCCGAGTCAATCACTCCGATGATCATGCCCTCTCCTGCGCTGCTCTGCTATACCTACCCTTGGGACTATCCAAAGCCACAGCCATATATTGGTGGAGCACTCACCGGGTCAGCGAAAGAGGGGTGCTCAGGCCAGATCCCCGAGTCAATCACTCCGATGATCATGCCCTCTCCTGCGCTGCTCTGCTATACCTACCCTTGGGACTATCCAAAGCCACAGCCATATATTGGTGGAGCACTCACCGGGTCAGCGAAAGAGGGGTGCTCAGGCCAGATCCCCGAGTCAATCACTCCGATGATCATGCCCTCTCCTGCGCTGCTCTGCTATACCTACCCTTGGGACTATCCAAAGCCACAGCCATATATTGGTGGAGCACTCACCGGGTCAGCGAAAGAGGGGTGCTCAGGCCAGATCCCCGAGTCAATCACTCCGATGATCATGCCCTCTCCTGCGCTGCTCTGCTATACCTACCCTTGGGACTATCCAAAGCCACAGCCATATATTGGTGGAGCACTCACCGGGTCAGCGAAAGAGGGGTGCTCAGGCCAGATCCCCGAGTCAATCACTCCGATGATCATGCCCTCTCCTGCGCTGCTCTGCTATACCTACCCTTGGGACTATCCAAAGCCACAGCCATATATTGGTGGAGCACTCACCGGGTCAGCGAAAGAGGGGTGCTCAGGCCAGATCCCCGAGTCAATCACTCCGATGATCATGCCCTCTCCTGCGCTGCTCTGCTATACCTACCCTTGGGACTATCCAAAGCCACAGCCATATATTGGTGGAGCACTCACCGGGTCAGCGAAAGAGGGGTGCTCAGGCCAGATCCCCGAGTCAATCACTCCGATGATCATGCCCTCTCCTGCGCTGCTCTGCTATACCTACCCTTGGGACTATCCAAAGCCACAGCCATATATTGGTGGAGCACTCACCGGGTCAGCGAAAGAGGGGTGCTCAGGCCAGATCCCCGAGTCAATCACTCCGATGATCATGCCCTCTCCTGCGCTGCTCTGCTATACCTACCCTTGGGACTATCCAAAGCCACAGCCATATATTGGTGGAGCACTCACCGGGTCAGCGAAAGAGGGGTGCTCAGGCCAGATCCCCGAGTCAATCACTCCGATGATCATGCCCTCTCCTGCGCTGCTCTGCTATACCTACCCTTGGGACTATCCAAAGCCACAGCCATATATTGGTGGAGCACTCACCGGGTCAGCGAAAGAGGGGTGCTCAGGCCAGATCCCCGAGTCAATCACTCCGATGATCATGCCCTCTCCTGCGCTGCTCTGCTATACCTACCCTTGGGACTATCCAAAGCCACAGCCATATATTGGTGGAGCACTCACCGGGTCAGCGAAAGAGGGGTGCTCAGGCCAGATCCCCGAGTCAATCACTCCGATGATCATGCCCTCTCCTGCGCTGCTCTGCTATACCTACCCTTGGGACTATCCAAAGCCACAGCCATATATTGGTGGAGCACTCACCGGGTCAGCGAAAGAGGGGTGCTCAGGCCAGATCCCCGAGTCAATCACTCCGATGATCATGCCCTCTCCTGCGCTGCTCTGCTATACCTACCCTTGGGACTATCCAAAGCCACAGCCATATATTGGTGGAGCACTCACCGGGTCAGCGAAAGAGGGGTGCTCAGGCCAGATCCCCGAGTCAATCACTCCGATGATCATGCCCTCTCCTGCGCTGCTCTGCTATACCTACCCTTGGGACTATCCAAAGCCACAGCCATATATTGGTGGAGCACTCACCGGGTCAGCGAAAGAGGGGTGCTCAGGCCAGATCCCCGAGTCAATCACTCCGATGATCATGCCCTCTCCTGCGCTGCTCTGCTATACCTACCCTTGGGACTATCCAAAGCCACAGCCATATATTGGTGGAGCACTCACCGGGTCAGCGAAAGAGGGGTGCTCAGGCCAGATCCCCGAGTCAATCACTCCGATGATCATGCCCTCTCCTGCGCTGCTCTGCTATACCTACCCTTGGGACTATCCAAAGCCACAGCCATATATTGGTGGAGCACTCACCGGGTCAGCGAAAGAGGGGTGCTCAGGCCAGATCCCCGAGTCAATCACTCCGATGATCATGCCCTCTCCTGCGCTGCTCTGCTATACCTACCCTTGGGACTATCCAAAGCCACAGCCATATATTGGTGGAGCACTCACCGGGTCAGCGAAAGAGGGGTGCTCAGGCCAGATCCCCGAGTCAATCACTCCGATGATCATGCCCTCTCCTGCGCTGCTCTGCTATACCTACCCTTGGGACTATCCAAAGCCACAGCCATATATTGGTGGAGCACTCACCGGGTCAGCGAAAGAGGGGTGCTCAGGCCAGATCCCCGAGTCAATCACTCCGATGATCATGCCCTCTCCTGCGCTGCTCTGCTATACCTACCCTTGGGACTATCCAAAGCCACAGCCATATATTGGTGGAGCACTCACCGGGTCAGCGAAAGAGGGGTGCTCAGGCCAGATCCCCGAGTCAATCACTCCGATGATCATGCCCTCTCCTGCGCTGCTCTGCTATACCTACCCTTGGGACTATCCAAAGCCACAGCCATATATTGGTGGAGCACTCACCGGGTCAGCGAAAGAGGGGTGCTCAGGCCAGATCCCCGAGTCAATCACTCCGATGATCATGCCCTCTCCTGCGCTGCTCTGCTATACCTACCCTTGGGACTATCCAAAGCCACAGCCATATATTGGTGGAGCACTCACCGGGTCAGCGAAAGAGGGGTGCTCAGGCCAGATCCCCGAGTCAATCACTCCGATGATCATGCCCTCTCCTGCGCTGCTCTGCTATACCTACCCTTGGGACTATCCAAAGCCACAGCCATATATTGGTGGAGCACTCACCGGGTCAGCGAAAGAGGGGTGCTCAGGCCAGATCCCCGAGTCAATCACTCCGATGATCATGCCCTCTCCTGCGCTGCTCTGCTATACCTACCCTTGGGACTATCCAAAGCCACAGCCATATATTGGTGGAGCACTCACCGGGTCAGCGAAAGAGGGGTGCTCAGGCCAGATCCCCGAGTCAATCACTCCGATGATCATGCCCTCTCCTGCGCTGCTCTGCTATACCTACCCTTGGGACTATCCAAAGCCACAGCCATATATTGGTGGAGCACTCACCGGGTCAGCGAAAGAGGGGTGCTCAGGCCAGATCCCCGAGTCAATCACTCCGATGATCATGCCCTCTCCTGCGCTGCTCTGCTATACCTACCCTTGGGACTATCCAAAGCCACAGCCATATATTGGTGGAGCACTCACCGGGTCAGCGAAAGAGGGGTGCTCAGGCCAGATCCCCGAGTCAATCACTCCGATGATCATGCCCTCTCCTGCGCTGCTCTGCTATACCTACCCTTGGGACTATCCAAAGCCACAGCCATATATTGGTGGAGCACTCACCGGGTCAGCGAAAGAGGGGTGCTCAGGCCAGATCCCCGAGTCAATCACTCCGATGATCATGCCCTCTCCTGCGCTGCTCTGCTATACCTACCCTTGGGACTATCCAAAGCCACAGCCATATATTGGTGGAGCACTCACCGGGTCAGCGAAAGAGGGGTGCTCAGGCCAGATCCCCGAGTCAATCACTCCGATGATCATGCCCTCTCCTGCGCTGCTCTGCTATACCTACCCTTGGGACTATCCAAAGCCACAGCCATATATTGGTGGAGCACTCACCGGGTCAGCGAAAGAGGGGTGCTCAGGCCAGATCCCCGAGTCAATCACTCCGATGATCATGCCCTCTCCTGCGCTGCTCTGCTATACCTACCCTTGGGACTATCCAAAGCCACAGCCATATATTGGTGGAGCACTCACCGGGTCAGCGAAAGAGGGGTGCTCAGGCCAGATCCCCGAGTCAATCACTCCGATGATCATGCCCTCTCCTGCGCTGCTCTGCTATACCTACCCTTGGGACTATCCAAAGCCACAGCCATATATTGGTGGAGCACTCACCGGGTCAGCGAAAGAGGGGTGCTCAGGCCAGATCCCCGAGTCAATCACTCCGATGATCATGCCCTCTCCTGCGCTGCTCTGCTATACCTACCCTTGGGACTATCCAAAGCCACAGCCATATATTGGTGGAGCACTCACCGGGTCAGCGAAAGAGGGGTGCTCAGGCCAGATCCCCGAGTCAATCACTCCGATGATCATGCCCTCTCCTGCGCTGCTCTGCTATACCTACCCTTGGGACTATCCAAAGCCACAGCCATATATTGGTGGAGCACTCACCGGGTCAGCGAAAGAGGGGTGCTCAGGCCAGATCCCCGAGTCAATCACTCCGATGATCATGCCCTCTCCTGCGCTGCTCTGCTATACCTACCCTTGGGACTATCCAAAGCCACAGCCATATATTGGTGGAGCACTCACCGGGTCAGCGAAAGAGGGGTGCTCAGGCCAGATCCCCGAGTCAATCACTCCGATGATCATGCCCTCTCCTGCGCTGCTCTGCTATACCTACCCTTGGGACTATCCAAAGCCACAGCCATATATTGGTGGAGCACTCACCGGGTCAGCGAAAGAGGGGTGCTCAGGCCAGATCCCCGAGTCAATCACTCCGATGATCATGCCCTCTCCTGCGCTGCTCTGCTATACCTACCCTTGGGACTATCCAAAGCCACAGCCATATATTGGTGGAGCACTCACCGGGTCAGCGAAAGAGGGGTGCTCAGGCCAGATCCCCGAGTCAATCACTCCGATGATCATGCCCTCTCCTGCGCTGCTCTGCTATACCTACCCTTGGGACTATCCAAAGCCACAGCCATATATTGGTGGAGCACTCACCGGGTCAGCGAAAGAGGGGTGCTCAGGCCAGATCCCCGAGTCAATCACTCCGATGATCATGCCCTCTCCTGCGCTGCTCTGCTATACCTACCCTTGGGACTATCCAAAGCCACAGCCATATATTGGTGGAGCACTCACCGGGTCAGCGAAAGAGGGGTGCTCAGGCCAGATCCCCGAGTCAATCACTCCGATGATCATGCCCTCTCCTGCGCTGCTCTGCTATACCTACCCTTGGGACTATCCAAAGCCACAGCCATATATTGGTGGAGCACTCACCGGGTCAGCGAAAGAGGGGTGCTCAGGCCAGATCCCCGAGTCAATCACTCCGATGATCATGCCCTCTCCTGCGCTGCTCTGCTATACCTACCCTTGGGACTATCCAAAGCCACAGCCATATATTGGTGGAGCACTCACCGGGTCAGCGAAAGAGGGGTGCTCAGGCCAGATCCCCGAGTCAATCACTCCGATGATCATGCCCTCTCCTGCGCTGCTCTGCTATACCTACCCTTGGGACTATCCAAAGCCACAGCCATATATTGGTGGAGCACTCACCGGGTCAGCGAAAGAGGGGTGCTCAGGCCAGATCCCCGAGTCAATCACTCCGATGATCATGCCCTCTCCTGCGCTGCTCTGCTATACCTACCCTTGGGACTATCCAAAGCCACAGCCATATATTGGTGGAGCACTCACCGGGTCAGCGAAAGAGGGGTGCTCAGGCCAGATCCCCGAGTCAATCACTCCGATGATCATGCCCTCTCCTGCGCTGCTCTGCTATACCTACCCTTGGGACTATCCAAAGCCACAGCCATATATTGGTGGAGCACTCACCGGGTCAGCGAAAGAGGGGTGCTCAGGCCAGATCCCCGAGTCAATCACTCCGATGATCATGCCCTCTCCTGCGCTGCTCTGCTATACCTACCCTTGGGACTATCCAAAGCCACAGCCATATATTGGTGGAGCACTCACCGGGTCAGCGAAAGAGGGGTGCTCAGGCCAGATCCCCGAGTCAATCACTCCGATGATCATGCCCTCTCCTGCGCTGCTCTGCTATACCTACCCTTGGGACTATCCAAAGCCACAGCCATATATTGGTGGAGCACTCACCGGGTCAGCGAAAGAGGGGTGCTCAGGCCAGATCCCCGAGTCAATCACTCCGATGATCATGCCCTCTCCTGCGCTGCTCTGCTATACCTACCCTTGGGACTATCCAAAGCCACAGCCATATATTGGTGGAGCACTCACCGGGTCAGCGAAAGAGGGGTGCTCAGGCCAGATCCCCGAGTCAATCACTCCGATGATCATGCCCTCTCCTGCGCTGCTCTGCTATACCTACCCTTGGGACTATCCAAAGCCACAGCCATATATTGGTGGAGCACTCACCGGGTCAGCGAAAGAGGGGTGCTCAGGCCAGATCCCCGAGTCAATCACTCCGATGATCATGCCCTCTCCTGCGCTGCTCTGCTATACCTACCCTTGGGACTATCCAAAGCCACAGCCATATATTGGTGGAGCACTCACCGGGTCAGCGAAAGAGGGGTGCTCAGGCCAGATCCCCGAGTCAATCACTCCGATGATCATGCCCTCTCCTGCGCTGCTCTGCTATACCTACCCTTGGGACTATCCAAAGCCACAGCCATATATTGGTGGAGCACTCACCGGGTCAGCGAAAGAGGGGTGCTCAGGCCAGATCCCCGAGTCAATCACTCCGATGATCATGCCCTCTCCTGCGCTGCTCTGCTATACCTACCCTTGGGACTATCCAAAGCCACAGCCATATATTGGTGGAGCACTCACCGGGTCAGCGAAAGAGGGGTGCTCAGGCCAGATCCCCGAGTCAATCACTCCGATGATCATGCCCTCTCCTGCGCTGCTCTGCTATACCTACCCTTGGGACTATCCAAAGCCACAGCCATATATTGGTGGAGCACTCACCGGGTCAGCGAAAGAGGGGTGCTCAGGCCAGATCCCCGAGTCAATCACTCCGATGATCATGCCCTCTCCTGCGCTGCTCTGCTATACCTACCCTTGGGACTATCCAAAGCCACAGCCATATATTGGTGGAGCACTCACCGGGTCAGCGAAAGAGGGGTGCTCAGGCCAGATCCCCGAGTCAATCACTCCGATGATCATGCCCTCTCCTGCGCTGCTCTGCTATACCTACCCTTGGGACTATCCAAAGCCACAGCCATATATTGGTGGAGCACTCACCGGGTCAGCGAAAGAGGGGTGCTCAGGCCAGATCCCCGAGTCAATCACTCCGATGATCATGCCCTCTCCTGCGCTGCTCTGCTATACCTACCCTTGGGACTATCCAAAGCCACAGCCATATATTGGTGGAGCACTCACCGGGTCAGCGAAAGAGGGGTGCTCAGGCCAGATCCCCGAGTCAATCACTCCGATGATCATGCCCTCTCCTGCGCTGCTCTGCTATACCTACCCTTGGGACTATCCAAAGCCACAGCCATATATTGGTGGAGCACTCACCGGGTCAGCGAAAGAGGGGTGCTCAGGCCAGATCCCCGAGTCAATCACTCCGATGATCATGCCCTCTCCTGCGCTGCTCTGCTATACCTACCCTTGGGACTATCCAAAGCCACAGCCATATATTGGTGGAGCACTCACCGGGTCAGCGAAAGAGGGGTGCTCAGGCCAGATCCCCGAGTCAATCACTCCGATGATCATGCCCTCTCCTGCGCTGCTCTGCTATACCTACCCTTGGGACTATCCAAAGCCACAGCCATATATTGGTGGAGCACTCACCGGGTCAGCGAAAGAGGGGTGCTCAGGCCAGATCCCCGAGTCAATCACTCCGATGATCATGCCCTCTCCTGCGCTGCTCTGCTATACCTACCCTTGGGACTATCCAAAGCCACAGCCATATATTGGTGGAGCACTCACCGGGTCAGCGAAAGAGGGGTGCTCAGGCCAGATCCCCGAGTCAATCACTCCGATGATCATGCCCTCTCCTGCGCTGCTCTGCCCGCCAGCCGCCGGCCACAGGCTTGTGTCCATCTTGAGAAACTCAGGTGAGTGCACGGTGGTCATGCGCACTCTCCTGTCCGGCTCCACATCGGCCACTGCAGGGTGCAAGCGTATTTTCTTGGCTTCTGCTGGAGTGAGCTGAGCTGCGAAGCTGTTCATCAGGTACGAGTAGCTGGGGGATGGAGGGGAGAAGGGGAGAAAGGGGAGAAAGGGGAGAAAGGGGAGAAAGGGGAGAAAGGGGAGAAAGGGGAGAGAAAGGGGAGAAAGGGGAGAAAGGGGAGAAAGGGGAGAAAGGGGAGAAAGGGGAGAAAGGGGAGAAAGGGGAGAAAGTGGAGAAAGGGGAGAAAGGGGAGAAAGGGGAGAGTACAGGTGGGAACTCGGGCGAGTGCACAGTGGTCACCCGCACTCTCCTGTCGGGCTCCACATCGGCCACTGCAGGATGCAAGCGCAGTTTCTTTGCTTCCGCTGGGGTCAGTTGCGCCGCAAAGCTGTTCATCAGGTACGAGTAGCTGGGGGATGGAGGGAAGAAGGGAGGGCCAAGAAGGGAGGGAAGAAGGGAGGGAAGAAGGGAGGGAAGAAGGGAGGGAAGAAGGGAGGGAAGAAGGGAGGGAAGAAGGGAGGGAAGAAGGGAGGGAAGAAGGGAGGGCCAAGAAGGGAGGGAAGAAGGGAGGGCCAAGAAGGGGAGAACGGGGAGAGGGGAGGCACGGTGGTCATATGCACTGCCCTGTCCGGATCCACGTCGGCCACTGCAGGGTGCAAGCGCAACCACTCAAGGCTGAAGCCCGGGTTCGAATCCAGGAGAAGGCACTCAACCAAGTGATTTCTCGGCTTGACCTCGCACGGCTATGAATGGAAAGCATGACACGAGCCAAGGCCGTCTGCACTGCACTGCTCCGCCCACAGTAAACTCACGAGTGACTTTTCAGTGGAGTGGTTTAAAAAAAGTCCCCGCGTCGCCACAGCTCACCTGAAGCAATTGGGATTACAATCTCTCATCCCCATTGGAGTAGCTCACCTGTGGAAGATGGAGGAGACTGGAATGTTGAGCGATCGCAGCAGGCTGCGGTGGGAAGCTTCCAGGAAGCGCGTGAAGGCCTGCACGTGCGGTAACCGCACGTCGGGGCGCATGAGGCGGCCCCAGGGCGTGGTGCGCATGATGTGCGCCGCTCTAACGCTCAGCTGCTGCGCTGTCAGCACGGGTGACGTGGCTCCCCCTGCTGCTGACGTGGATGCTGATGCTGAACTCATGCCACGAATGGAGCTGAGGGCGGCAGCAGCAGCATTGGGTGCAAATTGAGAAGAATTGGTCAAAGGGAGTTCGAAATCATCCAAAGCTGCAACATCACCATTATCATCACCGCTATCATCACCACCGTCAGCATCAGCACCTGCTGCCTCTTCGGCAGCAGCGGCCACTGCAGCAGCAGCAACGCGAGCCAGCAGCCTCCGGCCCAAACCAGCCGACCGCGATCGGAAATTCCTCAGCCGCACACCCACCTGCCTCGCCAAATCATCCATCCTTGCCTCTCTAAACGCGACTGCTCTAATTCCCACTTTTTTCCCTAACCGCCCCCCGACCCCACCTGCTGCTGCTGTTGCTGCTAACCCTGCCACGCCTGCTACCCCTGATTTCCCTGCTTCCCTTGCTTCCCCTGCTGGTCCCACCACTCCGCCAATCTCCACTGCTGCCTCCGCAGCAGCAACAGCAGCGGACAGAATATCCTCATTAAACGAATCCTTCCCAGATTCAGATGCCAACCCCAAGATTTGATTCGATTCTGATCCTGCTGCTGGTACTGCTGGCGCTGGTGTTGCTCCTGCTGCTGTCGGCGCTGGTGCTGCTGCTGACCCTGGTGCGCTGTTTCCCCCACTGCCACCAGCACCACCATTCCCACCACTGCCACCACTGCTACCACTACCACCAGTGTCGCCACTGCCAGCACCAGGAGGAGCACCACCCCCCTCCTCCCCATCATCATCCCCGTCATCCTCGTCATACTCATCCTCTTCGTCGTCTACAGTCGCTGTCGCCCTCAGCCCGTTGATCCCTCCCCGGTACGACAGCACTGACGGCACGGACCTTAAATGCACGATATACTGCTTCGCCCCCGGCCTTCGCCCTGCTGCTAGGAGGGGTGTGGATAAGGGAAGATGGAGGGAGGTGTTTTCGAAGAGCAGGGAGGGAAGAGCAGGGAGTTAGTGGTCCTCAGCCCGCTGATTCCTCCCCGGTACGACAGCACTGACGGCACGGGTCTCAAATGCACGATGTACTGCTTCGCATTGGGCCTTCGCCCTGCTGCTAAGAGGGGGAAAGCGGGGGTGGGAGAGAACAGCAGGGAGGAAGGCTAGTGGGTCTCAGCCCGTTGATTCTTCCGCGGTATGGCAGCAGTGATGGCACGGTCGTCAAAAGCATGATATACTGCTTGACGTTCGGCCTTCGTCCTGCTGCGACGAGTAAGGGAGAAGGGGGGTTGGCGAAGTGGGGAATAGCAGGGAGGAAAGAGCAAGGAGTTAGTGGGTCTCAGACTGTTTATTCCTCCTCTGTAGAACAGCACTGACGGCACAAAGAATAAACCCGCGATGATCGGATTCGCGTTGGGTCTTTCGCGCTGCTGGGATGGATGGGAAGGATGAGAGCCATGGGGGGATGAGAGGGATGGGAGGCTTCAGAACGTGCGGAGGGGAACGGGGATTGAGGCGCTTCGAAGCTCTCTGGCCGTTGAACGGGGGCTGAGGCGCACAAAGTTAAGAGTTCAGGCGCTTGGTATCTGCACCTGCGGAGCTCAAACGTACTGACAAGCTTATTCTCGGGGAAGGCGATTGTCGTACTTAATGCTGTGTTGACTGCACCGCGCGACGAAAAAAACTTTCGAGGCCCCTGAGAACATTGTCACAGGCAGTCAACGAGGGAGTATATCTCCCACTAAGGCAACGACGATAAGAGCCCTCGCAGCAAAAATATTTTTGAGGCGCCACAGAACTTTTGCAAGCCATTACCGTACCTGCTTGTGCGTTGACTGCAGCGCACGGGGGGAGCATATCTCCCACTAAGGCGACTACGAGGAGAACAGTCACGCCGACAGCCAGCAGCCATGAAAATCCCCAATTGGCGGATTGAGTTGGTCCCACGGGACGCATCATCGCTGATCGGTGAATAGAACTGCGGCTATACGTTTATTGGTAGACTGACAAGGTGTTGGTAGCTAAAAGAGGGCGACGCGGCAAAAATGCATCATTCGTCGAGCTGGAAACGAATCTCTAGGGCTATGACGTCCCACCTAAAGCTCTCGAGAAGTAGACGACTGTGTATTCGTGCTACACTAGCGGGGGTGACATATGTTGCGAACTTTCACGAACGGCTGTGACTCTGCTACTTGCGAAGGGCAAGATCAGACACGCTGACTCCAACAATTATCGCTCTTTATCATACTCGCACTCCCTGGATATCACATCATAGCAGAGTCCGTGTCTCCAGGCGACCACGGCTCCGTCAGAAGAAAGACTCGGCAGAATCTGTGTTTGGAACAAGAGACATCAACCCCAGCCAGGAAAAACGAGACTGCAACCCCAAGGTTGAGCCTAGTTGCCGCAGACTGGTTAGTTGATATCTGAAAAGTCACCGCATGTCGGTCGCCCAATTTCCATGCTCCGTCCTGTATTCCCTGGAGCTACGACATTGCCGTGGTTCGGTCGGTGGGCCGTGGGATTGTTCCTGCGTGCCTCTCTCAACCGTCGATATTAATGGTTCTGTTGGTGCTCGCGTGCATGATTCCTGCTGCTGCTGGGTCCTGCCCCCTGCCTGGCCTCGTGACGCCCTAGCTCCGAATCACCTCGCCGGAATTTGTGATACGGGGGGCAACGACCGGGCTCCTGCTGGAAAACGTATCTGTTTCCCCCTGGAATTCTAGTATGTATCGGAATTTGCCCATAAAAGAGCCTCACGTTTTCAGTTCGGTTCGCTGTCGGGCTTGTGGCAAACCCCAAAAAGCCCTCACTACGAGGGAAAAACACAATTACAGTACAGTCCTTGTGTAGCGCGAAGCAGTATCTCGTTGTTTCCTGGGCATCCAACTCAATGGGCCATTGCCCCTAACCAGAAACATGGGCATCTGACAGCACGTTCGAGACTCGCTGAACGCTTGTGATGCTGCAAGCGAACCGCGGATCGGCTGCCCCAATGCTTCGTGGCCGCTTTGATTTGTCCCCAGCTGCCAAAGGTTTCCCTGACCAGGAGGCAATTCGTGAAAGCGCAATCTCCGACCGAGTTGTACACTTCAGCGGGAAACCCATATTCCTTAGAGATTGAAGGACTTCACTATGGGGGTTATTCAACTTGAAAGCCCAGAAAACATAATACACTAATATGCATGATACAAATCAATCAGTACCTACAGTGGCATGTGGTATGGACTCCCTCGTTCTCATGTACTGGTTATCATGATAAAATCAGGTATTTTCATATGTTCCTGCCCTGTACTCCTCATTCTAGTATTGGAAGGAGTGGTGCTCGCTTACAGACGTAGGGCTGGTGGTATACGAGTAAAGCTTTGAGGTGGCACAAAAGTGACGGGTTCACAGGAATCTCTGCGCTATATAGAGTGTCAGTGGCAGACACACTCCCACGGCCTATCATAGAAGTGCCACCTACTCGACTTTATGGGGAGCTCAGCCACTTGTTTTCTGTGCTCACGCACCCTTTGTCTCAACTCTTCCAGCCCAACTGCTCCTTGTGCTAGTGCTGGGAGGAGTGCTGGCACAAACGGCTGGTAGGTTTCCTGTATAAGAGATAAATAGTCAAGCTTTGAAGTGATACAACATGGCTTCACTGGCATCAACTTGCCTTTTGTGCTCCCATGTAAAATCTATGTCCTCTAAGAAGGACAGCAATGCTGCTTCTTTTGTTGGTCATAAAAAAATCGCTGCCATAAAGGGAGGGGGGGGACGCAAACGAGGAAGGTGAGAGCGCAGGGGGGGGACTGGGGCAAGTAGATTTTACAAACTGTAGCAGCTGCAGCACACTTCTAAACCAGCAGCATTATTCACCAGCACAAGAACTCTCACCTTTCAAGGCTGACGATGTAGTCGATTGCCTGCATTAAGTGGGAGCTTATCGGGGCCATGCTTGGATCCAGAAGATCACACCTGCTGACTACTTTTCCAGGAAAAGCTGACCTCAAGGGCGTTAAAAGCTGCTCCACCTTGTCACAGCTTCCACCCACGTACACGTTTGTATGGTTTCCAATGCCAATTGCCTGACGCACGAAAGAGGAAGTTCAGGTGGGAAATGAGTGGAAAAAATGATGGGCACCTCAAAAAGGTGGGAAAAATACATGTTTAACATGCCTGAAGAATCCGTGTGACCTCGTTTGGTGACAACGGGCAGAGACCCTCAAGCTTCTGATGATTGGCTGCACCAGAATCACTTTGCACTCTCATGTGGTGGGTTGCAAACCATTCTTGAACCATCTGTGCCGTCTCGGAATCATAGACACAAGCTGTTTGGGACAGTCATATTGTTACGCAAGCCCAATTTGTTGAAGCATAATCATACATAAACAAAAATGCTCGACTTACTTGATCTCAGCATGTTCCTATCTTGGAAGCTCAAGTGGAGTGCAACATAAGGACCCTCCGCGTGGAGCCTTTCGACAGCATTCGCTCCAAGCCCCAGAGTCTCACTGGTAAAAAGTAAAGCGTGGTAGATCACTCTACACCGTAGGCGCTGCGAAAGAGGACCACATTTTTTCTCATTTTTCTGGTACAGACAATGGAACTAGTAGCCAACCTCACCAATCCAAGAGATTGTACCTGATAAACTTCTGGCAAGTCCCGGGAAAGGAAAAGAAGGGAGTGGTCCAACACTGCCACTCCTTCCACTTGAAGAACAGGTGCCACATTTTGAAGGTACCAGTCTACATTTAGCGTCCGGTGATCAGGTGGAGCGGGCTCCAAAGTATCAGACGTCACTGAAAAATTCGCTTGTCTGCACCAATGTTTCAGAGGCTTAATTATATGAGACGAAAGTGCTGCAGAGAAGGCTGTTGCACGACATACCTGACGATGTTGACATCAGCTTTCAGGGTTTCAATGAAATGGTCTTCAGAGAATAAATTTCCGAAATGGCTGTATGTGAGGGCATGATGATAATCTGGCAAAGTAATATGTGGAAAATTGCGAGAAAATGTGCTGACTTGCCTGATCTCCTCGTGCGATGACTTAGCAAGGAGGATCGGGACAACAAGTGTCGCATTGAGGATGCGAGCAATCACAACTGCGTTAGCGATCGCCCGCATCTGCTGATAGAGGTCACCTCTTACGTAGACATACAATAAACCATGATTCGACTTCACCGACGAAACTGCAACACAAGATCTATCAGTTAAAATGTGTCATTTCGCAAGCTAATATGTCGGACTAGGATACCGACCTTGAAACTCGCCTGGCCTCCTAAACAAACATGGCCGAAGTCGACTAGCTCGTGGGAAAGTGTGGTGCAGGAAAAATTCGGAGCTTGGATTTGACTTCGAAAGAGTTTCCGAATCCATCTCGAGCCTCACAGAATTCGTTCCACTTTGCTCAAAAGATATCGCAACAAGAAAGAAGTTACAGAACAACACCACATTCAGAAAAAGGCGCGCCATCTTGCTAGCTGAAGTGGTCATCGACGCGTGTATGAAGTTGAGCTTACATCTCTTTATCTCCTGACATGAACAAGCAGGAGCAGAGATCCAGGCGAGAACGAAGTGGAAGTTTTGGTCCTTGGTTGGTACTGTAGTCTTCACGAATCACGAAATCCTGTGCTTGGTTGGCTTGCAGGAGGGGCCGTAAATTGCGTCAGTCTGTCGATTGGGTATTCAACGCAATCAATCGGACGGCTCAGACATGGCTGAATTCCAATGGGTTGGAGTAGCGTGCCCCTTCGCAGAGTTTTTTCGTTTAGGTCAAGGCCGTCGCCGAAACTCGAATTTTGCGCTGGCGAAAAAACGCGATCTAGAGCCTGTTACGTTGAAACACACCTTCTGCCTTGAAGTTAGTCTTGACTTCTTATTGCTTTTGTCATTCGTCTTCCTCGGCCCTGGCTCATGCTTGTGCCATCTGGCTTCCGCTCATTATCGCCACCGTTCCCGCTCCTGCCAACCTCGATCGATTTCGGGCCAAGCTTCAAGCCAAAGTATAAGAGGTGACGAAATAAAACGGTGATAAAAGAAATTCCCAGGCATATCCGAAAGGTGGGCTTCGAAAGCTTTTTCTGCAGCACTGTGTGAGGGTCTAGGGTTTGTAATAACTGTCTAACGCTTGGTGTTGCGGCTCAGCAATATCAAGCGGAGCCTCCACCGCCTCTTGCCAGAGAGATCTCCCGGGCCGCTTGCCCCGTCATAGCCTTTTGTTAAGCCTTCGCGCAAGATATTGTAGCTGAATCTAGTTCTGAGTATCGCTATGGCGTGTAGTCGAAGTCCACTCAGTATAATCTCTTGGTCCATAGTTCTATCGTTTTCCGTTCTGATGCGCGCCTCCGCTGAGATCTCAGCTTCGAGTGCAGCACTAAAGGCGAATCCTATTCACAAGCTCTTCAACCCTTCCTGGAAGCAGCCTCGAACTAGGATTTCGTGTCTCTCCGACAACAGGGGCCAACATCAAGAAGGTGGGCCCCCGACTTAAAGAGTTTCTGCGACTGTCACCATGTTCAAGATCAGTTGAGATTCGTGCTCGAGTTCTAATTCTCCACGTACGTCCACCAGGAGAGAAGCGGTACCTTGATGTATCTGTCGGGGGTGGTCTCAATCAGCAACGAAGAGGAATCGCCAACGCAGTGGTTGTTGCAAAGATTATGAATGCCACTCTCATTGTTCCCAAATTAATCGTACATCCAGCCTGGGGTGACCAAAGGTGAGCCTCACGAAACATACATGGCAAATATTGTCCTTTCTGCTTCACTCCCATTCAATTCTAATGCTACTAATCATGTACTATGCAGCAAGTTTTCAGAGATTTTCAGTGTCCCGCACTTCGTTCAAACCCTGAAGAAAGATGTGGAAGTTATTGAGTAAGATGCTTCTTCGAAATATTTCTGTCTGTTCGAAACTTCTGTGCTAACAGTTCCCTCACTGAACCAGAGATGTTCCTGCAAGCCTGAATTTTTCATCTTTAGAAAGGCTTGCCTCTATAAGCCTCCCTTCAGAAGCCCTTGAGCCAGAATGGTACATCAAGAATGCGTTTCCAGTCCTTCAGAAATACGGGCTCCTTGTGTTGAATTACTTCTTCATGCAGCTTCGAGAAGATCTTCCAACACCACTTCAGGTTTGAGATATTGTTTCTAGCATTTCATTTTCTCATGGTTTTGAGTCACTTTCTAACCCATGGCTCCGCTCATTCTTTGGCAGCACTTGAGATGTCGTGCTCAGTACCATGCTCTTCAGTTCGTGAGCCCTATTTTAAGGTATTGCGCCGGACTGCTACACTCAGTTTTATTTTCTTTACCAGCCTGTTCATTTTGCAGTGTATGTTGATGCAGCATGGGTCTTCAGGCTGTTCAGAAGCTTCAGAGCTCTGGACCTTATGTAGCTGTTCATCTACGATATGAACCTGACTGGATTGTCCATACAGGTGCTTTCACAACCTGCAGTACAGGAGGTTGCATCGCTTTGGTTGCATCGATTTTAAGAACTTACAGGAGGTGTTTGCTTGTGGGCCTGTTCAGGCTGCCTGTATGATGAAGCAACAAACGCGTACATGAAGAAATGGGCGTCTGAGAGAAACATTCAGTTTCAGTCCAACGTCACAGAAAGCGAATTGAGAAAACAAGCAGGTCTTTGCCCCATAACCCCTCAAGAAACGGCTTACATTCTGAAGGTATGTCGGTCTTTGTGGTGTTACTGCTTCCTCCTATCATCCCCAGGTCTGTCCATGCAGGAAAGGTTATGCGTTTTTGTGTCTAATAACCCCAACCCAGGCTTTGGGAGTTGACAGTATGACAACCATCTACATTGCTGGAGGAGCGATGAATGATGGAGCAAGGCTTATGAGGCCATTGCATCGAGCATTTCCTCGCCACATTGCAACGAAGGACGACTTATTGAAAAACACAGTAAACGAGCTGGTCGGCAGACCATCTGTGCTTGCTGCTATCGACTACATTGTCTGCCTTCACAGGTGAGCAGGCCTGACCTTGCTGCTGATGAGTTACGAAGTTTTTATCTGCTTGTCAGTGTCCTTCAAGCCTCTTCCTCTTCACTTTTTGGCGACAGTGATTTCTTTATGATGACTGCTGGTGGCAACATGGGAATGATGCTACGAGGTCACCGCTTCTACCTTGGGGATTTCAAAGTAAGTGGCTGACAACTTGCACAGTAAGCATATCCATGCATCTTTTCAGCAGTTTTGGGGTCACAATTGTGCTCATCATTTGCTTGTTGTGCAGGAAACATTTCAACCATACGGACCTGCTCTGGTTCCAGCACTTTCAGGGTCCAGGCCCAACATGACCATGCTGGGAGATATCCTGGCGCAGCAACGCATCCACAAGGCACTAGATCCTCTGAATGCAAGAAGGCTACTGAAGTTCTTTGACCGCCCTTGGGAATGTGTTTGTGAAAAATCTCCAGATCATAGTACAATATAGCACATCTCGAGATTACACAGCTACTCATTGCAAACTTAACAATGTTGCAAACACAGAGAGCAATCACTAGACCAGAAAACGAGGTGCTAACTTTGCATAGGTGATCCTAACCTACACCTGCACTGGAAGCCATGGCGCATGCTGTGTCTGCAACATGGCATACGCTTGCGATGCCGTCCCTGAAAACCTTCCAGCATTCTCGAATACTACTGGCAGACCTTGTCTCAGCCCGGACAAAGCAGCTGCCCTGGCGTCAGCCCCTAGCCTCTCCAGGGCCACACTTTCCGCATTCACCTTGTTCCTTGCATTCTCCAAGGCAACTCTGCAGCTGGCAACCTCAGCCGCTGCTGCTGCTGCTTTCGCTTGCTTTGCCTGCTGCTCTGCTGGTGTCTCTGCACCTGCTGCTGCTGGGCCTCCCAGGGCCAGCTGCAGTTCTCTCTCCTTTTGCTGCAGCTGCTCTAGCTTTGACTCTTGCTTGGACAACTGTACGGGGAAAATGTGGCAGGTTTTGAGTTTAGGATGAGCCATGTAAAGAAGATGCAGACGCACACCATAAGCCAAGAAAGTACAGTGCCTCTAGTAGCTTGTAAGCGAGACGCGGGTCGAGAAGGCAAAATGCAGGAACTGAAAGTGGCATGAAGTGAGTAGAGAAACCATGCAAGTCCTTCGACTCCCCCAATTACAAAGGCGAGGCGCCTCAGACATAGATTTCAAAGCGCCCCTCTCACCTGCTTCAAGCTGTCCTGCAGCAGCTTCAGCTGCCTCATCTCTGCCTTCTGCCGCTCGTAAGCCTGGTTGATCCACCCACAGAACCCCATCACGGCATCCTTCACCTCCTTCTCTGGCAGCCGGTCCATCGTTCTCACCCAGTCATTCCCCAGTGCTACCAACGGCCCCTCCACGTGTTGTTGACCTGAGGGAACAGCAAACGGTCAGAGGCAAGGCAGCGAACAAGACACAAAAGATATTCTCAAAACCCCATCACGGCATCCTTCACCTCCTCTGGCAGTCGGTCCATCGTTCTCACCCAACTGTTTCCCAGTGCCACCAGCGGCCCCTCCACATGCTGCTGGCCTGGCGGAACAAGAAACGGACAAAGGAGAGGCAGTGAGCGACACACATAAGACCATTCAGAATCCCATCACAGCATCCTTCACCTCCTTCTCTGGCAGTCGGTCCATTGTTCTCACCCAGTCGTTCCCCAGCGCCACCAGCGGCCCCTCCACGTGCTCTTGACCTGAGGGAATGGGAAAGAGCCATGGGAAACAGACACGCAGGGAATGGGAAAGAGCCATGGGAAACAGACACGCAGGGAATGGGAAAGAGCCATGGGAAACAGACACGCAGGGAATGGGAAAGAGCCATGGTAGGTGGCCGCCCCAACCATGCCTCACATCATGATGGGTAAGCAGCCGCCCCAACCATGCTTCACATCATGATGGGTAAGCAGCCGCCCCAACCATGCTTCACATCATGATGGGTAAGCAGTCGCCCCAACCATGCTTCACATCATGATGGGTAAGCAGCCGCCCCATCATTCTGAATTTCACGCATTCGTTTCCCGACTCCGCCAACAGTTGGTCCTGTGTGAGAGGGGGAGGGGCAGTGCAGGGGAGTGGCGGGGAGGGGAGGGGGTCGTTTTTGAGGCGCCTCAAAAGAGGTCGTTTTTGAGGTCGTTTTTGAGGCGCCTCAAAAACGACCTCAATGCCAACAGTTGATCCTATGTGAGAGGGGGAGGGGCAGTGCAGGGGAGTGGCGGGGAGGGGAGGGGGGTCGGCTGGGCAACAATTGGGCAATGAGGCAAGCACAACCTACTTGGTGGGGGGGGCGGGGGAGCAGCAGCAGCACCAGCTTCCCCTGGCGCCCAGCTAGCGATGTACTGCCCTGGGGGAGGGGGATCAAGGTGAGAATGGCTTACCTGGGGGAGGGGGGCAGGGCGGAGCAGCAGCACCGCCTGGCGCCCAGCTGGCCACGTACTGCCCCGGGGGAGGGGGGAGAGGCGGAGGGTCTGCGTTGGGGAGAGGAGGAGCAAATCTCTCCCATCCTTATCGCCTTAGGATGATAAGACGATCAGCCTACCTGGTGGCGGGGGAGGGGGCGGGGCCGGTGTAGCAGCAGCGCCGCCCGGCGCCCAGCTGGCCACGTACTGGCCGGGGGGCGGGGCCGTGCCGGGGAGGGGCGGCTTGGGGAAGTCTGGGGGGAAGGCGAGGGTCTTTCGCACCCAGGTGATGAGGGCGGAGAAGAACTTGCGCTGTGCTGCGCACAGAAGACTGGGGGTGGAATGGGGGGGTGTGCGGGGGAGAATGGGGGAGGAAGGGCGGAGCATGCGTTGGGAGGAGGGGGCAATAAATGAGGGTCTTGCGCACCCAGGTGATGAGCGCAGAGAAGAACTTGCGCTGCGCTGCGAACAGGACACTGGGAAGAGGGAGGCAAGGGGGGGACGGGCCAGAACATGAGGCGGAAAGACTGCGGCATGTAGTGGCGGTCTCTCACACCCAAGTGATGAGCGCTGCGAAGAACTTGCGCTGCGCTGCACACAACACAATGGGGGAAAGGGGGGGGAGGAGGGGGAGGGGGCACTTGATTTGGGAGAACATGAGGGTCTGGCAGGGGGGTTTGAGAGAGGAACGCTTTGACATGCAGGGATACGTTGAGTTATACTGACATTCGGGGTTACCTTGACACCCATGACTTTAACACCCAGAGGCCTACCTGAGCGAGGAGTGCCACTTCTTGAACGTATCGTCCAGCTTCTTCGTCGCCTCGTGTCGTGCTGTGCCTTGGTGGTGCTGGGTGAATTGAGTCGACAAAATAGTCACCAGGGGGAACATACATTGCCTTTCATTGCCATGATTCTAGTTTTGAGTCGACTCAAAACTAGAGTTACCAGGGGGAACATGCATTGCCTTTCATTGCCATGACATTAACACCCAGAGGCCTACCTGAGCGAGGAGTGCCACTTCTTGAACGCGTCGTCCAGCTTCTTAGTCGCCTCGTGCTGCGCCTTGGTGGTGCTGGGGACCTGCAGCAAGAGAGGGAATGAGAGGAACGCAGGTTACAACATTGCGAGTGGGTGGAACCATTGCCGTGTGCAATCCTGCAGTACTGCTGAGGTGAGTGAGCGTCAGCTTCTTTTCTTGGTCGCCTCGTGCTGCGCCTCGGTGGTGTTGCTGGGGACCTGTGCCAAGACAAGGGAGTGAGAGGAATCATTGTAGTATGACACCCGGGAGTGTTGAAATTCGTTGAAGTATCAGCACATTGGGAATCATTGTAATATGACACCTGGCAGAACTGACGTGGGTCGGATTCTTAGTCGCCTTGTGCTGGGCTCTGGCGCTGCTGGGGCAAAGGAGCTAGACTAAGATAGGCTAAAGGAGCGAGAAAGGAGTTGCTGGGCTAAGCGGGGTTTTTGGAAGAAGAGAAAGGAGCGAGACAGAGATAGGCTATAAGGGACTCGCTGTGGCTTCAGAAGAAGTGGAGAAATTGAGAACCCCCCCCTGCCACCACGACGGAAGACAAAGGCTACACAAAGGAAAGGACTGGCCATGGCAGTGACTTGGCTCGGAAAAACAGTTTGGTACAAGCGGAAAGGACTCATCATGGAGCTACATTTATCCCATCCCACTACAGTCCACCGCATTCCACCCCGCCCCACCCAACACCACTCTACACCACCCCACATCACCCCACACCACCGCATCACCCCACACCACCGCATCCTGCCGCTCACCTGCATGACACCAGGATTTAGCGGCGCCTGCCCAGCAGTGTTGGCCCCCTCGTGGGTGACAGGTGGCATGTAGTGATTGGCCAGCATGGTCGCCAGCTGCTGCTGCTGATCGTGCACCTGGGAGAGAGAGTGCCACGTGGACACCAGACTGGGGGGGGGGGGGGGGGGGGGATGGGGGGAAGGGGGGGGAGGGGCAGGGGGATGAGGAGGGGAGGGAACACTTGGGTCACCCTCAGCTGCTGCTGCTGCTGATCGTGCACCTGCGAGAGTATTTTTGAGAATTCTCAAAAATACCCTTCAGCACCTGCGAGAGAGCGTGCCACGTGGCCACCAGGCTGGGGGGGGGAGAGAGAAGGGGGGGGGGGGGGGGGGGAGGGGGTTTAGGCATGGAGGGGGGGGGGACGGGGAGGGGAGGGAGCACTTGTGTCACGCTCACGTGCACCTGCGAGAGAGAGTGCCACGTGGTCACCAGACTGGGGGGGGGGGGGAAGCGTGTGGGGGATGGGGGGAATGAGGAGGGGAGGGAGCATGTGTGTCATGGTCACGTTCACCTGGGAGAGATAGTGCCACGTGGTCACCAGGCTGGGGAACGGGGGGAAGGTGGGGGGGGAGGGAAGAGGTGGGTGGGGGAGGGTGCGGGGGGGAAATGGGGGAGTGGGCTGACGTAGAGAGAGTGACACGTGGACACCAGACTGGGGAACAGGGGGGAAGGGACAGAGGGGAGAGGGTACGGGGGGAGGGGAAGGAGGGTTGAGGGTGGGGTGGGGGTGGATGGACGTAGGCTGCTTTGACTAGAAGCATTGGAGAAGGGAGGAAACGAAAGTCAACGCACACAAGAAAGCGGGAGGAAAAGAAAGTCAACGCACACAAGAAGGCGTCATCTCCACTCGGTGCTGCACGTCCACCAGTTTCATCTGCGCACCCTCCCCCTTTCAACCCTCCCCTCTTCTTTCTCTTTCCTTCTCTTCCCTCTTTCCTCTCCTCTTCCCTCCCCACTTCTCCCTCCCTCCCCACCATTCCCCCCTTCCCCCCACCCCTCACTCACCAGGGCAGCAGGCGCAGTAGCTGGGGGAACAGCAGGTCCGTCTTATACGCCTCCATGGCATGGTGTGTTTTGAGTCGACTCAAAAGTAGCTGGGGGAACAGCTGGTCCGTCTTATACGCCTCCATGGCATGGTGTGTTTTTGAGGCGCCTCAAAAAACGGCATGGTGTGTTTTGAGTCGACTCAAAGGTAGCTGGGGGAACAGCTGGTCCGTCTTATACGCCTCCACCGCATGGCACGCGGTCATCACCCACACGCTCGCTCGCAGCACTCCCCCCTTCCCTCCCTTCCTCCCTTTCTGCCCAACTCACCAGGGCAACACTGGACGCACCAGGGTAGCAGGCGGAGCAGCTGCGGGAAGAGAAGGTCCGTCTTATACGCCTCCACGGCATGTCACGTGGTTACCACCCGCCGCCCTCCCTCTCTCCCCTCCCTTCCTCCCTCTCTCCCCTCCCTTCCTCCCTCTCTACCCAACTCACCAGGGCAACACTGAACTCACCAGGGCAGCAGGCGCAGCAGCTTGGGGAAGAGCAGGTCCGTCTTATACGCTTCAACAACAGCGTGGCATGCGGTGACCACACTCCCACCCTCCCCACCCACTCCCCCCCCTCCCCACCCCAACGCACCAGGGCAGCAGGCGCAGCAGCTGGGGGAAGAGCAGGTCCGTCTTATACGCCTCCACAGCATGACACGCGGTGACCACGCGCTCGCTGGCGCCCGCCATGCGGTGCTGCACGTCCCCCAGCTTCACCTGCGCGCCCTCCAGCTTCCGCGGATCCGCGTTCGCGTTCCCGCTCGCCCGCGCTGTTTCTTTCCGCACGCGCTTGTCCTTGCTCTTCAACTCCGCGCGAATCGTCTCCATTTCCTGATGGTGGGGAAGGGAGAGGGGGGGTTGGGGGTGGGGGTGGGTGAAGAAGGATTATTAGTGGTGTTCCCCCTCGCCCGCGTCTGTCTCGCCCGCCCGCGTCTGTCTCGCCCGCCCGCGTCTGTCTCGCCCGCCCGCGTCTGTCTCGCTCGCCCGCGTCTGTCTTGCCCGCCCGCGGGTGCTCGCTTTTGTGCACCCGCTCGCCCGCGTCTGTCCTTTTGAGTCGACTCGAAACTCTCTTCTTCCGCTTTGCGCTAATAGTCTCCGAGACGTCCGCATTCTCTCCCATTACATTGTCCAAGGCGCCTCCAGAATTTTACTCACCCAGATCTTGTCGTTAATATCGCGCTCCCAGTTCAGCAGCTTCTGAACCGTGTCGCCAATACTCTCCAGCTGCCCGCCCTCCTTAGTAGCCGCCGCCACCGTCAGCGGCGGAATCGCGTTCTTCGGAATGGGCGCTCCGACTTTTAGAAGCTCCACCAGCGCCGTGATCCGCGCGGAAGCTTCCAGGAAATGCGCGTTCACCTTCTTAGCGAACTCGTCCGCCCACTTGTCGCCTAAAACCGCGCCGCCGCTAGGACCAACATAGGCTATTATTTGCCCCGACCCGGCGAGCATCCCTGATGACCCCCCCATAACTCCCGACGCGCCTGGCGCGCCGAAATTCCCGGAACTTCCGAGAATTTGCCCGGAATTTCCCGCGGGATGCGGAGGCGGAAGCTGCGCCTGCGGCCGCTGCTCCCACCCCCCCGCTCCGCCCGCGGGCGCAGGCGGGGGAGCGCCGTACGCTCCGCCAGGCGGCGGAGGGGGCGGATACACCCCTGAGTAACCCCCCGCGGGAGGCGGAGGCCCCCCGGGGGAGCCATATCCGGGGAACGGCGGAGGGGGAGCGCCCTGGGGGGGATACGACGGCGGCCCCCCATACCCTCCGGAGCTAGACTGTGGGTAAGCGGCGGGCGGAGTGCCCTGATAGGGGGGCGGAGCGCCTTGATACGGGGGCGGCGGTGGATACGCGGAACCTCCCGGCGGGGGAGGAGTTCCGCCGCCGATCAGGGGGGGCGGAGGGTAACCAGAACCGGGCGGAGGCGGAGGGTAACCAGAACCGGGCGGAGGCGGCGGATACTGCGCGGAGCCGCCGTACGGATAGGCTGGCGGAAGTCCGCCGGGGCCTGGCGGAGGAGCTGCGCCAGGAGCCCCCCCAGGAGCCGCGTCTCTTGGCGGAGGGGGAGGGGACGGAGAAGGCGCAACGTGCTGCGGCGGAACGGGACTCGGCGCAGGCAACGCGGCGGAACTTCCGGAACCCGCAAGCAAAATCGAGTTAGACGCCCCCGACCCACTTTGCTCCACCGCGTTTCCCGCCGCGTACTCCGTCGTATCTCCCGCAGCCGCGTCTTCCCCGGAAACTTCCGACACCTGCACTGGCGGAACGTTCTGAAAGGCCTGCGGCGGAACATTCGCCCCGAGCGCGGACCCGATGAAAATATTCGTCCCCTCGCAGTAGATTAACAGCGCGGTGCCGGCGGTTTTGAGAGAGTCCGCGTAAGCGGAGGACGCGTTATAAAACTCCTTGTGCGCGTCGACGAGGTCTTTAGTGGCTGATTTGCGCGCCTTGCCGTACGCGGCGCCCTCGGAAAGCATCATCAAAGGCATGTGCTTCGATAAGCTGCTGCTACCGCACCCCATGGCGAGCGACTCGGTACCGATTAATAGCGGTCAAACAACAGTGAACACCTAATGCATCGGAAAGTTTAAAAGAACCTGTTGAGGCTCCTCAGTAATAAGCGGCTATTCGTGCGAAAAATGTCTATCGCCCACACACGACTTTCGGGTCAACCTACAAGTATACGACGAGCGACGTGCAGGTGCAATCAGCCAGGAAGAAATGTCCTAAAAGCACCTCTCAATTCTTGCTGTTCAGATGCTTTGCTCCTGGTCCAATTATTCCCAAACAAGGACATCTGGTTTCCACTTCAACTCGCAGATGCTCTCAGGCTTAACGAAACGATGCCGACGGTCGTCATTATTCGCGAAAGGACTCTGGGTGTTGTCTTCTCCCCGGGGCGAAACCATCGTGATTTCGTCCAGCGCTTGAGGGAATCGCTTTGCAAATGCCGCCTCCCTCTGACTCGTGATGCTGTCGTGCCGTGTTCGAATGGGCAATGGCAGGCCTGGGAAAGGGGGAAAGTGGGGAAGTGGAAAAACGTCACACGTTTGTCGGGGAAATGGAGATGCGGGGAAAAGCGGAAAGACAATTGGAAGTTCTGCGCCATCAGCTGTAGCACCCCTGACAGCCTCCCCCCAGTCCGCTGGCCCAAAGGAAGTCTCCTCTCGAAGTGCCGTGCTCCCGCCATTCCCTATAGGCTCGCTCGGATCTCCGTTTCGTGTTGACAGGGGTTGAACTGTTCCAGGTCAGCTTGTGTTTCCGCTGCTGTTCGTGTAGCGGGAGAAGAGAAGTGCATGAAACGAGTATGCGGTGCGACAGATTCTGTTGCTCGAGTGTACCTAAAAAACCGTGTCATATGAGCTCACTTTCCTTAAAAAAAAAAACAAGACTCGACGTTTACGTCGGAAGGGTTGCGTTAAGTTGTTTCTAGTGGTATAAGAAACATATGATGGAATATTATACATTATACTTATGGAAAAGACATGTTAGAGAAAAATAGTAATTATGTACATGTTTGAAAGCTTGTCAAGTATCAAAAGGTAGCGATTCGGACAGTGATGATATTTTTGTTATTAAAATAGATAATATTTTTTAGCTCCATCTTACTATATTGCACCGTCAAGTTACTATAGTGGTTCGTTATTTTCAACAGTAGTTTGATAACATAGTTATGCGTGTGTTTCACATAGCACAGCTTTCAAATTAGTATCTTGCTCATATTTCTACATATACACCTAAATGAAAGATTGTCCATGCCTAGTTGTCCAGTTTGTCTTAGCAATACAATGTGAATCTCATCTGCCCCAAAGATTACACGCTCTTCTAACGAGTAAAAACTGTATTGTTTCCTTTCACATTGTCAACTCGAATTCGACGCTTTCCTCTTGGTTCTTGATTCTTGGTTCTTGGTTCTTTGTTCTTGATTCTTGATTCTCAGTTCTTGGTTCTTCCCATCTACTAGCTATCCCGTGTCGCCTCTCCTCCCATCCCAGTGTATCCTCTCCTTCCCATCCCGCCAGCGCCTCTCCCTCCTCCCAACCGCCATCGCCTCTCCCTCCCATCCCGCCATAACCTCTCCCTCCCGCCCCGTCATCGCCGCTCCCTTCCTCCTCGCCGTCGCCTCTCCCTCCCTTCCCGTCGTCGCCTCTAGTGGGTGCACGAGCGTGAGCGCGGGTTGCTAAACGACCTCGCGTTGTTTTATGCGACACCGCTGTCTCAGGTGCGTTTACGTTTCTAGGACCTTTTTACCTCCCTCCTCCCGCCGAATTTTATTAGGTTTTCTACTTTCTTCGTAAGTTTTCTATGCTGAATTTTCTTAGCATTACACTCCCATTGCTCTCCTCTTTGGTCGCCTAACGCGCTGGCGCCTATCGCGCTAGCGCCTAACGCGCTGGCGTCTAGCGCGCTGGCGTCTAACGCGCTGGCGCCTAGCGCGCTGGCGCCTAGCGCGCTGGCGCCTAGCGCGCTGGCGCCTAGCGCGCTGGCGCCTAGCGCGCTGGCGTCTAACGCGCTGGCGTCTAGCGCGCTGGCGCCTAGCGCTCTGGCGCCTAGCGCGCTGGCGCCTAGCGCGCTGGCGCCTAGCGCGCTGGCGCCTAGCGCGCTGGCGCCTAGCGCGCTGGCGCCTAGCGCGCTGGCGCCTAGCGCGCTGGCGCCTAGCGCGCTGGCGCCTAGCGCGCTGGCGCCTAGCGCGCTGGCGCCTAGCGCGCTGGCGCCTAGCGCGCTGGCGCCTAGCGCGCTGGCGCCTAGCGCGCTGGCGCCTAGCGCGCTGGCGCCTAGCGCGCTGGCGCCTAGCGTGCTGAGGGAGCGCGTGCGTGAGGGAGTGCGTGAGGGAGCGCGTGAGCGAGCGCGTGAGAGAGCGCGTGAGGGAGCGCGTGAGAGAGCGCGTGAGGGTGTGCGTGAGGGTGTGCGTGAGAGAGCGCGTGAGAGAGCGCGTGAGAGAGCGCGTGAGAGGGAGAATGCGCGTGAGAGTGCGCGAGAGCGAGCGCGTGAGAGTGTCCTGAGAGTGTGTGTGAGAGAGCGCGTGAGAGAGAGAATGCGCGTGAGAGTGCGCGAGAGCGAGCACGTGAGAGTGTCCTGAGAGTGTGAGTGAGAGAGCGCGTGAGGGAGCGCGTGAGAGAGCGCGTGAGAGAGCGCGTGAGAGAGCGCGTGAGAGAGCGCGTGAGAGAGGGCGTGTACGAGCCCGTGAGAGAGCGCGTGAGGGTGCGTATGAGAGAGTGCGCGAGAGAGCGCGTGAGAGAGCGCGAGTGTGCGCGTGAGTGTGCGCGTGAGAGTGCGCGTGAGAGTGCGCGTGAGAGTGCATGTGAGAGTTTGCGTGAGAGTGCGCGTGAGAGAGCGCGTGAGAGTGTGCGTTAGCGAGCGCGTGAGAGAGTGCGCGAGAGAGCGCGTGAGAGAGCGCGTGAGAGAGCGCGTGAGAGAGCGCGTGAGAGAGCGCGTGAGAGAGCGCGTGAGAGAGCGCGTGAGAGAGCGCGTGAGAGTGCGCGTGAGAGTGCGCGTGAGAGTGCGCGTGAGAGTGCGCGTGAGAGAGCGCGTGAGAGAGCACGTGAGGGTGTGCGTGAGGGTGTGCGTGAGAGAGGGCATGAGAGTGCGCGTGAGAGAGCGCACGTTAGGTTGCGTAGGAGAGAGCGCGTGAGCGCGTGGTCGTTAGAGTGCGTGTGAGGGAGCGCGTGAGGTGAGAGTGGGCGTGAGAGTGCGCGTGAGAGCGCGTGTGAGAGCCCGTGAGAGAGCGCGTGAGGGTGCGTAGGAGAGAGTGCGCGAGAGGGCGCGTGAGAGAGCGCTAGTGTGCGCGTAAGTGTGCGCGTGAGAGTGCGCGTGAGAGTGCGCGTGAGAGTGCATGTGAGAGTTTGCGTGAGAGTGCGCGTGAGAGAGCGCGTGAGAGCGCGCGCGAGAGTGCGCGCGAGAGTGCGCGTGAGAGTGCGCGTGAGAGAGCGCGTGAGAGTGCGCGTGAGAGAGCGCGTGAGAGTGCGCGTGAGAGTGCGCGTGAGAGAGCGCGTGAGAGTGCGCGTGAGAGAGCGCGTGAGAGTGCGCGTGAGAGTGCGCGTGAGAGTGCGCGTGAGAGTGCGCGTGAGAGTGCGCGTGAGAGTGCGCGTGAGAGTGCGCGTGAGAGTGCGCGTGAGACAGAGAACGTGAGAGAGAGCACGTGAGAGAGTGCGCGAGAGAGAGAATGTGCGTGAGAGTGCGTGAGGGAGAGCGCGAGAGAGAGCGCGGGACAGTGTGCCTGAGAGTGCGCCTGAGAGAGCGCGTCAGAGAGCGCGTGAAAGTGCGCGTGAGAGAGCGCGTGAGAGTGCGCGTGAGAGAGTGTGAGAGTTCCCGTGAGAGTGCGCGTGAGAGAGTGCGTGAGAGAGCACGTGAGAGTGCTCGTGAGAGTGTGCGTGAGAGTGTGCGTGAGAGTGTGCGTGAGAGTGCGTGTTTGGGTGCTTGTGACGGAGTGCGTGAGGGAGCGCGAGAGAGCGCGTGAGAGAGCGCATGAGCACGCTGGGGTGTAGGCACTAGCATCTATTCTGCTGGTGCTTGGGAAACTGGGGCTACTTATACAAACTGGGGCTTTCTGCACTAGCGTTTAGAGTACCGGCTTTTAAGATTTTGGCGCCTCAGACGCTCGTCTAGGCCGTTGGCAACTAGTGGGCTAGTGCCTAGCACGCTCGTGCAGCGGGCTGTAACGCTTGGGCGCTGGCATGGCACCTACCTAGTGTGCCGTGCCTGAAGCGCTAGCGTCATGGCCACACAGTGTGTGAACATACACTGTTTTTTGTGCAAGGTGTGCTGTTGCTTTCTCTGTTCATGCTTTCTTGTGTAGGGCATGTGTGTGTTGACTTCTCGATCTTATCTTTGTGCAGGGCTTGTGTGTGTTGACTTCTTTGTATTTGCTTTGTGCAGGGCTTGTGTGTGTTGACTTCTTTGTATTTGCTTTGTGCAGGGCGTGTGTGTTTTGATTTCTCTGTTTTTGCTTTGTGCAGGGCGTTTGCGTGTTGACTCCTCTGATTTTGCTTTGTGCAGGGCGTGTGTGTGTTGATTTCTCCTTTTTTGCTTTATGCAGGCCTTGTGTGTGTTGACTTCTCTGTTTTTGCTTTGTGCAGGGCACGTGAGCTGAAAAGGGCGATGAGGGAAGGAGGGAGGGAGGGTTGTAGAGAGCGTAGGTGGGATAGGCTAGCAACTATTTATGCATTTCTGAAATTTACCGTATTCATGACGGTTGCGTGTTTGATACGGTCTCTGTATCTACCGGTATCTGTGGTTGTTTGCGTGTGTGTTAGATTGCGTGTGATTATGCGTGTGGTTTTGCACGTGCACGTGTGAGCCTGTGTGTGCGATACGTGCGTTTGTCTGTTTGCACCCGTCTGTCTCGTGTATGCAATTGACGTGTGATGTTAAAGTGTGTCGGGTCTGCATTTGAGGTGGGGATCGTTGTTGGGGCAGCGTTGCTCGCCTTAGCATACCAGAACCACCACTGTTGTAGCACCGATGCATTTTAGCATTCACTCGCAGTTGTTATGTGTTGTGCTTGCACGTGTTACGCAACTGAGGTGTGATGTTCAAGTGTTTCGGGTCTGCATTTGAGGTGGGGATCGTTGTTGGGGCAGCTTTGCATGCCTTAGCATACCGGAACCATCTCTGTTGTAGCACCGACACATTTTAGCATTCACTTACAGTTGTTATGTGTTTTTTTTGCTCGTATGCACATGATTTGCATTCATGACCAGTGGGTTTTTTTTCTCGTCACTTGTGTTTGGTGACGACCTATTGTTCCATTCGCCGTATTTATCGACGATTATGGAATGATAGGTCACATTTGGTTTCATCTTTTTGGGGACTTACGTGTTCAGTGCTGTCATCTTCACACATTTGAAACACTCGTTATCAAAACGTTGAAACGAGTGGTTCGGACGTTGGGAAAATGACAAAAACAGTACTGTTCATTTGAGTCGACCGAAAAGTGCTACCAAATGTATAGGGTTGCTACGCAACCCAAAAAACTACTTTACATATTGCGGCGTTTGAACTCTTTATAGTACACAGAGTTCAATCGAAACAGTGTCTAATGTTTCTCGGCTTGCAGCTCACATTTATAGAGTCTGGAAAATGTGCTAGCAACGCAAACCTGAATCCAACCTTGAGACGCGTACGCGTTCCGTCATTCCCCATACTGGGCAGTCAGCACAGATGCAGTTTGCCAGAATTACACAAGCTGACGGTTGGTTGGCCGCAACAAACTCAGCTTCAAGTTCCAACTGTCGCCTGGCCGGGAGTTGCGGAACTCCTGAATTATGCAGACTCTTTACAGTTCTTGCCGGTAACATCGCCGGCTCTCGCCAATCTTCGTTGCTCGCCAGGCAGTGGCTGACCAGACACTCACATCCAAATCCTAGTATGTGTAAATTGCTGACAAGGAATCACATTCCAGTATTTCCCTTGAGTTTTTTCACCTTCTCATTCCCCTCTCAAAATCCCTTGATCTTTCTCAGTATCCTCTGACAACGACTTCCGTAGCGCAGTTTTAGTATTCAGCTTTTTTATACCGCTTCAGCTTTTGGCACAAGTTCATAAAATAAACCTCAATGGGTGCTGATCGACGGCCGAAGAATCCCGTTCAGATCGCGGTGTGGTGGGTAAAAAAGCAGCCGCCTAAGATTAAGGCGTTTCTCGGCGTATGCATCGGGATTGCGGCGCTGATATTTCTAAGATTCATGGTGGTGGATCATGACAACCTCTTCGTCGCTGCCGAGGCCATCCATGCCATCGGTATCGGCGTGCTCGTCTACAAGCTGACGCGGGAGAAGAATTGTGCAGGTGCGATTTGAGAGGCATTCATTTTTCAATAGATGCCTTCACTTTAAGATAGGCACCGTGAAGGTGGAATTTCCCACCAGTCGCGTTGGCTCTTTGTGATGTTTTGCAGGTCCTTCATTCTTAACCTTTTCATTTAGGTTTTGACCGATTTTTATCTCTTAAAGCGATTATTTGTCCGTTCTCCTCTGGTCACCGCTGCCTGAAGCGACTGCGGAAAGAGGCGCGAACGCGAACGAAGAAGCTGCGCGAATCTACTTTTCCATATTGCCTACGGACGCCGTCCATTAACAAAAAGAGTTTCGGAACATCAACTTAGACCCAGCCTTATCTTGTCATACTCATTTCGTACTGTTTTCCCTCATGACGCGAAAAAAACGATGTTGGAGCGAACATTACGTTCACGTCAAATTATTGCCTTCTCTCGTCGATTTCCGCTTTTTTTTCGAACTTGACAGTCTTCTCATTTTTCATGATTATTCATATCTCTCTTATTTTATTTCTCCATCGGTCTGTTCTGCTTTTCGCAGGCCTCTCCCTCAAGTCTCAGGAGCTGACAGCGATATTTCTAGCCGTCCGATTGTACTGTAGCATGATGATGGAGAAGGACATACACACGCTACTGGATCTCGCGACGCTGGTTACCACCGCGTGGGTCATCTACACCATGCGATTCCAGCTGCGCTCCACTCTGTCCGAAGACCTTGATAACCTCGCGCACGTTTACATTGTGAGTAAAAACAAAGATGGTGATTTTTAGGAATGTATAAATCAACGAGGGACCTGTCGACTCTGATCAGCGCGGCGGGGTGACCTACACCATGCGAATTTGTCTGCTCTCCACAATCTCGGAATGAATCAGTTATTCTGACATTGTAGCGAAATTATTTGTCCGCGTTTGCTTTCTTGCCTATTTCGCGGTTTGCACATCCCGCCATTAACTGATTGCGTGATCAGATGCATTCGAACATCTGGAAGCCGATAGAGAAATCGATTGCACGTCTGATTCTGTCAAGATTCAACCGCGTGCTGTGGTGATTCCCTACACCCCTCTTGCTCTTGCTCCTTTTCGCCTTACAAATATCCCTCGTTTTTTCCTCACTATTCCCCCCTCATCCCCCACCCCCAACCCCACCCTCTTTCCCCCCACACATTTCATTTCCCCCCCAACTCCCCCTTCCTTTCCCCCCTCCCCTCCATTATTGTCTCTGCAGCTGGCGCCGTGCGCCATCCTGGCGCTGCTGGTGCACCCGCGCACGTCGCACTTCATCGTCAACCGCGTGCTCTGGGCCTTCTGCGTCTACCTCGAGGCCGTCTCCGTGCTGCCGCAGCTGCGCGTCATGCAGAACGCCAAGGTGAGCGCCGGGGAGAAACTGGGGATGGGAGAGGAAGGGAGTTTTCTTGGCATGGATAAGGGGGGGGGAAGAGGAGGGGGAAGGGTAGAGGTTCGCTCTTCTGCTTGTACCTCGAGGCCGTCTCTTTGCTGCCGCAGCTGCGCGTCATGTGGAACGCCAAGGTGCGCGGGGGGGTGAGCGAGGGAAAGGGCTCGCATGTGGCATAGGTGGGGGTAGTAGGGGTCTGCACTTCCTGCGTGTACCTCGAGACTGTCTAGGAGTGAAGCAACATGGAGAGCCCAGCAGAGTAGGAGTGGTAGCAGACGTGGCGAGGACAAGGCGATGGGTGAGCGTTTGACCGAGTAGGTATGATGAGAGGCTGAAGGCAGGGAGACGAGAAATGGATGAGGCATGGAAGGAGAGAACGTGAGAAGTGGGCCAGGAGCCTCTTGAGCTGATTGAAGCATGGCGGAATGAGTGAGGGCTGTGTAAATGTGTGCATCGAGAAGGGAACATCCAGACGTTTGTGATTGGGTGGGGACACAACGCTTGGGTTGTTGAGCACAATTTGTTGGTTGGCCGAAAATTGTGAAGCAGCATGACCCAGCATCATAGGGACGAGCGGAAGCTACAATCAACATGATGTGCTATGCGTTATGCATTATCCCAGTCCCACCCTCCCCTCCCTCTTGGCGGCTGTATCCTTCCTCCTCTGCCCCACGCTCCAAACCAGTGTCAATTATCCCTCCAAACCCTTCTTATCCCCCCTCCCCCCAACCCCGTGTCTTCCCCCACCGTCCGCCTCATGCCATCAGCTACTGGAGCCCTTCACAACGCACCCTGTCTCTGCTCTCTGCCCTTGCCCTTTCTCCTTTCTCTCTTCCCAACCCCGCTTCCCATGAGTCACCCATGGTGCATATCCTCACTGCTTCACCCTCTTACGTTGCACTATGCCTCTGTGCCCGGGATTGCCCCAGAGTCCAAACCACCCAACGTCTCCCGCTCTTTCCCCCCTTCTCTCCCCCCCCAACCCCCCCCCCCCCCCCCCCTCCTCTGCCACTCCCCCTCGCCCACCCCTTAGCTAGTGGAGCCCTTCACAGTGCACTACGTGTTTGCGCTCGGCATGACTCCAGGCCAATCAACCGCTCACAATCTTTTCCCTTTCTTTCCCTCCCTCTCCCCCCCGCTCTCTCCCACCAGCTAGTGGAGCCCTTCACGGCGCACTACGTGTTTGCGCTTGGCATTGCTCGCTTCCTCTCCTGTGCACACTGGATTCTGCAGGTCAGTGCTGCTGCTTTGCTTCATGCCATGGGGCATTGCACGTTGCACATTGCACGTCCACCTGCCTGTAGCAGGGCGAAGTGACTTTGGGAACGTGTGGCTTGAATTGCAACTGCTGCAGGCTGTAGCACGTGCCACATCCCCAACTCGCCTCCCCTTTCTGCTCATGCACTCGACTTGGAACCTCTTCTCGTCCTTTCTGCTCTTCTCGGTGGTACAAGGTTAGAAGAAGAATACACCCTCACAGGCACTTCCAAAGCACTCGTTGGTACAAGGTATGGCAACTCAGAGGTATGGATGCAATCCACACAGCGTCATCAAGCCATTTCACAAGTCCACATGGTGCCCTCTGCCCTGATGCCTTTCCCTCGTTGCTTCTCTCGCCCTCTCTTGCTATCACCCCAACCTACCACCAGAGGATCGACAGGAACAGCTTCATGGTGATCATTCACATTTTGCAGGCAACGATGGTGCCTTTTGCCCCTCGAATGTTGCTTACCCCTTCGTTTCCTGCGTCCCTTCCTGTCTTCTTGCTCTATCCCTCCCCTCAGGTGATGGACGGGCACAGCTTCATCATGACCACCATAGGCTACGGCATGTGACCCGCCATGGTGCTGCTGTCAGTGCTGCTCCCAGAGACTCAGAGATCATACAGACCTTCATCCTGACTGTTGCTATCCTTCATTTTCTGCTTGTTGGTGTTACCCGCCCCCCATTTCTCTTCACCAGGTGATGGATGGGCACAGCTTCATTATGACCACCATAGGCTACGGCATGTGGCCCGCCATGGTGCTGGTGTCAGAGATCGTGCAGACCTTCATTCTCGCTGACTTCTGCTACTACTACGTTAGGAGGTGGGCTTATAAGTGGGGGGGTGTGCGTCTGTGCTTCGGTGTGTTTGTGTTTCTGTCTGTCTGTATGTTTGTGTTTTTGTCAAGAGGTGGGTCAGGTGTTTCTTGCTCTGCAATGCTGAGAAGTGAGTCACATATTATCCTTGTGAGGGTGAGTTTGCGGCGTGATGGAATGCGGGCTCATATGGTTCTTGTGTGAGTGTGTTCGCATGACTCATACTTGTGCCTTGTTGCGCGTTGTGTTTTTGCAGTGTGATGGAAGGCCAGCTCATGGTTAGACTGCCTACAGGGGTTGTGTAAGAACCAGCATAGCAGCGAAACTCCTCTCCCTAGGGGTGGTTAGTCTACACGTTGATGCCATTTATTGCAGAGATTCGAAAAGAAGGCCACAGATTTAGTGCTAATGAATGTACGGTACACACGTTGGGGGTTTGAAAGTGGGTTTTTCGTATTGTTGCAGGGGAGGATTGTGTGCTTATTGCACAGTTTTAACAGCTTACTAGTTTATCCGTCTCAGAAGTTTCAAGTTAGCTGAAGTGCTTCGTATCGAGACCAACTGCTTCAACCCGCTCGCACATCCCCTACAGCCCACGGGAACTGCAGCTGGTTTCAGCAGGTTTTTACTCGAGCAGGCGCATGTTATTCACCAAGTAACCTAGAGAGACGAATACGAAGAGACGTAGACTGTCACCTCACAGAAAGAAAGGTAGTGTCGGTAGCACTCGTGCAGTGGTGCACGAACCCGCGATTTCCGTTAGCCTCCAATACTAACGAGAATCTGATTTAGCTTCTTCAATTCTCTTTTTTTTTTTTCATCTCGATCCTTTAATTTCCTTCTGATTCCTCCGGTCTTATTTGTCACAACTAAATTAATATGTTGACGCTTCACGTGAAGACGCCTGGAGCGCTTCGTAGGTGCTCCATTAGCGTACCGGCTAATGTGCGGCTTGGCGAATTGAAGCAGCGAGTTGGCGAAGCAACAGGGTTACCCGCTGACGACCGGTTAACACTCATTGTGCGAGGAACCGTGCTCGCAGGCGACTCGGCTTGCTCCTCGTCGTCTGGACCGTCGGATCGTGTGAAACGTTTGGACGGCCAAGATGCATCCGTTAATGCTTGTCGAGATGACAGCGTGTCAGACGCTGCCACGTTGGATCTCCGAGACGACGGTACCTTCTCATGTCACTGACTCTGATTGACTCATAGAAACTCCTACTCTGATTGACATTGACGGCCATTCATGATCATGAGCGGTCGTTGTTGGTCATTAACGATAAATCATGGTCGTTGAACGTCCGTCAGGACAGTGCAATCTTCCTCCTTCTTTTCCTCCCTCTGTCACCCCTCATTTCAACGTCCCCCCACACCTCTTGCCTCGCGCCGTCTCAACCCCAGACGTCATACTCGCTACAGTGCGGCCCAGACCACCCCCACCACAAGTGGCGAACGCTAGAGTGGGCGAGGTGGAGGAAGAAGAGGAGGAGGTGAGACAGGAAGAAACCATTTTCTTGTTCAGATTGCTCGAATGATGGAATTTCTTGTGTACTTTTCTTAACCTCCAAACCCCCCTTTCCTATGATTGAATTCTCCGTGTTTTCTTCCCAACCTCCACTCTTCCCCCCCCACCCCCCCCCAATATTCCCCAATGTTGAATGATGCTCATCATCTGGCCTATTTCTGGGTTGGATCCTCCTCTTCTCATTCCTTCTGCTTCACTTCATAACCCCCTCTACCTTTCTATCCATCTCGCCAGCGTCCTGTCCAAAACAGACCTTTCAACCCCCACCCACCCCCCACCCTCCCCCCACCCTCCCCCTTATCCACCGTCCCCACCCACCCCCCACTCTCTCCCTTGCCTTTCATGATCAGGTCTTTGACATCCCAGCATCAGCATCGCCACTCCAGCGCCGAATCTTCCTCTTCCTACGAGACAAGTGTCAAATCCCAGGTGACCTCTCTTTGCAGTAAAGGTCGCTCTGCTTCACCTCTGCACCTGCCTCCCCTGCTTCCCTCAATCTCCCTCATATCAACCTCAGTACACCTCCCCCCCGCCCCTCCTTCCTGAACCCTCTCACCTCGTTTCCTCATTGTCCCAGGTTTCCTCCTCGTCCCCTTCTTCTGGCTTTCTCCCTCCAAGTTTCTGCTTCAAATATTCTTCAAATATTCTTCAAGCCAGAACCTCTCATATTCCCGCCCTTCCAGGTTTCCTCCTCGTCCCCTTCTTCTGGCTCTCTCCACACAAGTGGCTGCTGGTCATCCTCTGGTTCATCGCTGCACCGCTGCTTCAAATCTATTTCGAGCTTGGACCTCTCTATGTAAGCCACTCTCCTATCAGCCCCTTGATACTCTCTCAGCAGCACCTCTCTCCTCACAAGTGGCTGCTTGTCATCCTCTGGTTCGTCGCTGCACCGCTGCTTCAAATCTCTTCTGAGCAACCCTGTTCTAAAATCACTAACCAACCTGCAGATTTGGGTAAAATCTCATTCCTCGATACCCTTGGGGGATTTTGGGTGAAGTTTCGCCCAACTGACCCCCCCAACATGTCCCCCCAGGGCCTCACTGCACCCCTGCAGATCCTGGGCACCTGCTTTTCATTCATATTGCTCTCACTTGTTTGGTTTCCTGTTCTTGTGCTCACTCTCTCTCTCTCTCGGTGTTCTCCCAACCACCATCCACAAACCACCACATGTCCCCCATACCTCGCCACACCCCTGCAGATCCTGGGCACCTGCTTTGCGCTCATTTTCTTCAACCTCGGCACACGCCAGCAAGGGGAAGCAAGGTGAGTGCTTGTGGTTCCCAGTCTTCATGATGCATGACTGTCTTATGCAGCCCTGCCGTATGCAGCCTTGTCATTGTCTTATGCAGCCCTGTCTGTGCTACTTCACTCTCATCTCAACCATGAAGCATGGTTGCTCTGACAAGACATGAGTAACCATGCTTCATAAGACATGAACCATGTTTGTCTTATGAAGCATGTTGATTCTCACAAACATCTATTTATCCTAACCCCCTCCTCTCTCCCCCGTTTCCCCTTCTTCTAACAACAGTGCCTACTCTATTTTCAACGAAGGATTTCAAGAGCTGCCAGGCACACTCAATGCACAGCGTCTGGATGAGCATATTAGAGCTGGGCAGTTTTAAATTGCTGGATACGTGTAAATACATGCCCATGTGTGGTTTGTTAACACGGTTTCTTGTCGTCCAGAAGCACACACCCTAGAATGCCGTTTGACAGGGGGTGGTGGGGTGTTGGAGGTGGGTGGCTTTGACTTGGGGTGTTGGGGGTGGGTGGCTTTGCCTTGGGGTGGTGGATAGTTGGGGTTGGGTAGTTTTGACTTAGGGTGGTGAGGTGTTGGGGGTGGGTGGTTTTGAGTTCCGGTTGTTGGCGATGGGTGGCTTTGACGGGGGGTGGTGGGTTGTCGGGAGTGGGTGAATTGACAGGGGGTGGAGGGTTGGGTGTGGGTGGCTTTGACAGGGGGTGGAGGGGTGTTGGGAGGGTGAGTATGAGGAAACGGGGCCCAACCTCCCCTTGGATGGGTGAGTGGCAGTGTAGGGGTCATTAATCTCGGGGGGTGTGAGTGAGAGGGATGGGGGTTGACACCCCTTGGTTGGATGAGTGAGCTGGAAGGGGGCTGAGGCCTGAAACCCCTTGGTTGGGCGAGTGTAAGAAGAGGGGGCGGAGATTTCTGGGTGTGTAAGATGAGTGGGAAATGAACTTAGGGGGTTTTAGACAGAGATGTGAGACGTGAGGGGATGAGACAGAGATGTGAGACGCGAGGGGTTGAGACAGAGATGTGAGACGCGAGGGGTTGAGACAGAGATGTGAGACGCGAGGGGTTGAGACAGAGATGTGAGACGCGAGGGGTTGAGACAGGGATGTGAGACGCGAGGGGTTGAGACAGAGATGTGAGACGCGAGGGGTTGAGACAGAGATGTGAGACGCGAGGGGTTGAGACAGAGATGTGAGACGCGAGGGGTTGAGACAGAGATGTGAGACGCGAGGGGTTGAGACAGGGATGTGAGACGCGAGGGGTTGAGACAGAGATGTGAGACGCGAGGGGTTGAGACAGGGATGTGAGCAGGGGCAGCAGCCGCTGGAGCAGCAGCAGCCGCAGCAGCCGCAGCAGCAGCAGCAGCAGCAGTTGCCGTCTCCTCCTCCTGTCTCGGGTCTTCGGACCCTTGGTCTCCCCTCTCCCTCTCCTTCCTCCTCCCCCTCTCCTCCCGTCTCTGGTCCTCCGCTTCCTCCTCCTGACCCCTCTCCCGCTGTTTTCCCTCGTTCTCAGTCTTCGTTGTCTCCTCCTCCTTCTCAGACTTGGGCCTCTCGTCGCTCCCCTCGTGCTCGTCCCTCGTCTCCTGTTCCCTTCACTGACCTTCGTACAGCCTTCCTTTGTTCTCGTCCACCTCGTCCGTCTCCGTCTGTGCTTCCGTCTCCTCCTGAGTCGGCCCTCACTGTGTCGCTTCCTTCTCCTGTCACTGACTACTACCGCACGTACCGTCCTGTTCTCTCTCGTGTTCTCGCCTCTCTTGTTACCCACCCTCGTGCCTCTGTGTCCTCTGTGTCCGCTCTTACTGCCGCAGTCACTGAGTTTGCCTCTACCCGCCGCCTTGACTTCGCCACCGGTCTTGTGGCTGCTCCTCCTTCCAGTCCTCTGGCCGTCGGGGGTGTGTCTGCCCTTGGCTGTGACGCCCTAGAGGACAGGCAGTTTGAGCTAGAGTTCCTGGCGGCCGCTTCCCCTCATCTCTGTGCCATGCTCCTCGCCCCTGAGGGTGACCCCGACGCCCTTGACATTCCGACTCCTCGCACTTACGCTGAGGCAGTGTCAGGGCCTTGAGCCTCTCAGTGGAGAGCTGCCATGGACGCAGAGATGGCCTCCTACAGATCCACAGGCACCTACGTCGATGAGGTTCCCCCTCCGGGGGCGAACGTGGGCTGCTCGGGCCGCCTGCGCGCGGTTCGGGCGGCTATGCCAGGCCCGTGGGCGGCCCGTTCCTCGCTGCCCCTGCCCTCCCCACTGTCCCCCGTGCTTCTACTGGCGCCCCACCCCTCCTACAGCCCGTTCTCCTGAATTAGGGTTTGGGGGTGAGGGGTATGGGGGTGAAGCCACTGAGGCTGAGATCTACGCTGGTGCCATGGCGGCACAGGAGCTGCGTTGGTTGACCTTCTTGCTCACCGACCTTGGTGAGCGGCCGAGCTCTGCACCGACCTTGTTCACTGACAACAAGGCGTCTATTCTCCTTTGTCGAGAGCCACGACTGGAGAGCAGAGTGAAGCACATTCACGTCAGGTACTTTCTTCTGCGAGAGTTGCAGAGGCGTGGACAGGCTCGCTTTGAGTTTGTGGAGTCCGAGGCCAACACTGCAGACATCTTCACCAAGGCGCTTCCGCCTTGTGACCACCAGAGGTGCTGTGTGCAGTTAGGCCTTGTTGACACTGGTTCTCGTGTTGCTTAGACTTGAGTGTACTGTTTACTTTGCTTTCCATATATCTCTGTTACTTCCTAGACTGGCCTTGTGGCCACTGTTGTTTGTGCTCAGACTGTGTGGTGACGTTGTGATCCACCCTGAGCTTCGTTTCTTGGACTGGTCTTGTGACCGTACTCGTTTGGTTCTGCTAGACACCCCTCACTTAGGCTATGGGGGTGTGTCAAATGTTGTAGCCTATAGTGAGGTTTGTCTTAGAGGGTACAAAACTTAGGGTTAGCTATATGTACCCCAACCAACATCAATGCATCATCCATTCTTCATTCTGACAGTGAGACGCGAGGGGTTGAGACAGGGATGTGAGACGCGAGGGGTTGAGACAGAGATGTGAGACGCGAGGGGTTGAGACAGAGATGTGAGACGCGAGGGGTTGAGACAGAGATGTGAGACGCGAGGGCTTGAGACAGAGATGTGAGACGCGAGGGGTTGAGACAGAGATGTGAGACGCGAGGGGTTGAGACAGAGATGTGAAAGGTGAGAGTTGCATGCAACGGGGTGACTACATTGAAGTGTTCGACATAAGTTGTTCTCGTAAATGCGTCATTCGCATGTGAATGATGGATGCGGAACATGCTGCAAGCCTTTGTGGTATGGACACACCTTCCAGTCTTTTTTATCGAATCCAACTGGAATCCATCATTTTGCTTCAAGCGGTTGTTTACTCATCTAAGAAGAAGGACCTGGTCCTGGAGGGATGTTGCTTTTACCTGTTGTCAAATGAGCACAAGGAAGCTGAGCTTGAGTTGAGAGACACAAGGTCAATGCTTGGCAAAGCGCCACCTGGCTGTGTCTGTCTGACGGCCAACATTTCAGGCCAACACACTCTGGAAAATCTACTGAAATACAGTATCTAGTTGAATGCTGGAGTGCTGCAATGAGTACTCTAGGGAGAGAAACAATTTACATGGCGTGCTTCTCCCATTTTTTCCACCACTAGAAGAAAGAATCAGTACATGCAGTGTGGTATATTGACATTGAGCATCGCCTTCTTACATTCAATTCAAACCCATCATCTCCTCTCCCTCACTCCGCTGCTCCTGTCACTTCTGCCTCTCTTCCCATCATTCCGCCCCTCCCTCTGCAAACCCTCACTTGGACTCCACCTCTCCACCCTTTTGCCACTGCTGTCTCTGCTTCTGCTGCTACTGCTTCTGCTGCTACTGCTTCTGCAGCTACTGCTTCTGCTGCTACTGCTTCTGCTGCTACTGCTTCTGCTGCTACTGCTGCTGCTGCTGCTGCTGCTGCTGCTGCTGCCGCTGCTGCTGCTGCTGCTGCTGCTGCTGCTGCTGCTGCTGCTGCTGCTGCTGCTGCTGCTGCTGCTGCTGCTGCTGCTGCTGCTGCTGCTGCTGCTGCTGCTGCTGCTGCTGCTGCTGCTGCTGCTGCTCCTGCTGCCTATGCTGCTGCTGCTGCTCCTGCTGCCTATGCTGCTGCTGCTGCTGCTGCTGCTGCTGCTTCTGCCGCTGCTGCTGCTGCTGCTGCTCCTGCCGCTGTTGCTCTTGTTGCTCCCACTGTTCCTCCCTATTCCCCATGCTACCCCTCTCCGCTCGTCCCCGTCCGCAGGCCTTTTCTTCCAGTACCCGCCTCTACTCTCCCTCTTACTCTCCATAACCCCATCCCCGCCTATCTCTTTCCTGTTGCCTCTTCTGCCCCTCCTCCCCTCCTTGCCATCCCTGCTCTCCCTGCTCTCCCTGCTCTCGCTACTATGCCGCCAGTCACCTCGGCTGCCAGTGCTGACAACTGCAGCCCTAGTTGTTTCCGGCTGGACCTGCCTCCTGGAAGCAAGGCGGAGGGCGATAGAAGATATGAGAGGAAGGCTCATGTACTGTGCTATAAGGCTCATGTACTGTGCTATAAGGCTCATGCACTGTGCTATAAGGCTCACGCACTGTGCTATAAGGCTCATGCACTGTGCTATATACGGTCATGCTCATGAGACGTCAGTGGAATAATGCCCATCTCGCAATGTCCTCACCAGCCATGTGCCATCCACGCGCCATGCCCATGTGCCATCCACGAGCCATGCCCATGTGCCATCCACGAGCCATGCCCATGTGCCATCCACGAGCCATGCCCATGTGCCATCCACGAGCCATGCCCATGTGCCATCCACACGCCATGCCCATGTGCCATCCACACGCCATGCCCATGTGCCATCCACGAGCCATGCCCATGTGCCATCCACGAGCCATGCCCATGTGCCATCCACGAGCCATGCCCATGTGCCATCCACGAGCCATGCCCATGTGCCATCCACGAGCCATGCCCATGTGCCATCCACGAGCCATGCCCATGTGCCATCCACGAGCCATGCCCATGTGCCATCCACGAGCCATGCCCATGTGCCCTGCTTCTCACCTGATAGCTGCATGTGGAACCTCCTTTTCTGCCACAAACAGAATGCGGGCTGAAGATGCTGCCGCCGCTGCTGCTGCCGCGGACACTGGCTTTCGGCGGTAAGACGCCGCAAAGTCTGCAGAACCAGCGGCACCAGCAGTCGCAGAAGTTCTAGCAGTAGCGGCAGCTTCAGTTTCGGTCAGCAGGGCATAGCCCATTGCCAGCCGCAGAACATCAGATGTGGCACTAGCAGTGTCGGTTACATCTCTTGCCCTACCAGTTACATCTCTGGTGCTGCCCGTTACAACTGCGCCAGTAGGTGCTGCTGCGGGCAGCACAAAGGAATAGCCCTCCTGTGGTGCAATCTCCTTGCCTGCCCGTGCGCAAGTATTCCTGAGCGGGCAGCGTGGGCAGACCTGCAAAAAAAAAACAAGGACACCAAAAAAGAGGGGGTAGCTGAAAAAAAAGAGGGGAATGGAAGGGTACAGTGAGGGGTAAGGGAGGGTGCGAGAAGCGGGGGAAAGAAGGAGACAAGAGTGCGAGGGAAGGTTGAGCTGCCTCTGACAGGGAAAGGACGAAGTGTGGAGTGGAGAGGGAGAAGGGAGGATGCAAGGAGAGGAGGATGTGGCAAGGGAGGGGGCAAGGGAGGATGCGGAGGGTGCAGAGAGGGTTGGCTCTGACCTTCGCCTCGGAGAGGGAGAGGAGGGAGCAACGGAGAAGTGCAACGGAGGGTGCAAGGCAGGGTGTGGAGTGTGTTGAAGTTGACCTTGGCCTCAGAGAGCGAGAGCAGGGAGCGCAGGCGCTTGGCTGCATTCACTACTTTCCGGTCTGTTGATGGGCAGCCCGCAGAAACAATTGCTCGCACGTTGCCCAATGAGAAGGAGCTGTAAGTGGGTGAAAACGGGAGAATAGGGAGAGGAAAAAAACAAAAGGGGCAGCTTGGTGCAAGAACTGAACAGGTGCTTCAGACTAGAACAGAAATTCCGCTCACAAAAAGTTATTCACTTAGTTGAAGCTCTAAAACCCCGGACCTTAAACCCGAACCCTGAATCCTGGATTTCCCTGACCGCTCCCCCTCTCCGTGTTCCAAACCCCTCTCCCCTTTTCCCCGCTCCTACCTGAACAGATGCGGCGAACATCTCGCTAGGGCCAAAACGGCGCGCTTTGCCTCTCCCTTGTCCGCCAGAATCGCATCCAACCTAGAATCCGAAATCAAATCGGGCGACTCACACGCCCGTCGTAGAAACAGGCGTCTTTTACACTTGCGAAGCCTGCTTCTTGGGATACCTTTCACACGCTCGTCGTAGAAACAGGCGTCTTTTACACTTGCGTATTGTGTTTAATTTATTTATCTATTATTTAATTCGGCATGGACTCTAGCACAGTTGAGGCCACTGCTACCAAGACTGCAGATAACCCAGTCACTGATAATAGCGAACAAACGCCCGCCGATGTAGCTCCTTCCACTGAGCCGCCTTCCGCTGACCCGCCTTCCGCTGACCCACCTTCCGCTGACCTGCCTTCCGCTGATGCGCCGTCTGATGCGCCACCTGCTGATGCGCCTGCCGATACACCTTCCGTTGATGTGCCTTCCGCTGACTCGCTTCCCCCGAATGCTGCCGCCGAAGCTTCTCCGACCGCGGAGATTGCCACGAACGCCACCGCCTCCGCGCCGCCAGCGAAAGAAAGCACGTCAACAACCTCCGAGATTGTCCCAGAGCCTTTGGTTGAGACACCCGTTGCTGCCCCAGATACGAACCCGCCACTGAAGCCATTGACCCCCCCAAAATGCGCAAGGTTCTGATTCCTCTAGACGACACGTCAGCGAGCCACGAGGTGCTGACGTGGGCGCTGGATCGGTTTCTGGAGCCGACGCGAGACTACGTGTTCCTGCTGCACGTGCTCTCGCCTTTCATGCCCGGGGTTGGCGGCCCCGCGTCCGTATCCGGCGGCGCGATTTCGCCATTCCCCTCCATGATTACTCTACCAGGTGCGTCCCCCGCGTTTCCCGCAATCGCCACAGTATTTCCTCCCAAAATTCACAATGAATCGGGCCGCTTGCGTCGCTTGAAAGGTAATCCTTAGGGGCAAAATACTAAGCGGGTTAAAGGTTGCCACACACGTCGCTGCATTCCTCCCGTTTCTCCGCATAACGAGACGGTGCGTATCATAGATTTACACAAACCATTGCACGTCAACCATGCTCTTAACCCCTCTACCCACCCTCTCCTCCACCATCCCTTCCCCCTCCCCTCCTTCCTCCCAACTCTTTCCATTCCCCTTCCCCTTCTGAAGCGCATTTCAAATGGTCAACGCATTCTACCTATCTACTTATCGTCTCACTGCTCCGTTGAACCACATTCCATGCCACCTGGCAGGCCTGCATGTTAGCGGTGATGACTTGGCACATGCGGCAGCAGCACGGAAAGAGGAAGCACACGTGAAGCTGCAGGGAGTGGCCAGGGAGCTGGCAGAGCGCGGACTTGCGTGTGAAGGCCACGTAGAACTTGGGGATGCCCGCCACGTCATCTGCCACGTGGCAGAGCACTTCCACGTAGATGCTGTGGTGATGGGCAGCAGGGCTAGAGGAGCCATGAAGAGGTAAGAAGGCCTGATGGGATCTGGGGTGAAGGGATGGGGTGGGGGGGGAGAAGGGAGCGAAGACGTTGTGATATGGGGACATGTTGGTGTGGTTCAAGCCATGTCATGTTTATTTGCTGCTGTTGTTAGTGTGGTAAAGGATTAGTAGCTCATAATTTATGACAACAACCTAAGGGGCGTTCATGACCTGGGTAAGCATATGAGAGTGAGAGGGTGCATGTACGGCGCTCGAACCCTAACAGCGGGGACTGACTACGGGAGGGAGCCATGTTCGTGATCTCATTGTCCTTCATGTGTTTCTAACCGATTCTTCCAGTGCCGCGTTACACTGCAGGATGATGCTTGGCAGTGTGAGCGACTACTGTGCACATCATTCCCCAGCGCCAGTTCTTGTGGTGCGGCATCACCACCAGCAGCATCATCACCATCACCACCACCAGCATGACCTCAAACAGGGTAGCACTAGGAGTTCCAGCATTAGGCAGGATGCACTAGAGGCTGTTGGTGCTTAGTGTTCCCTGGTACCGGTAGCTGTTGGATGCCAAAATAATATTTATCAAAACGTAGCCTCTTTTTTTTTTACTGCTTAGTGTGTCACAGAGGTGGGTGCAAGTCACTGACGTAATGTCAAGCACAAGTTATTCAGTAACATTGACAAGAACGTCAGTCGAACTCTCTGGTCTGATGTAATTGTCATGTATCCCTGGTGAATTACTCTGGCCATTTGAATGTTAACTGGGTATTGGTCGAGACAGTCGTGGCAAAGACGCTCAAGGTGCACATTTTTGAGTGCACAGCATTCGCAGGTCATTGTTAGAGCCAACGGACAGTGTGGAAAAGGAGACGGTGGAGCTGTTGCTGCACGAAAGAAGCCCTGTGTGATTTGAGAAAGTCTTAACCTGCAAGGACAACAGTATTGCATCAGAAGCAGATTGGGGATGTGGTGGAGCCCACAGGAGATTATGTTAACCTGGCAGACTGGAGCACCGGATGTGGGAGCAGTAGGGACATCACAGGTCCAGAAAGATGTGGGGATGCATGCCATGTAGTGGCACCACGAGCATCCATTGGCTATGTTGTTTATAACGAAAAGAACAATGAATGCTGACGCCAGCCTGGAGGAAACAGTTAGAGAGAACGATTTGGTATGAACAATAAAGTCATGGCACCATTGAATGACAGCACAGCTCTTTCAGTCAGACTTACAGGGCAAGAAATGCAGCAGCAGCAGCCATACGGATTCGTTGCTGCCATGCTGTGTACTTCATCGTCACAGGAATGCCTCGTCCCTCACCCATCAACGTATCAATGGCAGCAGGCGTTGCTCTCAGCAGGCCAACGAAGCTGGGCTTTGGCCGAATCAACAGAGCAAACCCAAGGAGAATGCCTGAGAGGAGCCCGCCAATGCAGGTGAAGATGTCAATAAAAGGCATCAGTCCAGTGGCGAGATTGACAAGTCCCAAGAGTGTAAGGACTGCAAGTGCTTGCCAATGGTTGTGGTAAAAGTTGTAATTGACAATGACGTCAGAAAAGGTAGCTCCGATGAGACCAAAAAGGGGGCCTGATACTCCAGCGGATATACTGTCTCCAAGAAACATGGCCGCAAATACAGCACTGGCAACTCCCGAAAAATAGAAAACGGCTAAGGGCCGCCCTGCAACCGAAACAAACACGTCAGAAATCATGGAATTGCTAGCACGTAACCAGAGCACACAACTTTTAAACGCGCAGGCAGGTCATTGACACATACATGGTCCAAATTCCTGCTCCAGCCTGACGAAGACAAATGCGAGGGAAAGGAGGTTGCAGATGACATGAACCGAGCCAGCATGCAGCCACATGGTCGTCAGAAGTCTCCATCCCTGGCGGTGGTTCCGCACCAGATCCGCATTAAGAGCTCCCATGTTGAGCATTCTGTTTAGGAACTGATCATTGCACAATGTAGACGACGACACTTGACACGATACGAGACCATTCTTTGTCCTTACCGTCCCGTCCACTCACCTGCGTGCGGACGGTCCAAATAGCGGATTTACTCTCAGCGGCTCAAAGGAGAATCTGTGTAAAAACCTCCATATGCAGGTCTGGCCATCGGGGTGAGCATGGCGGGGACAGTTATTCAGACCCATAGTAACCAGGAACACAATGAGGAGACATGTCACCAGAACGGGAGTCATCCAAGGGAAATTCAGCGGCGGTTTTTCACTTGACGTTTCTTTCACGGTCTCAATACGCTCCAACGTTGATACGGAATTCCCAGAAGATGAAACTGGAGGTGCAGTTGAAGTAGAAATTGAGCTAACAGTCCTCGTCGGTGACACTGCAGGGGATTCGGCTGTGCGAAATCTGCTACTCGTGAACGTCGTGGCATCTTCTCGCGATCTGGTCATACGTGGAGTCTCGGCTTGAGACAATCCGGACACAGAAGCCGAAAACGGCGGACAAGCCGGAGGAGCGAGAGGGAATTGCCATAACGAGCTTCCAGATGACAGCGACCGATGATGGCCTGAATTTTGATCTGAATTCGTTCGAGAATTACTCAGATTTCCGGACGGGCCAGGATAATCGGAATAGCCGGGAGCCAGATGCCTCGGGAAAGGGCTTCCTCGCGGAGAGAAACGACCGTAGTAAGGAGACGCTGCTGAGGATGGTGGTAACGGAGAAGCATCGTTGACGAAGACGTACGAACTAGACGCGGACGATGCAGTAGCAGAGGACCATCGCGGAGCCGATGCGTCGCGTTGCGTGAAGGCGTTGTCATTATCGGATTGCTCGACTGGCCTTCCATAAGGTCGCTGCATGATTTCAGCGAGGCCCTAAGCTACGATTCTACCTCAGCATTGAGCCCCAGACTTGCTTCAGAATGCAGGATTACCTACGCAGAACGGACAGTTGCCTGCATGACGACCGCTAGCATCAACATTGCATCCATTCCCAGAGACGTGAAATGCTGGGTAGGTTTTGGAGCTGATTCTGGTGTTGGCTGGCTATCTGAAGGTATTCTCTGAGCTCATGAGACGTTCGCTGGCAAATGTTCCAACGGATCAATAACGAGTGCTCATCAAAATAAACACCGCGCACAAACCCTCCCAACATACCAATGCCCAAACTTACCGCTTTGTAACGCAAGCAAAGCATCATTCAACCACACTCAACTGAGCTCTCTACGACATTTACTCTTATTAATAATGCATATTATTTGAACTGGTATACCAGATACATAAGAGCATGAAAAAATATGAAGCTAATTGCAACTAGACATACGGTAAACATAAGCAAAAGGGTAACATTTAAACAGGGTGGCTTACACCCTACAAAAACGCTTAGCAGAGACCACTCTGCCTGGGAAAACCATTCAGACCTCGATGCCAGGGCATCTAACTTGCAGCCCAGGATTTTGCTCACGAGAATCAACTGCACTCAGCCCCCTTTTTTGGCTCGCCGTACAGGGGAAGGTTGCGGCGATCCCTTCTGTGCTCCATTCAGACCTCGATGCCAGGGCATCTCACTTGCAGCCCAGGATTTTGCTCACGAGAATCAACTGCACTCAGCCACCCTTTTTTGGCTCGCCGTACAGGGGAAGGTTGCGGCGATCCCTTTTTTGCTGCCACCCCTTGCAATGTCAGGGCCAAGCCATTATTCACCTTAGTATGTATGGGCTTGCTGATATGGCAGGAAGACGAGCTGCTGTTGCTGACATGGCGGTTGACATGGCGGTCATGGAAAATCATCTGTGTGCTCATCATGCGATCGTGGCCGATGAGACAGAGGCGATCAGGATACACGTCAATCTGGCCGAAGGCTGAGGTTCCTGTCGGGCATTCAAGTGCCTGCCAGAGAAAAAAGGGGTTGGAATGCATGCATTAAATAAATGACATAAATCATCAGCACATTTTTACCCACGAGCTCTGAAAGAATAGAAAGCTCTAAGCATTTCAAGGCAATGAAACGACCAGCCAGGAAGTTTCCACTCACCGCCTCAAGAATCCGGTGGTGAATGCCCTTGTCGTCGCAGGTGTATGCTCCAAAGTGTGCATGGCCAGAAATGACCGCCACCACACAGTCGTGCTGCTGAATGGTCGCGAGAACCTGATGAGGGACACGGGAGGGTGTAGCAGATTAGTCATGCGTGAATCGCAAGAGGGTGAGAAAGCCTGAACAGGGGGGGAGGGAAGTGCGGGAGGAGGAAGGGAGTTGGGGGCAGGGGGAAGGGAGAAGCTTAGAGGGATACTAGGATAGGAAGTCAGGAAATTGGAGTGTACAGGGAGCAGCATTCACCTTGTCATAGTTCCAGATGAGGCACGTGGAGGTGGGAAGAGCGTTGGGCTCCACAGGCAGATGACAGCAGATGATCACCGTCTCCCCACACTCATCACTCTCCCTCAACACGCCCTCCAGCCACCCCAGCTGCGTCTCACTCACTCCCCCGTTGAACTTCAAGAACCGCCGCTGCATCCCCACCATCCCCTCGGGGCTGTTCTTCTCCTCGTTGGGATTCTGCTGCCCGAGAATTTCCGCCGCCAGCTCAGCGTGCGGGTGGCCGGACGGCCATCCGATCATGCTGATGTCGTACGGGTCGAGAACGACGAGGCGGAAGCCAGGGAATGGGGAGAAGTGGTAGTAGGAGCGGTGGTCGGCGGAGGGAGGCATGGCGAGCAGCTTGTTGAGGGTTTTCCGCGGGAGGTTGTAGAGGCAGTGGTTGCCTGCAGGGGTGGATGGAAATTTCACACATTGAGCAAAGCTGCCTTGGCCAGGATACTTATCAAATAAAATCCAAACCGGATCGGCAGCTATGATGTGACAATGCCGCAAGGAGCAGATAGTAAAATTGAGATAAATGAGTCAAAATGAACCTGCCACGAGGAGCGTACCTAGCATGTGGTACACGGGTCCGTTGGTCAACTTGCCGAACTCGCCCAGAACCTGCCGTGGGGAGGATGACGGGGAGACGGCGAGATCGAAGCAGGCGGATAGAGCCGCAGGCGGATAGAGCCGCAGGCGGAGGAGAGGAAGGGAAGGGAGAGGGAGGAAGGAAAGGCATTGAGACGATCTGAGCATGAGATGCGGAGAAGGGCAAGCTCGACGCAGCAATGCCGAGCGAAATGGGAGAGGAGTAAAGTAAGAGCACGGCGTGCAGGGTTTCGATGCGGTACTGAGGCAAGGGAAGCTATGAGGCGTTTCTCTCCTGGAGATCCGGCGAGTGCTGGAGCATTACCGTGTGAAAGGCCTCGAGCGAATTTTCGCGAGGGCAGAGTCCGTCGACGAGGTCGCCGAAATGCACTGCGAAGGAAACGTGGTTCGTCTCGTGGTTCCAATCGCGAACCGCCCTCTTCACCACTGCCAAACAACAGTCAGCCAACCGTCGCATGACGGGTGTCAGAACAATGTTAGGAAAGATTGTCGGCATAAATGCATGGCTCAACTACTTCCGACGACTCTAAAACATCGGAGAACGAAGGCGAGAGACAGTAGGAAATCATCGTTATTCCGACTGACATCAAGAAAACGGGAAAACCAGAAAATTAATCACCTTCTAAACTGTGTCGGTAGAATCGAGGGATGCCAAGGAACGAATGACCGTCGTCGATATCGGCGTACTGCACGTCCGTCATCACGCCAAACGAGAACAGCGGTTTCTTCCCCTCCGCGTCCTCCCTCTGATAAAAATACGACCCGACCACCGGCGGCCCGAGTGCTCTGCGCTCCGCGATCAGCAGCTGCTGCAGGTTCCACCGATCGCGGCTGGCTCGCCGCGCGAGACGCTGCTTGTTCTGGCGCTCCGGGTCGGTCCCGTTCCCGCGATCCTCCTCGCAGTTCTCACTTTGAAGATGCCGGATGTGGTGAGGGCCGTCGTCGTCGGAGCAACTGCTGCTGCTGCTGCCGATGAGCCCGCTGCTGCCGCTGCTCCCGCTGCTGCGACTGTGTGCCGACCCGTCGTCCTCTTGCGACGCGTCGTCGCAGTCGCCGTCGTCAACGGCTGTCGGCGACCATTCTGGCCAATCGTCGTCGTCGCAGCTCGAGCCGTTCTCCGCTGCGGCCTCGAGAAGCTCTTTCTCCCGGAGAGCCGCGGCCTCGGCTTCTTTCGCGCGCTGTTGGAAAAGCGCGAGAAAGTCGTTGGTTGGCTCGAGAGGACGAGGCGGACGGGGATGGTACCCGAGCGGAAACGCCGGCACGAAAGCCGGAGGTGCGGACGGCGTCCGCGAGGGAAATTCGACTAATGGTGACGACATGTGCTTCGACGGAAATGGCTGACGTAGAGGAATATGTTTCCGTCTCTATAATAGCGCCTTAAAAGGGTTGAATAATTCAGAACGGGTAATTTTGCTCTTAGTATGATACAATGACAAGTGATTGCCGATAAGGACGCTTTTTTTTTCTCCTCCTCCTTTGATAGCTCAGTCCCTGTCCAGTGAATGACAGAAACGTGTCTCAGTGGGGTCTGAGAAAATGAGGATAGATTTCTTGACGACAAAAACGGATACTCCAAGCGGAATTGTCGGTAGACAGAGTAACTACCGCAAAATTGAACGAGAAGTAACCAGAGTATGGTTCAGTCACAACGCCAAGACAGAAGGGGAGCAACTGAACTCTGTATAGCCGCTTATGTACAAAGGGGGCTCGGCAACGGTCTACAGAACTCTCTCAATGTCAACGAGTTTCACTGATGTCGTTCTTCCTTATCTATGGCTTCTGGAAAGTAAAGGGGACAAGACAACGGACGGAAACGTGGGTCAGAAACATCACTCAGCAAGTGGGGAAACGCAAACCCTATCATAAAGGCGTGCATAGTAGAAAGAAAGATTAGGAGCACGGGGGAATAAGAATGGTGAGAGGGCAGGGGGTTTGACGGAAGAGAGGAGATTGGAGGGCGCGCCAGCAAAGCAGGACAGCGCCAGTGGGAAATACTGCGCCAGCAAGGGAGCGCGAATGGTGGCGAAGGGAATTTGGCCTTCCAGTCACTCGGGTGGGTCGCATGCGTGGCAACATGGCGGCGCGTGGCTGACATTGCGCTTCGCGGGCAGATGCATGGGAAGAGAATGCTGCGGCTCCCAGCTTCTCGGAGTGCCACAGTTGAGATGTTTTGCACAGAGACTTTTAACTGTGCATCAGCAGGCGTTCAGTACTGTGGATGAAACTTTTAACGCTCCTCACTGTAAGCACTTAGTGAGCGTGTGGGGTTATGGGGCACGGTCCCCACAGAAAAATGCGGGACGATTTTTGCTCGAGTTGGCCCAGAACGGATGTGGTTGACGCCGAAATCTGCGTACCAACTGAAAACAGGTAGGATCCAAGTCAGCATCGCCGCTTTCGGGCCCGCTTTACAGGCGATCTGCGTGGGCGATGATGTTCGTGTGACTGAATCCACGTGAAGTCTTGGCAAGCGTGTGATCAGGCTCGGCCATCTCAGCGCGGCGGGATTTCCTCCACAGATCTTGCCGACCAAAAAGTCGTACCCAATGAAATAGACAAGTGACACGCACCACTTGTTCGCGCGTGCGACAAAATAGGCAGACAGATTCGTACTTGGTTCACGTCATGTCAATAAGAAAATGTACACGGATTTGTGAGTGAAGTACACTATATACAAATGTACGTACTTTGAATAGCACATGACACAACCACTTCACTTCACCACCCTGTTCTCCTTGCAGGCTGCATTTTCTTCAACTGCTCTTGTAGCATAGATACTTCTTTCTTCAGTGCCGTTGCACTCCTAGCCTCTACCCGGACCCTACTCAGCTCTTGCTCCAACGATGTGACTTTCTTGTTGGATGCTTGAAGCTCTTTGCGCACTGTTTCCACGTCCACCTTCCCTTGTCTCTCTGTGAGGGATATAGACTGGCCCAAAAAACGGTCAAAGGGGAGGATGGAGAGCGAAGGGTTGACAGCATGCAAAGAAGGAAAGTGAGGAACGGGATGAACATGTGGGGAAAACTAAGGGGCTCAGGGTGAAAGGAAAGCAATGAGTCGTAACGTTTCGAAGCCTCACACTCTCACCTTTTCCAGCATGTCGAGCCGCCGTGCCATCACCTGCCCCTCCTGCCGCATCTCCACCACCAGCTGGCATGCCGCTCGCAGGTGCCCCTCCACCCGCTCTCTACAGTGCTTCGCCACGTCCTTCTGAAGCAGAGGCAGTGTGCACCCCATAGGGGCATACGGGCAGGATACGGATTTCATCCCACAGTCCGTCGCACAGTGTCTCTCCATCCTGGCTCGTGCTATTGTCAGTCTACACCCCTGCCGACACGGAAGCATCTTAAGGGGGCACTTCTTATCGTGTACGCCCATTCTGTACCGCGACACCCGCTCCCAGCAGGGTGCGTTCGCACACGGGACCTCCTCAAACGGGCAATGTTCCCGGTGCGAATTCAACCCCGCAACAGTGCCGAATTGCGCCGAGCAGTGCGCAGTACCCGCGGCGTCGACGCGGCGAATAAGCGACTGCGCAAGGTTGATCCTTAAAGCCTTGTCAAGCAAGTCAGACTCCTCCAGCTGCTGAGCCAGCGACGCAACCTTGTCTTCAGTGTGTTCCACACGCCTGAAGGCAGATGAAAAGCGAGTCAGCAGGCTCTGGCGTTGAGCCACAAACTCGTCTAGAAGAGCCTGAATGGTGGTAACCACAGGAGAGTTACACGGCTGTTTCTCCTCTCCATTCTGCTTCTCCTGCTGCACTGCTGACACTGAGGATTCTTTTTTCCCCTCTTCCTCCTCTCCCCCATGCCCGTGCCAGACCCCAGTCCAAGCCTCGGTAACATCAACAGCAGCAGGAGTCACAGCAGCGGTCAGGCTCTTGGTGTGGGAGTCAAGGAACGTGAGCAACTCGCCTTTGACTGCCTCAGCTGCTTCTAACGGGGATGGGGGGGAGGTGAAGAGAGTTACAGAGCTCTCTAATTGGTCGATTGTGGCCGCTGCTATGGCAGGAAGCAGCCTGGAAGCCACGGCTCGGACCTGAGAGATACACAGAGGGAAGGACCGAGAAGCAACAAGGGGTTACATCAGCACAAGTATTAGCATGCGGAGCAATGGCTCAATCAGCGATGCAAACGAGTGTATAAAAGAGGCTATCTTGCAAGCGATATCAGTACGGTAGTGTGGGGGGGGAGAGGTGGATGGAATGCAATAATTTTGGCTGGCTGCCTGACCACCAGTGCATTTGAAAACTATAACAGGTCGAAAGAACACTCCACACACGCTTCATTTATGCGGCGATCGTTTTTAACAGACAATCACACAAGATGTATCACACTTCATACCGATTCTTACCTGCTCCACATCAGAATTGGGACAATGAACACTCCCCAGAGGGTCTGTAGCTGCCGTTACACCGGTCCAATAGACAAGCCCAGACACTGGCGCTGCTCCCTCCCCTGACCCCAACTGGACCTCCGCTCCCCCTGGCTCCCCCCCAGCCTCCCCTCGTTCCGCTTCCGCCCCGGCCTCCCCCTCCAAACCCCCGTTTCCTTCTTCCCTCCGCATCGCTCTCCCCATGGCTCTCCCCATTCCCCCCTCCCCCGCATCCGCGGAAGCGCGCCTTTCTCCTCCGCCGTTTCCCCCTGTCGTCCCCGCTAGCGCCTCGAGCTCCACTTCCTGCTGTGCCGGTGACTGTACGGAGGGGGAGCGCGGAGGTGACAGATCCGGGGGTGACAACGGCGAGGGGAGCTCTTCTGCGAACGGCGACGATGGAAAGAGGGAAAACGCGGCAGCTAATATTGAGGGGGAAGAGCTGACGGCCGATAAGGTTGGCTGCGGTGATGCTGCTGCTGCTGCTGCTGCTGATGATGATGATGATGATGATGATGATGATGATGACGCTAGAGCTGATGCTGACGTGGCTGAATGTAAAGCTCTTGCGTGCGGTGACGTGGAGTAAGCAGGCTCAGAGGAACCAGCAACGCCGTCAGTCCCAGTGATACCCGCGTTACTGTCACAAGCTGGTACTGTCAAGCTGGTAGGAGATCTCGCGTGATCGCGCTTCGACGGATCAGTCGCTCCTGAACCGCGTCCTGCAGAAATTCCTGTCATCTCCTCCGTTACAGTCCCCTCCGCTAACGGAACATTGTGGTATTCCTCCACATGCTCTTCCGTCGTTCCCGGTCTACAATCTCGAGATTCTCGAGAATCCGTCGTGGGAATCCCATAGGTGCAAGTGACATGATCCGAATCTTCGAGATTAACAGCGGAGCCGCCTTCGCGACTGCAATCCGTCAATGTCGCGCTCGGCGCGGCTTCCGGAGTCATGTGGGTGGGGACGTACTAGCAGGTGCCACGGAGAGTAACCACAACGAAGAAATCGCACGGTTGAAACCGGTCAAGCGACACCGCGAGTTAAAGTTAATAAAACGGGATTTACCAGCCTGACCAACGCTTGGCAAGTGCCTGCATGAATGCATGAAGCGGGATTCACGCTGACAAGATTATCCCGTCAAAGAAAGTTCACTCTTGTTGAAAAAGCTGGAGCCTCATTGCTTCGCTAGAGACAGATCCGCCTGTCATCGTGTCCGGAAAAAAACCTTGAAAGCGGGGAAAAACACAATCTGTAATTTTTGAGAGCATATGGTGCAAATGAGCGAATGTTATTTGTTTCCCTAAATGAGAAAGTCGCGGGGTATAATAGTTGCGTACAGCACATCTCCATCTCCCACTGTGCCCAACCCACGAAAATGAATGATGCCCCCATCTCCGACACTCAGACAACCATTCGCTCACCGCAAAATGCGGCCATTCACGCCTTGTTCCCGTCTCTCCACGGTCTCCCCTCCGCTCGTAAATTTCCCCGCATCTCCCGTAATTCTCAGTGCGCAGCTTTCCCCTCAATCCTTCCGCCACCCTCTTCCGCCAACGTTGTCCTGTCCAATCCGTGTCCTGAATCCCCGCCCATCCGCGCAAGTGCGAAACTACACAAATTTCCGTCTTCCGGCTGCGCGCAGCGGCGCGCAGAGCGCAGACAGCGCGGGAGAAGGAGGCGGCGGTGATGGAGGAGCGGAGGGGGAGTCCGGCTCCCCCGAATCCGAGGCGCGGCGGCTTGCGCTTGACGACGCGGCGCGGGCGGAGATGAGGGCGCGATCTGAGCTCGCGCTTGCGGCGATGGCGGAAGGCTCCGAGGGAGCGGCTCCCGCGGCGGGAGACGCGCCGGGAAACGCCCTTGGAAACGCGGCGGGAGATGCGGGAGGGTGTGGCGGGAGCGGTGACGGCGGCGCGTGGAAGTGGGCGGTGCGGAAGGGCGTGTGGGACGAGCTGGAGGCTCGTGACGTGGCACGCCCGCCGCGCCCCGTGCACCACCGGATTCCTAACTTCGATGGGGCGGACAAAGCTGCTGCCATGGTGAGGGGAAGGGAGGGGGAAGGGGGGAAGGGAGGGGGAAGGGGGGAAGGGAGGGGAAAGGGAGGAAGGGAGGGGGAAGGGGGGAAGGGATAGGTGCGTGGCAGGGCTACTGCGGCCCCAACTTCGAGGGGGCGGACAAAGCTGCTGCCATGGTGGGGCGAGGGGGAGAAAGAGGGGAAAGGGGAGGAGGGATGTGGGTGACACTGTGGGGGAATCTGACCCACAAGGCCCGTGCACCACCGCATTCCTGCATTTGAGGGGGCGGACAAAGCTGCTGCCATGGTGTGATGGGGAGTCGCGGATGGGGGAGAGGGGGAGAACGGGGGAGGGGAGAGGGGGAGAACGGGGGAGGGGAGAGGGGGGAAGGGGGAGGGGCAGGGGAGGGAAGGATGTGCTGTGCTGTGGTGTGACCACCACGCCTTGTGCACCACCACATTCCCAGCTTTGATGGGGTGGACAAAGCTGCTGCCATGGTATGGTGAGGTGGGGAGGGGGAAAGGGGGAGGGGGGAATTGGGGAAGGTTGTGGTGTGTTGCGACCGTTGCTTTCCAGGCAGCAGGGTGCGTGAAGGTCAGGCCCGACTCTTTGGGAATCACTTTTGAGAATTCTCAAAAGTGATTCCCACACTCGCATCCCCCGCCCCACTTCCCCACCCCAATCCCAACCCCCTGGCAGCTGGCGTCGCTGCCCGAGTTCCGGGCAGCTGCGTGCGTGAAGGTGAACCCAACACATAATTCTTGGATCTCCACTCCTCCATTCCTCTCTTTCCTCCTCCCCTCCTCCGCCCCCCCAACCAAAAGCCAGCTGGCGTCGCTGCTCGAGTTCCAGGCAGCAGGGCGCGTGAAGGTCAACCCCGACACACTTTTTCCTCCCCCTCTCCTCTCCTCCACTCCTCCACACCCTCTCCCCCGCACCTTGAACCCCCTTGCCAGCTCGCATCATTACCCGAGTTCCAGGCAGCAGGGTGTGTGAAGGTCAACCTCGACACGCCTCAGAAGGCTGTGCGGCTGGCAGCTCTGCAAGGTGTGTTGTGTGCATGCAGCAATCGTGCAGCTGTGCGTTCGTGTGCGGTCGTGTGCGGTGCAACTGACATGGAGTCACTCGCATGATCGTGTGTGAAGGTCAAACCCGACACGCCTCAGAAGGCTGTGCGGCTGGCATGGCATCTCTGCAATGTGTGTTATGTTGTGTGCATGCGTGTAGCAGTTTAGCAGTTTAGCAGTTTAGCAGTTTAGCAGTTTAGCAGTCTTGCAGCTGTTCAAATGTTCTCACCCTTTTCCAGCAAGCATCCCCAGTCATACCCAGTCATATCCAGTCATACCCAGTCATGCCCATTCATACCCATTCATGCCCCCTCGCCCTGGCCCCCCTTCCCCTCAGCCATCAAGCTTCTGCTAACCCCCCAGCCGCACCTGCCAAGGGGCTTCTTCTCCCGCCCCTCTGCCGCCCACATACCGCCTTCCCTGACTACCCTCCCTCCTCCTCCCCACTCCTTCCCCATCTCCCACCCCCCTTTTTCAGCCAACAAGCTCCTGCTCACCCCCCAGCCACGCCTGCGAACCGGCTTCTTCTCGCGCCTCTCTGCCGCCCACATACCGCCCGACCAGCTGCTCGCCGCCTGCACGGCGGCCGGCGTGGCTCGGCACGGAGTGCCGGTGGCGCTAGAGGACAAAGTTGGCGTGGATATGGTGGTGCTGGGGTCTGTTGCTGTTGACCCCACGACTGGTGCCAGGCTGGGGAAGGGCGAGGTGAGAAGCAAGGGGAAGGGGGTACTTTCAGGGTAAGGGACGAAGGGGAGGTGTTTTTCCACCATGCAGTGCAGCATTCTGTGCAGCAGGCATTGCAGAATGCATTGCAGCAGGCATGGAAGCATGCATGGCAGCATGCATTGCAGCAGGCATTGCAGCAGGCATTGCAGCATGCATTGCAGCAGGCATTGCAGCAGGCGTTGCAGCATGCATTGCAGCATGCATGGCAGTTAGGGTGGATATGGTGGTGCTGGGTTTTGTTGCTGTTGACAACACCACTGGTGCCAGGCTGGGGAAGGGCGAGGTGAGTTAGAAGGGGTAGGGCTTGAGCACCAGCCCATGAGCACCAGCCCATGAGCAGCAGCAGCACCAGCAGCAGCAGCCCATGAGCACCAGCCCGAGCACAGCTCCAGCCCAAGCCCCAGCCCAAGCCCCAGCCCGGGCCGATATCCTGGGAGGATATCCTGGGAGGATATCCTGGGAGGATATCCTGGGCGGATATCCTGGGCGGATATCTGGGGCGGATATCCTGGGCGGATATCCTGGGCGGATATCCTGGGCGGATATCCTGGGAGGATATCCTGGGAGGATATCCTGGGCCGATATCCTGGGAGGATATCCTGGGAGGATATCCTGGGAGGATATCCTGGGCGGATATCCTGGGCGGATATCCTGGGCGGATATCCTGGGCGGATATCTGGGGCGGATATCCTGGGCGGATATCCTGGGCGGATATCCTGGGAGGATATCCTGGGAGGATATCCTGGGCCGATATCCTGGGAGGATATCCTGGGAGGATATCCTGGGAGGATATCCTGTGAGGATATCCTGGGAGGATATCCTGGGAGGATATCCTGGGAGGATATCCTGGGAGGATATCCTGGGAGGATATCCTGGGCGGATATCCTGGGCGGATATCCTAGGAGGATATCCTGGGAGGATATCCTGGGCCGATATCCTGGGAGGATATCCTGGGAGGATATCCTGGGAGGATATCCTGGGAGGATATCCTGGGAGGATATCCTGGGCGGATATCCTGGGAGGATATCCTGGGCGGATATCCTGGGAGGATATCGTGGGAGGATATCCTGGGAGGATATCCTGGGCGGATATCCTGGGCGGATATCCTGGGCGGATATCCTGGGAGGATATCCTGGGAGGATATCCAGGGCGGATATCCTGGGAGGATATCCTGGGCGGATATCCTGGGAGGATATCGTGGGCGGATATCCTGGGCGGATATCCTGGGAGGATATCCTGGGCGGATATCCTGGGAGGATATCCTGGGAGGATATCCTGGGAGGATATCCTGGGAGGATATCCTGGGCGGATATCCTGGGAGGATATCCTGGGAGGATATCCTGGGCGGATATCCTGGGAGGATATCCTGGGAGGATATCCTGGGAGGATATCCTGGGCGGATATCCTGGGAGGATATCCTGGGCGGATATCCTGGGAGGATATCCTTGGAGGATATCCTGGGCGGATATCCTGGGAGGATATCCTGGGAGGATATCCTGGGCGGATATCCTGGGAGGATATCCTGGGCGGATATCCTGGGCGGATATCCTGGGAGGATATCCTGGGAGGATATCCTGGGCCGATATCCTGGGAGGATATCCTGGGAGGATATCCTGGGAGGATATCCTGGGAGGATATCCTGGGCGGATATCCTGGGAGGATATCGTGGGCGGATATCCTGGGCGGATATCCTGGGAGGATATCCTGGGCGGATATCCTGGGAGGATATCCTGGGAGGATATCCTGGGAGGATATCCTGGGCGGATATCCTGGGCGGATATCTGGGGCGGATATCCTGGGCGGATATCCTGGGCGGATATCCTGGGCGGATATCCTGGGAGGATATCCTGGGAGGATATCCTGGGCGGATATCCTGGGCGGATATCCTGGGAGGATATCCTGGGAGGATATCCTGGGAGGATATCCTGGGAGGATATCCTGTGAGGATATCCTGGGCGGATATCCTGGGCGGATATCCTGGGCGGATATCTGGGGCGGATATCCTGGGCGGATATCCTGGGCGGATATCCTGGGCGGATATCCTGGGAGGATATCCTGGGAGGATATCCTGGGCCGATATCCTGGGAGGATATCCTGGGAGGATATCCTGGGAGGCTATCCTGGGAGGATATCCTGGGCGGATATCCTGGGAGGATATCCTGGGAGGATATCCTGGGCGGATATCCTGGGAGGATATCCTGGGGTGATATCCTGGGAGGATATCCTGGGAGGATATCCTGTGAGGATATCCTGGGAGGATATCCTGGGAGGATATCCTGGGAGGATATCCTGGGAGGATATCCTGGGAGGATATCCTGGGAGGATATCCTGTGAGGATATCCTGGGCGGATATCCTGGGCGGATATCTGGGGCGGATATCCTGGGCGGATATCCTGGGCGGATATCCTGGGCGGATATCCTGGGAGGATATCCTGGGAGGATATCCTGGGCCGATATCCTGGGAGGATATCCTGGGAGGATATCCTGGGAGGATATCCTGGGAGGATATCCTGGGCGGATATCCTGGGCGGATATCCTGGGAGGATATCCTGGGCGGATATCCTGGGAGGATATCGTGGGAGGATATCCTGGGAGGATATCCTGGGCGGATATCCTGGGCGGATATCCTGGGCGGATATCCTGGGAGGATATCCTGGGAGGATATCCAGGGCGGATATCCTGGGAGGATATCCTGGGCGGATATCCTGGGAGGATATCGTGGGCGGATATCCTGGGCGGATATCCTGGGAGGATATCCTGGGCGGATATCCTGGGAGGATATCCTGGGAGGATATCCTGGGAGGATATCCTGGGAGGATATCCTGGGCGGATATCCTGGGAGGATATCCTGGGAGGATATCCTGGGCGGATATCCTGGGAGGATATCCTGGGAGGATATCCTGGGAGGATATCCTGGGCGGATATCCTGGGAGGATATCCTGGGCGGATATCCTGGGAGGATATCCTTGGAGGATATCCTGGGCGGATATCCTGGGAGGATATCCTGGGAGGATATCCTGGGCGGATATCCTGGGAGGATATCCTGGGCGGATATCCTGGGCGGATATCCTGGGAGGATATCCTGGGAGGATATCCTGGGCCGATATCCTGGGAGGATATCCTGGGAGGATATCCTGGGAGGATATCCTGGGAGGATATCCTGGGCGGATATCCTGGGAGGATATCGTGGGCGGATATCCTGGGCGGATATCCTGGGAGGATATCCTGGGCGGATATCCTGGGAGGATATCCTGGGAGGATATCCTGGGAGGATATCCTGGGAGGATATCCTGGGAGGATATCCTGGGAGGATATCCTGGGCGGATATCCTGGGAGGATATCCTGGGAGGATATCCTGGGAGGATATCCTGGGAGGATATCCTGGGCGGATATCCTGGGAGGATATCCTGGGCGGATATCCTGGGCGGATATCCTGGGAGGATATCCTGGGAGGATATCCTGGGAGGATATCCTGGGAGGATATCCTGGGCGGATATCCTGGGAGGATATCCTCGGAGGATATCCTGGGCGGATATCCTCGGAGGATATCCTGGGCGGATATCCTGGGAGGATATCCTGGAGGGATATCCTGGGAGGATATCGTGGGAGGATATCCTGGGAGGATATCCTGGGAGGATATCCTGGGAGGATATCCTGGGCGGATATCCTGGGAGGATATCCTGGGCGGATATCCTGGGCGGATATCCTGGGCGGATATCCTGGGAGGATATCCTGGGAGGATATCCTGGGCGGATATCCTGGGAGGATATCCTGGGCGGATATCCTGGGAGGATATCCTGGGCGGATATCCTGGGAGGATATCCTGGGCGGATATCCTGGGCGGATATCCTGGGCGGATATCCTGCGCGGATATCCTGGGAGGATATCCTGGGCGGATATCTTGCGCGGATATCCTGGGAGGATATCCTGGGCGGATATCCTGGGAGGATATCCTGGGAGGATACCCTGGGCGGATATCCTGGGAGGATATCCTGGGCGGATATCCTGGGAGGATATCCTGGGCGGATATCCTGGGCGGATGTCCTCGGAGGATATCCTGGGCGGATATCCTGGGAGGATATCCTGGAGGGATATCCTGGGAGGATATCGTGGGCGGATATCCTGGGCGGATATCCTGGGAGGATATCCTGGGCGGATATCCTGGGAGGATATCCTGGGCGGATATCCTGGGAGGATATCCTGGGCGGATATCCTGGGAGGATATCCTTGGAGGATATCCTGGGAGGATATCCTGGGAGGATATCGTGGGCGGATATCCTGGGCGGATATCCAGGGAGGATATCCTGGGAGGATATCCTGGGAGGATATCCTGGGCGGATATCCTGGGCGGATATCCTGGGAGGATATCCTGGGCGGATATCCTGGGAGGATATCCTGGGAGGCTATCCTGGGAGGATATCCTGGGAGGATATCCTGGGAGGATATCCTGGGAGGATATCCTGGGAGGATATCCTGGGCGGATATCCTGGGAAGATATCCTGGGAGGATATCTTGGGCGGATATCCTGGGCGGATATCCTGGGCGGATATCCTGGGAGGATATCCTGGGCGGATATCCTCGGAGGATATCCTGGGCGGATATCCTGGGAAGATATCCTGGGAGGATATCCTGGGCGGATATCCTGGGCGGATATCCTGGGAGGATATCCTGGGCGGATATCCTGGGCGGATATCCTGGGCGGATATCCTGGGAGGATATCCTGGGCGGATATCCTGGGAGGATATCCTGGGAGGATATCCTGGGAGGATATCCTGGGAGGATATCCTGGGCGGATATCCTCGGAGGATATCCTGGGCGGATATCCTCGGAGGATATCCTGGGCGGATATCCTCGGAGGATATCCTGGGCGGATATCCTGGGAAGATATCCTGGGAGGATATCCTGGGCGGATATCCTGGTAGGATATCCTGGGAGGATATCCTGGGCGGATATCCTGGGCGGATATCCTGGGCGGATATCCTGGGAGGATATCCTGGGAGGATATCCTGGGCGGATATCCTGGGAGGATATCCTGGGAGGATATCCTGGGCGGATATCGTGGGAGGATATCGTGGGCGGATATCCTGGGAGGATATCTTGGGCGGATATCCTGGGCGGATATCCTGGGCGGATATCCTCGGAGGATATCCTGGGCGGATATCCTGGGAGGATCCTGGGAGGATATCTTGGGAGGATATCCTGGGCGGATATCCTGGGAGGATATCCTGGGAGGATATCCTGGGAGGATATCCTGGGAGGATATCCTGGGCGGATATCCTGGGCGGATACTTGGGAGGATTTCCTGGGAGGATATCCTGGGCGGATATCCTGGGCGGATATCCTGGGAGGATATCCTGGGCGGATATCCTGGGCGGATATGCTGGGCGGATATCCTGGGAGGATATCCTGGGCGGATACTTGGGAGGATTTCCTGGGAGGATATCCTGGGCGGATATCCGGGGCGGATATCCTGGGCGGATATCCTGGGAGGATATCCTGGGAGGATATCCTGGGCGGATATCCTAGGCGGTTATCCTAGGAGGATATCATGGGAGGATATCCTGGGCGGATATCCTGGGAGGATATCCTGGGAGGGTATCCTGGGAGGATATCCTGCGAGGATATCCTGGGAGGATATCCTGGGCGGATATCCTGGGCGGATATCCTGGGCGGATATCCTGGGAGGATATCCTGGGCGGATACTTGGGAGGATTTCCTGGGAGAATATCCTGGGCGGATATCCTGGGCGGATATCCTGGGAGGATATCCTGGGAGGATATCCTGGGCGGATATCCTAGGCGGTTATCCTAGGAGGATATCATGGGAGGATATCCTGGGCGGATATCCTGGGAGGATATCCTGGGAGGGTATCCTGGGAGGATATCCTGCGAGGATATCCTGGGAGGATATCCTGGGCGGATATCCTGGGCGGATATCCTGGGAGGATATCCTGGGAGGATATCCTGGGAGGATATCCTGGGCGGATATCCTGGGAGGATATCCTGGGCGGATACTTGGGCGGATATCCTGGGAGGATATCCTGGGAGGATATCCTGGGAGGGTATCCTGGGAGGATATCCTGCGAGGATATCCTGGGAGGATATCCTGGGAGGATATCCTGGGAGGATATCCTGGGAGGATATCCTGGGCGGATATCCTGGGAGGATATCCTGGGAGGATATCCTGGACAGATATCTTGGGAGGATATCCTGGGCGGATATCCTGGGAGGATATCCTGGGATTTTATCCTGGGAGGATATCCTGGGAGGATATCCTGGGCGGATATCCTGGGAGGATATCCTGGGAGGATATCCTGGGAGGATATCCTGGGAGGATATCCTGGGCGGATATCCTGGGAGGATATCCTGGGAGGATATCCCAAGCCCCAGCCCAAGCCCCAGCCCAAGCACCACCTGCTCTTACCGCACCACAGCGCGTGCTACTCCCTCCTCTGAAACAGACACCTGCTCACCACGTGCTTCTCCCTCCTCTGTGTTCTACACCCGTGTCTTTATCCCCAATCCACAGGGCTTCGCAGAGTTGGAGTACGGCATTCTGAGGTGGATGGGGGCACCCACCTGCTCACCACGTTCTTCTCCCTCCTCTGTGTTCTACACCCGTGTCTTTATCCCCAATCCACAGGGCTTCGCAGAGTTGGAGTACGGCATTCTGAGGTGGATGGGGGCACCCACCTGCTCACCACGTTCTTCTCCCTCCTCTGTGTTCTACGCCCGTGTCTTTATCCCCAATCCACAGGGCTTCGCCGAGTTGGAGTACGGCATTCTGAGGTGGATGGGGGCACCCACCTGCTCACCACGTGCTTCTCCCTCCTCTGTGTTCTACGCCCGTGTCTTTATCCCCAATCCACAGGGCTTCGCCGAGTTGGAGTACGGCATTCTGAGGTGGATGGGGGCCACCACCTGCTCACCACGTGCTTCTCCCTCCTCTGTTCTACGCCCGTGTCTTTATCCCCAATCCACAGGGCTTCGCAGAGTTGGAGTACGGCATTCTGAGGTGGATGGGGGCCACCACCTGCTCACCCCGCGCTTCTCCCTCCTCTGTGTTCTACGCCCGTGTCTTTATCCCCAATCCACAGGGCTTCGCAGAGTTGGAGTACGGCATTCTGAGGTGGATGGGGGCCACCACCTGCTCACCACGTGCTTCTCCCTCCTCTGTGTTCTACACCCGTGTCTTTATCCCCAATCCACAGGGCTACGCAGAGTTGGAGTACGGCATTCTGAGGTGGATGGGGGCCACCACCTGCTCACCACGTGCTTCTCCCTCCTCTGTGTTCTACACCCGTGTCTTTATCCCCATGCCACAGGGCTTTGCAGAGTTGGAGTACGGCATTCTGAGGTGGATGGGGGCGGTCACAGACGACACTCCTGTGGTCACCACTGGTACGCAGCCTTGCGGTGACTCATTCTTCGCATTAGATCAACGCAATGGGCACCTGGAGTCGAACCCTGAACCCCGAACCCCACTCCACCCACACCACACATGCTCGCCACCATCAGTCCCTGCCCCACCCACACCCTGCAGAGCACGACTGTCAGTTAGTGCAAGCAGGCACCATTCCCACCAGCAAGCCGAGGCAGCACGACCTTCTGCCGGTCGACATCATCTGCCGTGCCTGTGGCATGCGGTTGCACTCATCCTTCTCAACCCAACCCCACCTTACTTGATTGAACCTTACAGCGCACGACAGGCAGTTGGTGGCAGGCGCCATCCCCACCAGCAAGCCGAGGCAGCACGACCTGCCAGTTGACATCATCTTCCCTGCCTGTGCCCTGTGATTGCACTCATCCTTCTCAACCCAACCCCACCCCACTTGAACCCTTCAGTGCACGACTGTCAGCTGGTGCAAGCGGGCGCCATTCCAACCAGCAAGCTGAGGCAGCACGACCTGCCAGTCGACATCATCTGCACGCCCACTCAGATCATCCGAGTGACTTCCAAGATTCCCAAACCCTCAGGTGAGAGCCCTCGGGTGAGAGCCCTCAGGTGATTGAGGATATCGTCTACTGGCATCTGCTGTGCTTTGAGTCGACTCAAAGCGCACCCTTCTTATCCCCTCATTGCCTCCATGTGTCACTCATTGCCATCTGCTGCCCCCCAAGAGCTGGCTCAGTTTCACATCCTGCAGCGACTCAAGAGCACCTGTTCCCACCTATCCACAACCCATTGTAACCCTTTCCACCCCTTCACACCCCCCAGGTATCTACTGGCACCTGCTGTCCCCCAGAAACTAGCCCAAATCCGCATCTTGCAGCAACTCAAGAGCACCCTGGAGGCCCAGTCAGGCGCCGCCCTCCCGCTGGGTCCAGACGAGGAGCTGCCGCCCGTTGCCGCCCGGCACGGGAAGGAGAGGCGGGGGAAGGAAGCGGGAAGGGGTGGGGGGAAGGTGGGGGAGAGAGGAGGGGTGGGGAGGGGTAGAGGGAGAGGGAGAGGGGAGAGGAGGGGAGGGGAGGGGAGGCGGAGTGAGATAAAGGTGTGGAGGAGAGGTGATGATAAGGGCAGTGGGGGGAGGAGGGGGGAAGAGAGTGAGCAGCGAGCTACCGCATTCCCCCGGACATACCACCCTAGGGTGCTAACTACACAAAAAAAAGGGGGGGGGGGGGGGGGGGGGGGGGGGGTGTTGTCATCGGAAAAAGCTACATTGCACCCGGGTCTTTACATAATGTATAATTATTTTATAGCATACAAGGTTTAGAACAAAATGTACATGTTTCACGTGGTGGTAGATTGTTGGTTGGGTGCGCAAAACCGAGGACTGGGCGATAACGTTACTGTCGAGGGTTAGCTGCCACATTGCAAGCTCCAACAAGGCCCACTGTCAGGCCCTGATTGGTCGAAAACACACCCCCTCGTCGCTCGACGAGGGTTCATGCAGCCACAAAGGCGGAGCGCCCGCAATAGCCTCAGCTGCCTCGCTGGGGCGGTCACGTCCTTGTACTGAGAAGGAGTTGATCCTTCTTTCTGAGCAGCGTCTCCATTCCACGAACTCGAGCAATGCTCGGCAGAGTGTGCTAACACCACCTGCCTCGTCGATCCCTTTCTTAGCATAAATTCACCTTTCAATGGCCTGTGACACCAACGTTCACTAGGCTTAGATGGCTACCTCTCCAGACTCCAGTAGCACAGTGGTTAGGCGGCAGCGGCCTTCCGTCACCCAGTCACCCGCTGTTGCGGGCACACGGCGTTCGCCCCGGCCCATCCTCCCGCAGCCGTCACCCCCCGTGAGTCGCTCCACCAACGATGAACCGAGCAGCAGCGCGGCCCGTCCTCTGCCGGCGCTGTCGAAGTTGAAGATTCCTTCCTTCCCGGAACAAACACGCCCCCAGGGACCTCCAAAGCGCAACGCGGATGCCGACGCTCCTTCCCCACGTCATCGCATGACGAAACGCACTCGTCATGCGTACACCGCCAAGGAGAAGCTCCACTGGCTGAAACTGCAGGAATCGCAGCCGGACCTGTCGAATCGAGCTTTGTCCAAGCTGGCGAAGGTGCAGCCCTGCCAGATCCGCGAGTGGAAGCGGATGAGGGAGCGTCTGGAGGTCGCCTCTGGATGCCGCCGTCGCCTCATGGGAGCTGGGCGCCACGCGTAGTACCCGTTCATGGAACGGACCGTGTATCGGCAGTTTCTTAAGCACCGCGCTAAGGGACTCGCCGTCTCAGTCAGCATGCTGCAGCAGCGGAGCGCCAAGTTCATGAAGCATTGGATGCCTGGCGTGAATTGGCGCGCTTCACACCGCTGGACTGCTCGTTTCCGCGCTCGCTGGCACCTGGCTCGACGGGTGAAGACGAAGATGGGCCAGAAGTTAGCTGCGGGTAAGTTGTCCTTGAATGGATGCATCTCTATCTGGGCTGTGCTTGCTCTTAATGTTTTGTCAGTGTTTTTTTGTGCGTGCAGATTGCAAGGCGAAGGTTGAATCCTTCTGGGAGTTCCTGATGCGGATGCGCACCCTCCACGACTACCCGCTCGACCTGATCGTGAACGCGGATCAGACTCCGCTATTTTTGGAGATGCCGGCCGAGCGTACAATCGAAACGAAGGGTGCGCGGACGGTCCACGTGCGCACTGCGGGCTACGAGAAGGAACGCGTCACTGTCATGCTGGCAGTGACGGCAGGAGGGCTGAAGCTTCCACCATATGTCGTTTTCAAACGCAAAACCATCCCCAAAGTGCCCATCCCGGCTGGTAAGTATCCAGCTGTTTCATTCTTCACACTAGTTGTTGTATTCATTACTTCCTCTAACCACGCGCTCTCTTTGCGTTGTGAACGGCATGTGTGGTCGTCCGTGCACAAGAGAAGGGGTGGATGGACGAAGGCCTTGTGCAGGACTGGATAACCCAGGTACTTGTGCCTTTCCTGAAGCCCATCCGCGAAGTAGCCGGATGCCGCAGGGAGGCGTTGGTCGTCCTGGACTCCTACCGCTGCCATTTGACCGAAGCCGTGGGTCAAACCATGCGAATGTTCCGTCTGACGCGGGCGGTCATCCCGGGGGGGCACCCCGCTTCTGCAGCCGCTAGACGTATCCTTGAATCGCGCGTTCAAGGCCGGTACGCGTCACCGCTATGGCATTTGGTTTGAAGACATCGGGATCAACACGAGGACGCGTGCAGGTGAGAGCGTCCCGTGCTTTCCGATCGTGTTTTTGTGCATGCGTGCCTGTGTATTTCATCAAACAACTCGTGCATGCCTTGCCCATCCCTCAGGCAATCTGCAAAAGCCTCCCGCGGAGACGGTTCTGAAGTGGATCGACGAGTCCTGGCGGGAGGTCCCAGAGGAGCTGATCAGGAAGTCCTTTGTCACCTGCGGGATTTCCACCAAGCTCGACGAGAGCGAAGACCACCTCGTCCTCGCACACCTGCGGGACAAGGGTGAGGTGGAAGTGCTGGAGGATGTGATCGAGGTGGTTGAAGACGAGGTTATCCCCAACCCCTACTTCGAAGAGGCCCGCGTGCCGGCCGAGGTGCTGCAGGCGGACGATGACGCCATGCATGTGGAGCAGGACGAAGAGGATGCGGAGGCGGAAGATGGAGATGGGGAAGGGTACGGAGCTGGAGAAGATGGGGATGCAGATGAGTGGAGCGAGGCCGGCTCTGACTGGTGGCTCCCCGACCGCTTTGACGGAGAGGAGGTTGAGGAATGGCATGCTGGGGACGAGGAGTAGGAGGATTGTTTGAATATTTGTGTAGGTGGAGAGAGTTCGGTCTGGATGGTAGTAGGCCCCTGTTGAATGAAGGAATGACTGTATGATGGGAGAGTTGTCGCTGTATTGCGTCAGATGTAGCTTGTTTGTGCTGACCTTAACATGTAGATGGTTAATCATTCGAAACCCAGTGCTATTTTGGCAAAAACTGCAATATTACCCGTACATAACACCCCCACCCCTCCCGGGTGCTATACCGGATCGCCCCAAAAGGGGGGTATAGTAGAAACGAGGCCCGCTATAGCACCCCCCCCGCACAAGCCACCCGGGGGGTGCTCTATTTCGGCGGGTGGTATGTCCGGGGGAATACGGTATGTTCCCGCTGTCCAAATGGTCCATATTATTTTCTTTTTTCTGTGTTTTTTTTCTTCATTTGAAAAGTATGGTATGTATGTGCTACTGTGTCTGCTCTGCTGAAAGTGTGGAAAATCCCAAGCAAACTTGAATGAATCACTTGGCAACAAGTTGGCTTTTTGCATTTTATACTGTAGCCGTCAATGAGTTGGCAACAAGTCCCCCTGCCCACACAACTCTCTTGCCCTTGCCCTCTGAGGACAAATGCCCTAGTGTAGCCAGAGCTACGGAATGAAGAATGGATAATGGATCCAGCTGATGACATTCTTCCACATTCATCCCATCTCACCCTCACCCTCACCCTCACCCTCACCCTCACCCTAACTCTCACTCTCACCCTCACTCTCACCGTCACTCTCACCCCTTCGCCACTCCCCTTATCCTCTCCATCAATGCAGCCTGCTCGCCTGCCCTTCACCCCTCTAGTGCGGCCACAGCTTCGATCCTCTGGTGCCGCGCTTCAAGTCGCCCCGCACTGCCTTCCAAGATGTGAGGCATTAAGGCCCTTTGAGCGTGTAAGCATTGAGCCGTTACCCCTCCACCACACCCCTGACCCCCTGCATCACCCCCCCTTCACCCCTCTAGTGCGGCCACAACTTCGATCCTCCGATGCCGCGCTTCCAGTCGCCCCGCACTGCCTTCCAAGATGTGAGGCATTAAGGCCCTTTGAGCGTGTAAGCATTGAGCCGTTACCCCTCCACCACGCCCCTGACCCCCTGCATCACCCCCCCTTCACCCCTCTAGTGCGACCACAACTTCGATTCTCCGATGCCGCGCTTCCAGTCGCCCCGCACTGCCTTTCAACATGTAAGCCCTTGAGACTTGCAGGCTTAAAAGCACTCCACCAACCTGCTCTCGCACCCCCTCTTCCCCCTCTCCCCCCCCCCCCCCTCCCCTCCCTCTTCCCGGTGGTGCTCGGGCAATGCTGTCGGTGGCGCCGGTGGTGACGATGCAGTCAGACGGGAGGGCTGGCAGGGAGGGATGGAGGGAAGGAGGGGAGAAAGCGTGGGGAAGACGTAAGTTTATGTCCCTCGCGGCCTGGAAGGCTGCAATGCTGTCAGTGGTGCCGGCTGGTGGTGACGATGCAGTCAGACGGGAGGGCTGCCAGGGAGGGAGGGAGGGAGGGTGAGGGTGAGGGTGAGGGTGAGGGTGAGGGTGCCAGACCCTCCTTTTGCACCAGACCCTCCTTTGGCACCACCGTCTTGGTCACCCCTCGGTGCAGCGCCTTCGTAGCATGCACCGCCGGGTCCTTGTCTCTGGTCTTCCCAGGGTTCTCCCTCCCCTCCCACCCTCGCCTGCTCCTCCCTGTCTTCCCTGCGTCGAGGGGCGGCAGCGCGCCGCTCCTCACTCCTCCTTGTTTCCCCCGACGACTGCTCCCCTGCAGACCCTGCACATGGACGTGTGGGGCCCAGCCCGCGTTACTGGACAGGGCCGCGAGCGGTACTTTCTGCTGGTTGTCGACGACTACTCGCGTTACACCACGGTCTTCCCCTTGCGCACCAAGGGTGAGGTCCCTGATGTTTTGATCCCTTGGATCCGCGCTGCCCGTCTCCAGCTCCGCGAGCGGTTCATGACGGAGTTTCCCGTCCTGCGTCTGCACTCTGACAGAGGCGGGGAGTTTTCCTCCGACCTTTTGCAGAGCTTTTGTCGTGGGGAGGGCATTCGCCAGACGTTCACGCTTCCGGCCTCTCCGCAGCAGAATGGGGTTGCTGAGCGCCGCATTGGCTTGGTCATGGAGGTCGCTCGTACCTCCATGGTCCATGCGGCTGCCCCCCATTTTCTGTGGCCGTTTGCGGTCCGCTACGCCGCCCATCAGCTCAACCTCTGGCCCCGTGTCTCCTTGCCAGAGACCTCGCCCGTCGGTGTTCCAGGTCTGGGGTTCTCGTGCCTTTGTCCGCAATACCACCGCGGACAAGCTCTCCGCCCGCGCTGTTCCCTGTGTCTTCCTTGGCTTTGTCCCTGACGCGCCTGGTTGGCAGTTTTACCACCCCACCTCACGCCGTGTCTTCCCCTCTCAGGACGTCACGTTCGACGAGTCGGTTCCCTTTTACCGTCTCTTCCCCTACCGCACTGCCCCTCTCCCCCCCCCGCCGCTCTTCCTCGCTCCAGGTGCTCCCCAGGTAGACCCCCTCCCCGCTCCCGGTCCTGCTCCTTCAGGTGTGTCTCAGGTAGACCCTCCTCCCTTGACTGCGCCGGTTGAGGTCACTGGTGACTCAGGTCCTGCTGAGGGTGGTCCTGCTCGGGGTGCTGCTTCTGGGGGTGCTGAGCCTGGGGGTGCGGAGCCTGGGGGTGCTGAGCCTGGGGGTACGGAGTACGTCCACGTCCATGTGCACGACCACGTGCACGACCACGTCCACGACTACGTCTTCGTCCACGTCCACGTCCACGTCCACGACCACGTCCACGATCACATCCACGACCACGTCCACGACCACGTCCACGTCAACGACCACGTCCACGTCCACGTCCACGACCACGTCCACGACAACGTTAATGACCACGTCCACGTCCACGTCCACGACCACGTCCACGACCACGTCCACGACCACATCCACGACCCACGTCCACGACCATGTCCACGACCACGTCCACGACCACGTCCACATCCACGTCCACGAGCACGTCCACGACCACGTCCACGACCACGTCCACGACCACGTCTACGACCACGTCCACGTCCACGTCCACGACCACGTCGATGACCACGTCCACGTTGACGACCACGTCCACGTCGACGACCACGTCCACGTCCACGTCCTTGTTCACGTCCACGACCACGTCCACGACCACGTTCACGTTCACGTCCACGACCACGTCCACGACCACGTTCACGTCCACGTCCACGTCCACGTCCACGTGCACGACCACATCCACGACCACGTTCACGACCACGTCCACGACCACGTCCACGATCACGTCCACGTCCACGTCAACGACCACGTCCTCGTCCACGTCCACGACCACGACCATGTACACGTCCACGACCACGTCCACGTCCACGTCCACGACCACGACCACGTCCACGACCCACGTCCACGACCACGTCCACGACCACGTCCACGACCACGTCCACGATCACGTCCACGTCCACGACCACGTCCACGACCACGTCCACGACCACGTCCACGAACCACGACCACGTCAACGACCACGTCCACGTCCACGTCCATGTCCACGACCACGTCCACGACCACGTCCACGACCACGTCTGCGACCACTTCCACGTCCACGTTCACGAGTACGTCCACGTCCACGACCACGTCCACCCCCACGACTACGACCACGTCCATGACCACGTCCACGACCACGCCCACGACCACGTCCACGACCACGTCCACGTCCACGTGCACGACCACGTGCACGACCACGTCCACGACCACGTCTTCGTCCACGTCCACATCCACGTCCACGACCACGTCCACGACCACGTCCACGTCCAGGACCACGTCCACAACCACGCCTACGACCACGTCCACGTCTACGACCACGTCCACGACCACGACCACGTCCACGTCCACGACCACGACCACGTCCACGTCCATGACCACGTCCACGACCCACGACCACGTCTGCGACGACGTCCACGTCTACGTCTACGAGTACGTCCACGTCCACGTCCACGACCACGTCCACACCCACGACTACGACCACGTCCACGAGCACGTCCACGACCACGTCCACGTTCACGTCCACGACCACGTGCACGACCACGTGCACGACCACGTGCACGACCACGTCCACGACCACGTCTTCGTCCACGTCCACGTCCACGTCCAAGACCACGTCCACGACCACATCCACATCCACGACCACGTCCACGACCACGTCCACGTCAACGACCACGTCCGCGTCCACGTCCACGACCACGTCCACGACCACGTCCACGACCACGTCCACGACCACGTCCACGTCCACGACCACGTCCACGACCACGACCACGACCATTTCCACGTCCACGACCACGTCCACGATCCACGACCACGTCCACGTCCACGACCACGTCCACGTCCACGACCATGACCACGACCACGACCATTTCCACGTCCACGACCACGACCATGTCCACGTCCACCTCCACGTCCACGTCCACAACCCACGACCACGACCACGTCCACGACCACGACCACGTCCACGTCCACGTCCACGTCCACGTCCACGTCCACGTCTACAACCCACGACCACGTCCATGACCACGACCACGTCCACGACCCACGACACGACCACGTCCACGTCTACAACCCACGACCACGTCCACGACCATGTCTGCGCCCACGTCCACGTCCACATCCACGACCACGTCCACGACCACGTCCACTTCCACGTCCATGACCATGACCACGACCACGACCACGACCACGTCCACGACCACGTCCACGTCCACGTCCACGGCCACATCCACCACCCACGACCACGTCCATGACCACGACCACGTCCACGACCCACGACCACGACCACGTCCACGTCTACAACCCACGACCACCTCCACGACCACGTCTGCACCCACGTCCACGACCACGTCTGCACCCACGTCCACGACCACGTCCACGACCACGTCCACGTCCACGACCACGTCCACGTCCACGACCACGTCCACGGCCACGTCCACGACCACGTCCACGTCCACGTCCACGTCCACGACCACGACCATGTTCAGGACCACGTCCACGTCCACTTCCACGACCACGTCCACGTCCACGTCCACGTCCACGTTCACGACCACGACCACGTCCACGACCCACGTCCACGACCACGTCCTCGACCACGTCCACGACCACGTCTGCGACCACGTCCACGACCACTTTGCGACCACGTCCACGTCCACGACCACGTCCACGACCACGACCACGTCCACGTCAACGACCACGTCCACGTCCACGGCCACGTCCACGACCACGTCCACGTCCACGACCACGTCGACGTCCATGTCCACGTCCACGATCACGTCCACGTCCACGACTACGACCACGTCCACGACCACGTCCACGTCCACGTCCACGACCACGTCTACGACCACATCCCCGACCCACGACCACGTTCATGAGCACGACCACAACCAACACCACGTCCACGACCACGTCCACGACCCGCGACCACGTCCACGTCCACCTCTACGTCCACGTCCACAACCCACGACCACGTCCACGACCCACGACCACGTCCACGTCCACCTCCACGTCCACGTCCACAACCCACGACCACGACCACGTCCACGACCACGTCCACGTCCACGTCCACGTCTTCAACCCACGACCACGTCCATTGTCAGAATCCCAGTCACTAACCACTAGGATAAAAGGGCTTGTTTAAGTAGCGGGTGAGTGCGCCCATAACCCCCCAGGCCGACGTGCCTGTAACCCTTCCCTAGGATCATCGGGGATCTCCAGTGGACCTCTGACACCCCCCCGCACTGGGATGCCCGAAGTGCACACACCGGGAATCGAACCCGAGACCTTCGCTCTGATACCATGTCAGAATCCCAGTCACTAACCACTGGGATAAAAGGGCTTGTTTAAGTAGCGGGTGAGTGCGCCCATAACCCCCCAGGCCGACGTGCCTGTAACCCTTCCCTAGGATCATCGGGGATCTCCAGTGGACCTCTGACACATCCATGACCAGGACCACGTCCACGTCCACGTCCACGACCCACGACCACGACCACGTCCACGTCTACAACCCACGACCACGTCCACGACCACGTCTGCGCCCACATCCACGACCACGTCGACGACCACGTCAACGTCCACGACCACGTCCACGTCCACAACCACGTCCACAACCACGTCCACGTCCACGACCACGTCCACGACCACGACCACGTCCACGACCACGTCCACATCCACGTCCACGACCACGTCCACGACCACGTCCACGACCACGTCCACGTCCACGACCACGTCCACGTCCACGTCCACGACCACGTCCACGACCACGTCCACGTCCACGACCACGACCACGTCCACGACCACGTCCACGTCCACGACCACGTCCACGACCACGTCCACCTCCACGTCCACGAGCACGTCCACGTCCACGAGCACGTCCACGTCCACGTCCACGTCCACGAGCACGTCCACGACCACGTCCACGTCCACGTCCACGTCCACGTCCACGTCCACGACCACGAGCACGTCCACGTCGACGAGCACGTCCACGTCCACGTCCACGACCACGTCCACGACCACGTCCACATCCACGTCCACGAGCACGTCCACGTCCACGAGCACGTCCACGTCCACGAGCACGTCCACGTCCACGAGCACGTCCACGACCACGTCCACGTCCACGTTCACGACCACGTCGACGACCACGTCCACGACCACGTCCTTGTCCACGTCCACCTCCACGTCCACGTCCACAACCCACGACCACGTCCACGTCCACCTCCACGTCCACGTCCACAACCCACGACTACGACCACGTCCACGACCACGACCACGTCCACGTCCACGTCCACGTCCACAACCCACGACCACGTCCATGACCACGACCACGTCCACATCCGTGTCCACGACCCACGACCACGACCACGTCCACGTCCACAACCCACGACCCACGTCCACGTCCACGACCACGTCCACGTCCACGACCACGTCCACGTCCACGACCACGTCCACGTCCACGTCCACGTCCACGACCACGTCCCCGACCACGTCCACGACCACATCCACGTCCACGTCCACGTCCACGTCCACGACCACGTCCACGACCACGTCCACGTACACGTCCACGATCACGTCCACGACGACGTCCACGTCGACGACCACGACCACGACCACGTCCACGATCCACGTCCACGACCAACATCCACGACCACGTCTACGACTACGTCTGCGACCACATCCACGTCCACGACCACGAGCACGTCCACGTCCACAACCACGTCCACGTCCACGACCACGACCACGTCCACGACCACGTCCACGTCTACGTCCACGACCACGTCCATGACCACGTCCACGACCCACGACCACGTCCACGACCACGACCACGACCAAGACCACGTCCACGACCACGTCCACGACCCACGACCACGTCCACGTCCACGTCCACCTCCACGTCCACGTCCACAACCCACGACCACGTCCACGACCACGTCCACGTCCACCTCCACGTCCACGTCAACAACTCACGACCACGACCACGTCCACGACCATGACCACGTCCACGTCCACATCCACGTCCACGTCTTCAACCCACGACCATGTCTCTGACCACGACCACGTCCACGTCCACGACCCACGACAACGACCACGTCCACGTCTACAACTCACGCCCACGTCCACGACCACGTCTGCGCCCACGTCGACGACCACGTCCACGACCACGTCCACGTCCACGACCACGTCCACGTCCACAAACACGTCCACGACCACGTCCACGACCACGTCCACGACCACGTCCACGACCACGTCCACGACCACGACCACGTTCACGTCAACGACCACGTCCACGACCACGTCCAGGACCACGTCCACGACCACGTCCACGACCACGTCCACGACCACGTCCACGACCACGTCCACGACCACGACCACGTCCACGTCCACGACCACGACCACGACCACGTCCACGACCACGTCCACGTCCATGTCCACGACCACGTGTACGACTACGTCTACGACCCACGACCACGTTCACGAGCACGACCACAACCAACACCATGTCGACGACCACGTCCACGACCCGCGACCACGTCCACGTCCACCTCCACGTCCACTTCCACAACCCACGACCACGTCCACGACCCACGACCACGTCCACGTCCACCTCCACGTCCACGTCCACAACCCACGACCACGACCACGACCACCTCCACGTCCACGTCCACGTCCACGTCCACGTCCACGTCCACGTCCACAACCCACGACCACGTCCATGACCAGGACCACGTCCACGTCCACGACTAACGACCACGTCCACGTCTACAACCCACGACCACGTCCACGACCACGTCTGCGCCCACGTCCACGACCACGTCCACGACCACGTCCACGTCCTCGACCACGTCCACGACCACGTCCACGTCCACGACCACGTCCACGACCACGTCCACGTCCACGTCCACGACCACGTCCATGACCACGTCCACGACCACGTCCACGTCCACGACCACGTCCACGACCACGTCCACGTCCACGACCACGTCCACGTCCACATCCACGACCACGTCCACGACCACGTCCACTTCCACGACCACGACCACGTCCACGAGCACGTCCACGTCCACGTCCACGACCAAGTGCACAACCACGTCCACATCCACGTCTACGAGCACGTCCACGTCCACGACCACGTCCACGTCCACGTCCACGTCCACGACCACGTCCACGACCACGTCAACGACCACGTCCACGTCCACGTCCACGTCCACGTCAACGTTCACGACCACGACCACGACCACGTCCACGACCACGTCCTCGTCCACGTCCACGTCCACCTCCACGTCCACGTCCACAACCCACGACCACCTCCACGACCACGTCTGCACCCACGTCCACGACCACGTCTGCACCCACGTCCACGACCACGTCCACGACCACGTCCACGTCCACGACCACGTCCACGTCCACGACCACGTCCACGGCCACGTCCACGACCACGTCCACATCCACGTCCACGTCCACGACCACGACCATGTTCAGGACCACGTCCACGTCCACTTCCACGACCACGTCCACGTCCACGTCCACGTCCACGTTCACGACCACGACCACGTCCACGACCCACGTCCACGACCACGTCCACGACCACGTCCACGACCACGTCTGCGACCACGTCCACGACCACTTTGCGACCACGTCCACGTCCACGACCACGTCCACGACCACGACCACGTCCACGTCAACGACCACGTCCACGTCCACGTCCACGGCCACGTCCACGACCACGTCCACGTCCACGACCACGTCGACGTCCATGTCCACGTCTACGATCACGTCCACGTCCACGACTACGACCACGTCCACGACCACGTCCACGTCCACGTCCACGACCACGTCTACGACCACATCCACGACCCACGACCACGTTCATGAGCACGACCACAACCAACACCACGTCCACGACCACGTCCACGACCCGCGACCACGTTCACGTCCACCTCTACGTCCACGTCCACAACCCACGACCACGTCCACGACCCACGACCACGTCCACGTCCACCTCCACGTCCACGTTCACAACCCACGACCACGACCACGTCCACGACCACGTCCACGTCCACGTCCACGTCTTCAACCCACGACCACGTCCATTGTCAGAATCCCAGTCACTAACCACTAGGATAAAAGGGCTTGTTTAAGTAGCGGGTGAGTGCGCCCATAACCCCCCAGGCCGACGTGCCTGTAACCCTTCCCTAGGATCATCGGGGATCTCCAGTGGACCTCTGACACCCCCCCGCACTGGGATGCCCGAAGTGCACACACCGGGAATCGAACCCGAGACCTTCGCTCTGATACCATGTCAGAATCCCAGTCACTAACCACTGGGATAAAAGGGCTTGTTTAAGTAGCGGGTGAGTGCGCCCATAACCCCCCAGGCCGACGTGCCTGTAACCCTTCCCTAGGATCATCGGGGATCTCCAGTGGACCTCTGACACATCCATGACCAGCACCACGTCCACGTCCACGTCCACGACCCACGACCACGACCACGTCCACGTCTACAACCCACGACCACGTCCACGACCACGTCTGCGCCCAAATCCACGACCACGTCGACGACCACGTCAACGTCCACGACCACGTCCACGTCCACAACCACGTCGACGACCACGTCAACGTCCACGACCACGTCCACGTCCACAACCACGTCCACGACCACGTCCACGTCCACGACCACGTCCACGACCACGACCACGTCCACGACCACGTCCACGTCCACGTCCACGACCACGTCCACGACCACGTCCACGACCACGTCCAC